AGAGACAGAGAAAGGTCTTCCATCTGCTGGGTCACTCCCTAGATGGCACAATGGCCAGAGCTGTGCTGATCCAAAGCCAGGAGCCAGGAGCTTCTTCCGGGTCTCCTACATGGGTGCAGGGGCCCAAGGACTTGGGCCACCTTCTGTTGCTTTCCCAGGCCTTAGCAGAGAGCTGGATTGGAAGAGGAGCAGCCAGGACTAGAACCGGCGCCCCATATGGGCTGCCGGAGCTTCAGGCCAGGGCTTTAACCTGCTGTGCCGCAGTGCTGGCCCCCAGGGTATTTGATTTTTATTATAGCTATTGAGAATGGGATTGATCTTAAAAGTTCTTTCACAGCCGTGGGATTGTCTGAGAATGCAAAGGCTGTTGATTTTTGTGTATTGATTTCATATCCTGCAACTTCACCAAACTCTTCTGTGAGTTCCAGTAGTGTTTTAGATCCCCTATATATAGATTCATGTCATCTGCAAAAAGGGATAGTTTGTCTTCCTCCAGTGTAAGTGTCAGAGGGACCTCTTTTTAAGAGAATACAAAATTATGGGTATTAAACTAAATCATCTATCATATTCCTAGATCCCTTTCTAAACTCGGTTTACCAAAATTATCTATATAAAGAAGACCCCATCCACAACCTGACTGCTCTACCTAACCCCAACCTACAGCCCCCTACAACTTCTAGTAGTTATTGGGGCCCTTCCAAGGGGCAGGATCTCCAGGGTAAGCTTAGTTAGCCTCAAGACTTGACCATGTTATTGAGCACCTGTTCTTTGTCAGGTTCTGGTCTGGATCCTAGCGATGCAACAGAAAACGAGACATAGTCCTTCCCTGGAGTTTACATTGTAGTCAAGAGCAGCCAACAATGAATGAGCCAACAATTAAGAGACTTTCCAAAGAATGAATAGTGACTAGTGCTCTGAAGACCATAAAACAGAGTTATTGGAAGACTGAGTAGATGTGGGAGTTACCATAATGTAGGAACATAGGAATAGTTTGGTTGGTTCTGTTTTGTTTTTTTTTTTTTTTAATTTTTTAAATATTTATTTATTTATTTGAAAGTCAGAGTTACACAAAGAGAGAAGGAGAGGCAAAGAGAGAGGTCTTCCATCTGCTGGTTCACTCCCTAATTGGCCACAACTGTTGGAGCTGTGCCAATCCAAAGCCAGGAGCCAGGAGCTACTTCCAGGTTTCCCACGAAGGGGCAGGGGCCCAAGGACTTGGGGCATCCTACACAGCTTTCCTAGGCAGATTGGCAGGGAGCTGGATCAGAAGTGGAGCAGCCAGGACTCGAACCGGGACCCATATGGGATGCTGGCCACTGCAGGCAGTGGCTATACCCGCTATGCCACAGTGCTGGTCCCACCTCTCTCTCTGTAACTCTGCCTTTCAAATAAATAAATAAATAAATTTTTTTAAGTCTTAAAAATAGCATCAGGTAGCTCAGTTGCTCTTTGTGGTTTAAGTTTGCAAACCTTCCAGCCTCCTTGATGTAAGTTCAGCTATGGGCTCCTTGCTGCTGTGGGATTCTAGGATACTGAGGTACAGTGAGGTAGACGATTTTCTACTATTTTAAAACAAATAGAACTGAACCATTCTGTTGGAAAACATTTAAAAACTTGTAATACTCCTTTTCCACAAGGGTAGGGTAACACAGTGTGTACCTTTCATATATTACTTATAAAACTGTTTCAGCCTTTCTGAAAAATAGCTTGGGAACACTCATTGTGGACCTCAGCAAAGTTGTCAGGCTTTGATCCAGTAATTCTTGGAATATGTCCTAAAGAAATCAGCATAAGTTGGACAAGAATTTATATGTAGAGACATTCATTGCAAAATTATTAATAATAGCAAACATTTAGAATCATCCTAATTATCCCAAAGTAGAGAATGGTTAAGTGAATTACTTAATGGCCTGAATATAGAATTTATATAACACTTGAGTTTTCTTAGAATAAAGCTTAATGATCCAGGTAGATGTGGACAGTGTGATTTTTTTTAAAAAAGATTTTATTTATTTATTTTAAAGTCAGAGTTACACAGAGAGAAGGAGAGGCAGAGAGAGAGAAGTCTTCCGTCCGATGGTTCACTCCCCAGATGGCCATAACGGCCGGAGCTGCGCTGATCCGAAGCCAGGAGCCAGGAGCTTCTTCAGGGTCTTCCACATGGTTGCAGGGCCCAAGGACTTGGACCATCTTCCACTGCTTTCCTAGGCCATAGCAGAGAGCTGGATTGGAAGAGGAGCAGCTGGGACTAGAACCAGCGCCCATATGGGCTGCCGGCGTTTCAGGCCAGGGTGTTAACCCACTGCGCCACAGTGCTGGCCCCGACATTTTAAAAGCAGGACACAAAATCATGTTAGGGGCAATACTAGTTTTGTAAATACTTGCATAGAAAAAGAATAGATGGATATAGAGCTGTCGCTCCCCCTCTTCGCGGAGGAACGACACTAAACCCTGCGCTGTTCTTTTGTCTGCTCGGCCCTTCCCGGGTTTGCTGCTGGTTCTTCCCGGGTTGGCTGCCGTCCTTCCACCTCCGTGGAAGGGCGGTGCCCCCTGCCACTTTCCCCACTTCCACAGGGGAGCGGCACACCACCGGCCGGCTCTCTCGGGGGCTGCTCAGGTGTTCCTTCAGATAGATGTTCCCTGGTGCATGTTGTCTCTCTCCTCCTTTTTTTTTTTTTTTATTTTTTATTTTTTTATTTTTTTATTTTTTTATTTTTTGACAGGCAGAGTGGACAGTGAGAGAGAGAGACAGAGAGAAAGGTCTTCCTTTGCTGTTGGTTCACCCTCCAATGGCCACCGCGGCCGCTGCGCTGCGCTGATCCGATGGCAGGAGCCAGGAGCCAGGTGCTTTTCCTGGTCTCCCATGGGGTGCAGGGCCCAAGCACCTGGGCCATCCTCCACTGCACTCCCTGGCCATAGCAGAGAGCTGGCCTGGAAGAGGGGCAACCGGGACAGAATCCGGCGCCCCAACCGGGACTAGAACCTGGTGTGCCGGCGCCGCTAGGCGGAGGATTAGCCTAGTGAGCCGCGGCGCTGGCTACTCTCTCCTCCTTTATAGTCCTCTTCCACCAATCCCAACTCTGCTACCCACACGCCGAGTACGCTGCTCTCCTCCAATCAGGAGCAGGATCAGCTCCTGCAGGTTACTGGTTGAACTGGAGGCAGCTGTGTAAAAGTTGTTTACTCCTCTCCCAGTGCCATATTGTGGGAGAGCAGATGCATAGAATAAGTCTTAATTCCAGTAACTTAGTCTAGTCCGAGTTGCTCCCCACATAGAGCAAAATCTTAATGCTGAGAATTCAGTATCTATGAGGTATATGCAATTTCTACTAAGAAATTAAAAATAAAATTTAAATTTAAAAATAAATTTAAATTTAAAAACACTTTGTGGGGCTGGTGCTGTGGCATAGTGGGTAAGGCCGCTACCTGCAGTGTCGGCATCCCATGTGGGTGCCAGTTTGTGTCCTAGCTGCTCTACTTCCAATCCGGCTCTCTGCTATAGCCTGGGAAAACAGTGAAGAATGGCCCGGGGCTTTGGGCCCCTGCACCCACGTGGAGGACCTGGAAGAGGCTCCTTGTTCCTGGCTTCAGATCAGCGCAGCTCCGGCCAACTGGGGAGTGAACCAGTGGAAGGAAGACCTCTCTCTCCCTCTCTCTCTCTCTCTCTCTGCCTCTCTCTCTCTCTTTGTGTAACTTTGACTTTTAAATAAATTAATTTAAAAAAACCACTTTGTGAGGTTTACCATGACCAAGAGAAAAGCATCACTATTTAATGTAACTTTTAAAAAACTTTTTTAAAGGCTTATTTATTTTGAAAGTCAGAGTTACATAGAATGGGATCTTCCATCTGCTGGTTCACTCCCCAGATGGCCAGAGCTGGGCTAAGCCAAAGGCAGGAGCCTGGAGCTTCATCTGGTCGCCCACATGGTTGGCAGGGGCCCAAGGACTTGGGCTATCTTCTCCTTTTCCAAGGCCATTTGCAGGGAGCTGGATTATAAGTGGAGCAGCTGGCACACAGATCAGACCCCATATGGAATGATGGTGTCACGGACAGTGGCTTTACCTGCTATACCACACTGCTGGCCACTAATGTAACTTTTTTCCAAAATAGTGGTTTTCAATTTTTTTCAATCTTTTTCCTTATTAGTAAAGAACTTCTGAGCTTCACTCTAAATATATATACTATTTGTGAATTATATGCATATATAACATATACTTGTATTTTATAAAACATTAGCCAAAGAATTTAAGACTACATTAATATAAATGGAAATTTAGGGCAGATGTTTGACCATGATTAAGCTGCTGATTAGGACTGCTGTGTCACATATCCGAGTGCCTGGGTTCAGTTCCTGGCTCTGACTCCAGATTCCTGTTTCCTGCTAATATGGTTTACAGTAGATAGTGGCTCCCATAGTTGAATTCCTAAGACTCACAAAGGAGACCAGGATTGAGTTTGTGATGCCTAGCTTCTGCCTAGTGCAATCCAGGCGTTAGTGGAGGGAACCAGAGATGGAGAAGCCCTCTCTCTTTCCTTTCTCTCTCTCTGCCTCTTCTTTCTTTTTTTTTCTTGAACTCTCTCTTCAATGTTCTTTGAACTTCCCTTACAGTACTTGTTGACTATTGGTCTCGGTCTTGTGCTGGTATTTAGCCTTAGATGGAGTTTACCATCTGTTTTGGGTTGCATTCTCAAGCAATTCGACTCTGGGAAGACCCAGGCCTCGTGCACCGGGGGCTGCTACTGGCCTTACACCGTCCGCAGGTTGGGATTCAATCAGAAGGACTTTCTCTCTGTGTCTTAAGCAAAAAATTTTTTTCTTTAAATAAAGGTTTATATATTTATGTGATCTCAAGAAATTACTTTATATATTTTTTAATTTTTTTCTACTCCACTTTGGAGATTTAGATCTGAACGTAATAGATAAAAATGAATATAACACACTATTTCTACTTTTTATAGGGATTATTTAAAACCAGCCGAATTTGCTTTCTTAAAATAGGTCATAGGATGCAGCATTTGAGCGAAGGAGCCAAAAGTCGGCAAGTGGGAAGTGGCGGTGACGGTGAACGCTGGGGCTCGGACAGAGGGTCCCGAGGCAGCATCAATGAGCAGATTGCTCTGGTGCTCATGAGGTTGCAAGAGGACATGCAGAATGTCCTTCAGAGACTGCATAAACTGGAAACACTAACTGCTTCCCAGGTAAGCTTCTGAATTTGTCTTACTGCCTTCTACTTGCCGATCCTGTAAAGCAGTGTGTAATCTGTTACATTTATCGATTTTCATTGCTTTAACTAAAATGCTTGAAAGTAGGACTTGCAATGGGAGAGGTTTATTTCGGCTCCCAGTTTGGAAGTTCACAGTTCAAGATCAAGTGGCACCGTTAGTCTGCTCTCTGGTGGCAGTGGCAGAGCATAAGCAGAGGAACAATCCTATGTTGAGTCAGGAAACAGAGAGGCACAGAAGGCAGGCTGTGCTTGTATACCCAACCTTCTCATGAGAACCACCTGCTGAGACCAAGGCCCCCAGGATCTATGTACCTCCCACCAGGGCCATCTCTTAGACATCATAATTAGGTCAGCTTTCCACCCTTACTTAGTTCAGTTGTTAATGTGCGACTTTGGGGTTTGAACTTCTCATGAATTTGGGGAGCTGGGTCCTGTTCAAGCCATAACAAAAGTGTTGATTAGATTTCCCACAACTTTCATTGATTCTTGTAATAAGAAGGACCTAATTTTGAAAATATTGTGTGAGAAAAGACTGACCCTGGGACTAGTATTATGGCACAGTGGGTTAAGTTGCTGCCTGGTATGCTGTCATCCCATAAGAGCTGGTTGGAGTCCCAGCTCCTCCATTTCCCATCCAGCTGCCTGCCAATGCAACTAGAAAGGTAGGAGAATATGGCCCAAGTGCTTGGGCCCCTGTACGAGGGAGACTGTATGAAACTCCTGGCTCTTGGCTTCAGTCTGGCTGAGCTCGGAACATTACAGCCATTTGGTGAATGAACCAATAGATGGAAGATCTCTTTCTTTCTGTCTCTCCCTCTCTGAAACTCTGCTTTTCAAAGAGATAAAAATAAATCTTAAAAAAAAAAAAAAAAAAAAAGGAAAACAGAAAAGTCTGACCCAGAAGCTAAGGACTGCTAGAAAATTTTCATAGTGTAAAATTAGTGGTACTATGTTGGAGGTAGCACTTGGGCACTTTGTATTAGAAACATAACTGGATGGGGGCTGGTGTTGTGGCTTAGTGGGTGAAGCTACTGCCAGTGATGCCAGCATCCCATGTGGACACCAGTTCATGTCTCTGCTGCTCCAGTTCTGATCCAGCTCCTGTGAATGGCCTGGGAAGGCAGCAGTAGATGGCTTCTAGTGGAGCAGCTGGGCCCCTGCACTCACATGGAAAACCCAGAGGTAGCTCTGGGCTACTGGCTTCAGCCTGACATAGCCCAGTCCATTGCAGCCATTTGGGGAGTGAATCAGTGGATAAAAGATTCTCTCTCCCCACCCCCCTTCCTTTCTCTACCTTTGAAGTAAATTCAAACAAACAAACCCAGAAAGATAACTGCTGCTAAATGGGTTTTCAGGGACTTAACCTTTACCAATCCCAACATCATTAAAATTTGTCATTAGGCAGTCATTGTTTTACAGTTAGCATTGTCTTCTGTGTTGAATTCTTTTAAAAAGTACTGATTGGGTAATACATTAAGTTACATTGCTTTTACACTTGAAATTTTTAAAAAAAGATTTATTTATTGGGGCTGGTGCTATGGTACAGTGGGTTAAAGCCCTGGCCTGCAGTGCTGGCATCCCGTATGGGCACTGGTTCAAGTCTCTGCTGCTCCACTTGCGTTCCAGCTCCCTGCTTATGTGCCTGGGAAAGCAGCAAAGGATGGCTCTAGTTCTTGGGCCCCCGTTCCCACGTGGGAGACCTGGAAGAAGCTCCTGGCTCTGGCTTCAGATCAGTGCAGCTCTGTCTTTTGCGGCCATCTGGGGAGTGAACCAGCGGATGGAAGACCTGTCTCTCTCTCTCTCTGCTTCTCTCTCTGCCTTTCAAATAAATAAATAAATAAATGAGTAAATCTTAAAAAGACTTTATTTGAAACGCAGAGTTACAGAGAGCGAGAGAGGGAAGGAGGGATGGGTCTTCCATCTGCTGATTTACTCCCTAAATGGCCGCAACAGCTGGAGCTGGGCCGACCCGAAGCCAGGAGCTTCTTCCAGGTCTTCCACGTGGGTGCAGGAGCCCAAGGATTTGGGCCATCCTCTATTGCTTTCCCAGGCCATAGCAGAGAGCTTGATGGGAAGGGGAGCAGCTGGGACTGGAACCGGCACCCATATGGAATGCCAGTACAGCAGGAGACAGTTTACCCACATGCCACAGTGTTGGCCCCTACAGTTGAAATTTTAAAGCCAGAGAAGAGTTAAGAGTTCCCTGCTGTTTTCACAGCTCTACCCAGCCCACTGGCCTCTAACTGTTCCTTGAACTTGCGGGCAGTTTCCCTCCCAGCCTGGGTCTTTAAACGTACTGCTCCTTCTGTACAGAAAGAAATCTGGTTGTCTAGTTAGCCATAATTCTGAGCCTTTCCCGTCCACTCTGTTTCCAGTTGCTTGCAAGCCTTAGAAAGATGATGACATGTCTCATCTTTCTTTTTGTTTTTACTTTTTTGTATAGCACACATCACCATCTGACACACTGAATATTTTACTGCATTATTTGTTATTATGTCTACCCTTCCACTAGAGTGTAAGCTCCATTAGGGCAGAGATTTTTGTCATTGTGCTCTCTCCTGTATCTCTGGCCCAGAAAAGTGACTGGTAAATAGAGATATTTATTGAAAAAAATAGAGATATTTATTGAATGAGTGAATGATCTCAGTAATCTTCATACAATTTTTCTCAACTTATAGAGTAATAAGCTTCTAGTAACTAGCATAACAATCTTGTCGTTGGATGAGTTTCATAATTGGTCTGAAAATGTTTCTGGGTAGTTTTTGACTACCTCTCATTTTAAAACTTAACACTTATCGATCATATGTATTTTTTTAAGATTTATTTATTTAAAAGGTAGAGTGACAGAAACATGGAGAGAGAGAGATTTGCCATCCTGTGGTCCACTCCCCAAATGCCTACAACATTCCAGGCTGGACCAGACCAAAGCCAGGAGTCATGAATTTCATCCAGGTCACCCTCATGGGTGGCAGGGACCCAAGTGCTTGGACCATCTTCCACTGCATTAGTAAGAAGATGAGTTGGAAGCACACAGTAGCCTGGACTTGAACCAGGCACTTCAATGTGGAATGTGGGCATCTCAAGCAGTGGTTTAACCTGCTGATCCACAACACCTGCCCCAAAAGATCATTTCTTATGTCTGTTCTAAACCTCTTCTGATATAGCTTGTGAAGAACTTCCAAAATGGATCTTTGGATATTGTTTACAAAGTCTTTTTGTTTTAATTAATAAAGCTGTTCTCAGATGCGTTTGTAAATTGGTAGTTTGTATGGAAACTAAGGAATCCATTAAGAAAAGCTGGTGAGGTAACCTAATATAAAAGACATAAGAGTTTAAATTGATTTGAGTTTTTAGTTTGATAATTTTGTATAACTGGGTCTAGAAAATATAAGATTTCAAAGGTATTTGTTGAGTTTACAATTTTAGGGGCCTTGTCCTATAGTCGTGATGGGTTTTGGCTAATAGCATAATTAGTGGAATAACAGAGAATAAGCAAATATTTCAGCTTTTTTTTTTAAAAAAATAAAAGAGGAAATAGAAAAATGTCAGTTTTCATTTTATGAAAGCTAAATCACTTTCATTTGTATTTTTAGGCAAAATCATCAGAACTGCAGAGCAGCGTTCAGCCCTCCTCACAGGTAAGGAAGTTTTCTTAAACCTAAGTGTAAGGATTTCAGAGTGTGACAGTATATTCGCAGTAAATGAGATCTTAAAGCGTTCTGAATGAAATCTGTCCCGGAGAGTGTTGACCAAAAAATGACAAAAGATTGGCTCTGTGATTGTGTAAGTCTAAAAGTCTGCGTGTACATGCAGCTCTCAGATGCAGGGCCTCTCTCTCCCATTAGCAAGGGGGAGATTTATTAGTAGTTTTGTATTTTCAAAATTGTGACCTATGTATGTTTTCCAGCTTATGTATGTAATCTTTTATAGAAAGGTAACAAGCTTTTTTATTTTCTCAGAGACCATCTTGGTGGCCCTTCGAGATCTCTCCTGGTGCATTAACTTTTGCTATCATATGGCCTTTTATTGCCCAGTGGCTGGTGCATTTATATTATCAGAGAAGGAGAAGGTAATACTGTAGTTTTATAATTTGAAATGGTATATAACCTCTTAGAATCTGCAATAGACTGAGCTTTCAGTGGCCATTAGGAGGAGAGGCATACTTCATGGCCACTGTCATACTGAATATTCTATACTGATCCTCTGACTGAAACTATTAGAAAACATTATCTTGTCAGTATCTAGGTACTTGTTAGACTTCAAATGTTTTTATTTGAGAGCATCTGATAGAATTGTGTTTTGATTTAGACATTAACAAGAAAATTACTGTGTACTTCCTCAGTTTTATGGCTTACAAGGAAATAATGCTCTTAACATCTGATACTTATTTTGGGCCCTTTGCTAATATAGAGGACAGCAGACAGGTAAACAGAATGCCTGCTTGCTTTCTGTGTCTATGGACATTTCAAAAAATGTCAAGCCTGGTGGTTAAGGATCTCTAGAACTAGAGGTTACTTTAATTGGAGAGCCAGAATTCCAGGACAGAAGTCCATTGACAGGAGATACCTCAGACAAGTTGCAGAATAAGAGACTAAAATCTCCAAACGTGCCCTGAGCCTGTCTGTGTTAGGAATAACCCTGAGGCCAAACTCCTTGGGTTCAAGGAAATCCTTAAATCCAATAAGCATCCTTTTTTGGATATATTGTAAAGTGAATTATCTCCCATGGATGGATGGGCAGATACCTCACTGATAGCCTCATTATGTCTTCATTGTTTTGTCATCATTTCTCATTAAATAACAACAAGGAAAGGAAAGAAATAGGGCATTTGATAATGATGTCAGAATTTTCAAAAAGTTACAAGTTTAAATTTTGGAGGGGCATGTTTGTTCTTTACTAAAGAACATGTTTCTAATTATTATATTTGGTAATAAAATTTACCCTTCTTTTGCATAAAAGTGATAAGCAGAGCTCCACTTCAGTTGTAATACTTTACAGTAGGTAGTCTGAAATACCTATGATAGTAGATGAATAATTTTTTAAGGATTTATTTATTTATTTGAAAGGCAGAGTTACAGAGAGGCAGAGGCAGAGAAACAGAGAGAGGTCTTTGATCTGCTGGTTCAGTCCCCAGTGGCCGCGATGGCTGGAGCTGGGCTAATCTGAAGCCAGGAGCCAGGAGCTTCTTCCAGGTCTCCCAGGTGGGTGCAGGGGCCCATGTACCTGGACCATCCTCTGCTGCTTTCCTAAGCCATAGCCAAGAGCTGGATCCGAAGCAGAGCAGCCAAGACTTGAACTGGCGCCTGTATGGGATGCCAGCACTGCAGGTGGCAGCTTTACCTGCTATACACCACAGGTGTTCCATACTGGTATGGTATAAGGTTTTTTCCTAAGTATTCCTTTTTAGTTGTTAGCAGATGTCTCTGAGTAGAGAAACTGCTAATTTCATTTTCTACCTTGTTGTTGAATCCTTACCAGTTCTTTCACTGTATGTTAAGTGCTTAATCCTTACAAATTATTTGGTACCAGGCAGCTGCATTTTGATGATGCCTAAAGTTTTTATATTTTATTCCTTATTTATATGACAGATTAACTGGAGCTAAAGATACAGCCTTATTTGATATGGTGACCCAGATTGAGTACCTGGTTCATGGCTTTGGCCTGGCCCAATCCTGGCTGTTGCAGGCATTTGTGGAGTGAAGAAGATAAGAGTTTTATCTTTCCTCTCTCTCTCTCTCTCTCTCTCTCTCTCTCTCTCTCTCTCTCATACACACACACACACACACACACGTTAAATAAGGAAAGGAGGGCTGTTAAATACAAAGGACTTGGGCAAAGCCGGCATCCCATATGGGCACCGAGTTCTAGTTCTGGTTGCTTCTTGTCCAGCCCAGCTCTCTGCTGTGGCCCGGGAGTGCAGTGGAGGATGGTCCAAGTGCTTGGGCCCCTGCACCCGCATGGGAGACCAGGAGGAGGCACCTGGCTCCTGGCTTCGGATCGGCGCAGCGCCTGCCGTAGCGGCCATTTGGGGAGTGAACCAACGGAAAGAAGACCTTTCTCTCTGTCTCTCTCTTACTGTCTATAACTCTGTGAAATAAAAAAAAAAGAAAATATAAATGACTGTTCTTTTTTATACAAAGGACTGCTCTTTTGAAAGTGTTTACCTTGGAGGTAACCACTTTTCTTTATCAGACTATCTAGACTCCTAAATTTGCTGTGATGTAGTTTCCGTGGGGACACTGAGCTTTCAGATTTCCACAGATAATCAATAGAAACTGACTGAGACTGGAGGGGCTCTCGGGAGGAATGGTCTCTGTTCACCCCGGGGCGCAGATGGTGCTGACAGAAGTCAGACCAGGGGTCTGAGGACACGAACCAGTCTTAGTGGTGTCTCCGAGCAGAGTTCAGCTGCGTAAGGGAGCAGACAGAACTTATTCCTGTCCTTTTCTGTGACTTATCATACAGCACCCTCCCTTCTGTTTGCCAATTAATTGGAAAAAAAAAAAAAGGGAAAAAAAGTGGAGAAAGATCTCTTTAAGAACCTGGAAAAAAAATCCTGAAGTTCTGAAGACAGTGATTTACTTTTATTCTCTTAGAATCAGAGGCCAAGTTGTCTGCCCTTTAAAATGTGCAGGGACCTTATACAGCGATCTGCTTCACAGGAAATTTGATATGTGCTGCAGACTGTTCAGGTACCCCACAGCTAGCATTTCTGATAAAAGCTCACTCCTGGCAGGTTGTCTGTAGAACCACCCACGTCTGTCTTGTCTTTGTTAACCATTTTAATTCCCTTCCTCCAGGGGCCAGATCTCCTTCTTGCTGCCAGATCTCCTTCTGTGCAGTTGATCTGATTATCTAAAATGTCACTCCTGCCAAGGAGGTGTACACAAGAGGATTTCTGCAGGGGATAAGGAAGGATCTGATTATGTAACGTCACTCCTGCCAGGGGGGTTGCCTCAGAGCATTGCTACCGCGAGCGCTGACTAATGAGTGGCAGGCATTTTGGCGTCCCGAGTGCTGGGGAGGCCTTGGAGCCTTTACTGCAGCGGAACCTTTCGCAGAATCGGTCCTGTGTGATTGCATTATCTTGAGCTAACGAGCCTGCCCCTTCCTGGAAGCTCATTCATTCTGCTGTCATGAAAACCTTATTATGGATCTAAGCTTTCAGTTTATGAGACTCCCTCTCCCCTGGCACCCAAACTGAGGTCTTCTGGAGTCTGAGAACTGCTTCATTTATCTTTGAATCCCTGGTGCTTGGCACAGTGCCTGGAATGTCGTAGATACATAGTATGGGTTGATTAAATAGTCCATTTTGTAACCTGGGAACCCCTTAGATGTCTACTAAGCTTTTTGTTTCACAAAGCTAAAACATTTGATAAAATTTGAAAAATGAGTAATTCCTTTTAGTCTTTTTTATATAAAATATTTTTTTATTTTTTAAATATTTTATTTATTTTGAGAGGTAGAGTTACAGACCCATATGGGTCCAGGGACCCAAGCACTTGGATCATCTGCTGCTGCTTTCCCAGGCCGTTAGCAGGGAATGGGATTGGAAGTATAGCAGCCAGGACTTGAACCGGTACCCATATGGGATGCTGGCACCACAGGCAGAAGCTTTAGCCCACTACACCACAGCGCCAGCCCCTAAAATAAATCTTGAAAAACAAAATAAAACAAAAACCTCCTGCCACAGTAGCAGGGGGAGGGAGGGCCCCAAGAAAGGACTAGCCATAAGTATTTTTAAAAAAGATTTATTCATTTATTTATTTGAAAGGTAGACACACAGAGAACTCCCAAACACTGGTTCACTCCCCAAATGGCTGCAACAGTTAGGGTTGGGCCAGTCCAAACCCAAGAAACTGGAAGGCCGGCGCCGCGGCTCACTAGGCTAATCCTCCGCCTAGCGGCGCCGGCACACCGGGTTCTAGTCCCGGTCGGGGCGCCGGATTCTGTCCCGGTTGCCCCTCTTCCGCGGCGGCCATTGGAGGGTGAACCAACGGCAAAGGAAGACCTTTCTCTCTGCCTCTCTCTCTCACTGTCCACTCTGCCTGTCCAAAAAAAAAAAAAAAAAAAAAAAAAGAAACTGGAGTTCAATCCTGCTCACCCATGTGGGTGGCAAGGACCCAAGTTTTAGCCATCACCTGCTGCTCCCAGGAGACACAGTAGAGGGAAGTAAGAATAGGAACAGAGCAGGGCCTGAGGCCAGGTGCTCTGATATGGCATATGCGCATCCCATACTACATCTTACTAAACTGTTATGCCAGATGCTGGCCTCCCAAAATCTTAATCATAGAAAATAATCTAGAAGGTAAGAGAGGAGAAATGATTATTTAAATTATTAAATTGCTTGGTAATTTCAATCCCTGCAGTTGATCTTTTCTATTGGGCTATCTAACATAAAATAATTTCTTTTTTTTAATGTTTCTTTTTCTTTAAGGTTTATTTATTTGAAAGTCAGAGTTATACAGAGAGAGAGGAGAGGCAGAGAGAGAGAGAGGTCCTCTGCTGCTGGTTCATTCCCCAAATGGCCGCAATGGCCAGAGCTGCGCCTATCTGAAGCCAGGAGCCAGGAGCTTCTTCCAGATCTCCCACGTGGGTGCAGGGCCCAAGGACTTGGGCCATCCTCCACTGCTTTCCTAGGCCACAGCAGAGAGCTGGATTGGAAGGGGAGCAGCCGGGACTTGAACTGGCGCCCTAATGGGATGCTGGCGCTTCAGGCCAGGGCTTCAACCAGCTGCGCCACAGCGCTAACCCCAACATAAAATAATTTCATGAGGACCATTTGTCATTGTGTGGCTTTCTCCTGAATTTTTTTTTTTTTTTTTTTTTTTTTTTTTTTGACAGGCAGAGTGGATAGAGAGAGAGAGAGAGAAAGGTCTTCCTTTTTTTTTTTTTTTTTGCCTTTGGCACATTGCGCTGATCCGAAGGCAGGAGCCAGGTGCTTCTCCTGGTCTCCCATGGGGTGCAGGGCCCAAGTACTTGGGCCATCCTCCACTGTACTCCCGGGCCATAGCAGAGAGCTGGCCTGGAAGAGGGGCAACCGGGACAGAATCTGGCGCCCCGACCGGGACTAGAACCTGGTGTGCCGGCGCCGCAAGGTGGAGGATTAGCCTAGTGAGCTGCGGCGCCGGCTGTTCCTCTTGAATTTGAATGTGAGAATTCCTTGGATGTGTTTCATATTCAGGTTGCTCTCTTATAATGACAGAAAATTATTTTTTACTCTCTTTTTAAAGAAAACTGAATTGAAGAAAGTGGTGTCTTACCCAAGAAGACTGCTGGGCCTGGATCACCTGAGAATGAAATGGATTGTGGAGTTCACAAGAAAATCTAGTTGTAATGATTACATTTCTTTTTGTTGTCCAGTAGTTTGGTTTGTGTACATATATATATATTTTTTGCACTACACAAATGATAATGTTTTAAGGACTAACATTGCTGATACTTGAATAATCAATCTCTACTAGGTTGTAAGTAGCATATATAGATAGATTTGCCCTGCACTTGAACTTGAAGGACATTAAATTATTAATTATTGTTTGGTAACATGTTTACCTGATTATCTCCCATAGAGAAATATAAGCTGCTTTTCCAAGGTATAGTTGTGATGAGAACAGATTTATAAATGGATATTTTTAATTTTCTAAGTTAAATATATAAGAAGGAATGCAAACCAGGCGTGAATTTCAAGTGAGATTAAATCACTTTGTATCTTAGTCACTTAATTGCCCTGCCATGTAGTAAAGAATTGCTGGGAGAATCTTCACATTCATTTTGCGGGCTGTCCTTGATCTATCTTGGGCATTCACAATTCCGAGTTTGGTGTTCTTTATTTGTTAATTATTACAAAGAGGAGTAGAGTCTCATGTATTAGACTTAACTTTTACAATGGATTCAAAGAGACACAACCTGCTGATGGAAATGATGAAGCCTGGGCTTCCTGGAGGCTTCACGGTGGGTTCTATGCCTGCAGATGATGAGTAAGATTTTTATTCATATGCATTTATTACTTTCTAATCATGTTTCTTTCACTGATATCTAGTGTCTGCTTCATAGGGTGCTTTAAAATACAAAATGAAAACTTATTTATACTGTTTTTACAAAGGTTAAAAAGGAGACACATGAAAATCACTTTTCTGCAACTGGCGAACTATATGGACTGGACTCTTAACCTCTTAGTGCCTCAGATTTTCCTTCGGGGTATAATATTTCACATGTACCTGCTTCACAGGGGTATTGGAAGGCTTTGCAAGCTAACAGGCTGCATGTTTCCAAGGGAATAAGGCATGCCCAACTAATGGAAATGTAGGTCTCTGCTCATCTCCCACATTTAGACCAAATACCTAATTTAGGTTCTTGAAGACTTTGTTTAGAAAGTCATTTCTTCCTGTTTACCTTTCAAAACTTCCTGCTCACTTAGATGTACCTTGTGCTTTAACGATTTCCTGGATTCAAAGGCTTTGTTGTAAATAATTGTTAAGCAATCTCGGTTTGTATGGTGTTGGGTTTGGCATCATGTAGTCAGAGTTCTGAGTGAGAGGGAAAAAATCCATCTCCAGCACACAGGCTGCCTCTGTGTGTGCTTGAAGAGAAGGTATGATACAGTTTGCTTTGCCCAAGTTCTTTTTCTTTCATGTGACTTGGTGGTTATTTTTAAATCTCAGCTTGATTAAAATATGTTTGTCTAAAGGGATCTACTGATATTTGCTTTTAAAAACCTGCCCTCTACTTATTCCAAAAAAAAAAAAAAAATGAAGCAAGCAATTGAATTATATGTAAAAGTAAAATTTAGAACTTTGGATCAGGGATTATTTTCAAAAGCTAGATACCAATTTGGTATTAGAAAGTGGTAGCTTTTCTTTTAGTATTTAAGTAAACAAAATGCAATTAAGAATGTAAGCAGTTGTGATTCATTACAAGCAGGCAGGGGTAACTAACTCCTAGGGTTAACCATTTGTATCTTGTTCCAAAGTCTTATTTTATAGTTTGAAAAACACTTTGCACACAGTTCTTGTATATAAAAGTAAAGATGTAATTATCGGGTATAGTGTTTCTGCTTTGTTTAATGACAACCTCATTTTACATTTAAATTGGACAGCTATGGTATTTTTTTAATGACCAACTTCTTTTCTGTTTATTGTAAAAATAAGTTAAAAATAAAAGGTTAATGAGAAATAAAATGGTATTTATTGTTACTTTTAGTTCATTGATTATGTACTAAAGATTAAATGAGAATAAATAGTGGGAATTTATCTAAAATAACCATGACCTTTTCAAAAGAAGCCATGTTATTAACATATAATTTGACAAAATTCAGAAATGGATGAATTTATATTAATTAGTTATCTGGTTTAGACTATTAGTGATCCAATCAAAATCTCCATTTCAAGTATTTTTTTTATTTATTTGAGAGGCAGAGAGATACATACAGTAAACGTTCATCCACTGGTTCACTCTTCAAATGCCTACAACTGCAAGAGCTAGGCTAGGACTAGAACCAGGTCTCTCACAGTGGGTGTCAGGAGTGCAGTTATTTGAGCCATCCCACTACCTCTCCGGGCTGCATTTGTAGGAAGCTGTAATCGTGTGCGGGGGTCGGGGGGGGGGGCAGTCAGGCAGGAACTGAGGTCAGGTAACTGATGTAGGATGTGGGCATCTCAACCACTAGGCTGAATGCCCACTCCAGGTTTCAATTTTTATACCAAATAAATAGCTCCCCACAGCCACTGAATCTTTATTCAGCCATCTTAAATATATATCGTTGGTCTTAGGAAATGGGTTTTGTTTTTAATATACATCTGTAACTTGTAACTCCTACATAGTGATAAATGTGATGCTACTTATTTGGATCATTTAAGATATGAGTGGGGCGTGCTGCATTCCAGTTTGAGTAAGATTTGCCTCCCTAAACTCATGCAGATGTTTAAACCCTAAAGTCTGGGGTTGGAACTTGGCCTGATGGTTAAGCAGTCAGTTGGGGCACCCACATCTCATATTGGAGGGCCTGGTTTTGTGTGCCAGCTCTGCTCGTTTGTAGCTTCCTGCTAATACAAACCCCAAGAGGCTGCAGATAATGGCTTGAGTGGGTTGCTGCCACCCATGTGAGACCTGATTGGAGTTCCTATCTTTTGGGCTGGCCCAGTCCCAGCTGTTGAGGGCAACTGCGGAGTGAACCAATGGATAGGAGCTCTCGTCTTTTTTTCTCTGATTCTCTGCCTCTCAAATTTTAAAGTACCAGAGTGATGAAATTCTTGGGACTACCAGTCTCTTGCCTAGAGTTTATTTTTTGCTGTCAACATTCTGGGAGCTGACAGGATTGTGGGTGGAAAACTGGATGTCTTAGCATTTGGAGTGCATATAATAAGGCCCTTAAAAGGTATTTAAGGCCCATTTTCAGTATTACTGAGGTGACAACTTTATTTGGATACTTTGAAGAGTGTGGTAAGGGTCTCTATTTATGAAGGGATGGGTAGGGTGCAAGGGAACCATAAGGAATAGTTTTGTACTATAAATATTACTTTTTGGGGACTCCTGTAATAAAGTACCATAGACTAGGCAGCTTAACAGAAATTCATTTTCTCATAGTTGTGGAGTCTAGATCCAAAGTCAGGAGCCATGAGCTTTTTGCAGGTCTCCCGTGCAGATGCAGGGGCTCAAGGGCTTGGGCCATCTTGTACTGCTTTCCCAGGCCATAGCAGAGAGCTGGATCAGAAGTGGAGTAGCCAAGACTCGAATGCTGCTGTCTGGGGCTTTCACCCACTGTGCCACAGTGCCGGGCCCAAGTCTAGACTTGAAATCAAATTATCAACATGGCTGATAACTTCTGAGGCCTCTCTCCTGGCTTGTAGATATGATGGTCTTTTCCCTGTGTCCTCAGATGGGCTTCCCTGTGTGTGTGTGGGCACCTGTAGACTATAATCTAATACAGGTGTCAATCATGTTGGACTAGGGCCCACCCCAGTGATCCCATTTTAATTCAGTCACCACTTCTAACACCCTAATCTCCAAATTCAGCTACATTTTGAGGTACTGGGGGTTAGAACTTCTACATGTGTTTTGGTGGGGGGCACATTTCAGCCCATAACAAATACCTGGGGAGGTAGTAACAGAAACTCTGTTGCCACCTACTCAGGTCTTATTTTGAGAGGAATGAGCAGTAGTAGGTACAGAGACAGATGGGGCCTGAAGAGGGCCACCTAGGAGCTGACATCTTCTATCAGCCGATCAGGACCCACAGGGAAGAAAATGTGGGAATCAACATTCCTACCTCACTTCTATCTTACTGGATTTATCACTGATATCCCAATACTCTCCCTCCCCCCACCGGCCAATCTGAAATTGAGAAGACGAGAAGTGTGTTGACATCCACTCAGATCAGATTCCCAAGGCTTGAGAAGGGTGAAGCGGATCTGGAATGGGCAGACGATCTTCTGCCTGCACCTGTCCCTGGCATCCCTCATGTTGACGCTATATGGGGTGGGGGCTACATTTGGCAAGGATCAGGCAGGGGTATTCAGAGGAAAAGTGGATCTAGTAGTCTGCTTCTTAAATGCAATCAAACTAATTATTTTAACTTCTCCCTTCTATCCTTAGAGATGTCTCTAGTGCCAACTCTCAAGCCTTTTAAGAGGATTTTCATAGTGTAAGTTCTGTCAATAATTGACTTTTCTTCATGACTCACCAGTGATTTAGTTTTCTGAAGTCTTTCGTCTTTTCTTTTCCTATTCTCTTTAGACTTGTGATTGCTCTAGTTACTATGGTTGGATAACCAGTTACACCAAAGCTTTGTGGCAGAAAGTAGCCCAGTTGCTCAGGTCAGAAATTAGGTGTCACACCTGGCTCCTCCAGTTCTCATTTGCTTCATCCCATTCATTAGCAAGTCCTGTTCAGTCTACTCTGTATCTTAAATTCAGTGGGCTGCTGCAATAGCTTTTATTGTACTCATGGACTGAGGGCCTCACAAGTCACCTGAACTCATGCTCACTCATCTGGTGGTTGCTTCTGTGATAACACAAGACAGCTGGAGGCTGGCATAGTTGGAGGCCTCTGGACATCTGTTCTCATGTGGCGTCTCCATGTGGTTTTTCCAGCACAGCGGCTTCAGGACTGCAACTCAGGCTCCCGAGATGCATGTCTCAAGAAGAAGTAGAAAGCTGTATTATGCTGAGTTATTTCTACCACTTTCTTCATTAGAAAGAAGTCACTCAGACTGGCCCATATTCAAGGGAGGAGAATTAGACTCCGTATTTTATGGAGATGCAAAAGAATTTGAAGATACACCATTTTTATGAACTCTCCAATTGGTTTTTTGAGTTCTTTATTTGGGTGTCTCACAGACATTTCAGTCTTGGTATGCCTACCCACCCTGTCCATCGTTCCGTTTCAGGGCATACACCACAACGATACAGTTGCTTAGGCCAGAAATTAGGTGTTAAACTTGGTTCTCCCATCCTCGCATGCTCCTCATTCCATTCATTAGCAAGTCCTGCTGAGTCTGTCCCTGGACTGTTTCTTGAATCCAGGAAGGTTGGTGCAATAGCTTTCATAACACACTCTCCTTCCTTCAATTACTGCCCATCCATTTCTCACATGGTTAAAAGAATAACCCATCCATGGTTGGGCTGTTATTAATGGAAAAATCTGGTATAAACAGAAAAAGTTTATACAGTTTTCTGGGTTCTGAGCAGGTTTGTAATTGGCTAAAAATAATTTTTTCCTGGCCAATGGAAAAATTATTGGACCTCAATGTCCTTCTAGATGTTTTGAGCATAATGATACGGTTTCTCCTAATTACCATCTTTCAAACCTGCAATTAATTCAAATATAAGGTACATTGGTAGCTTTTTGGAAAAAATATTTTCTGTATTTAACATTTAGTAGGGGTGGGGAGAGTTATTTCCCATGGACAAGAACTGTATATGGCTGCTATGGAGGAGGAAATACAATTTTTTATGAACTCTCATGATTTCTTAGTTGGGATGGCCCCCCATAACAATAGATTGACTAGTAGGCTAATGTACGGGGGCACATAGTGCAAGGAACCTCAGCAAAAACCACCCAAAGCAGAGGCTTAGAACTCTGGTGCATACAGAAACTTCCACACAGGACAATAAATCTGGAGAAAAATGACAGGACAAAGACAAATGATTTTAAGCTTTGAGAGGTAGGAAATGTTAGGCAGGGAACTAGCACAGGAGGAAAACCAATGAAGTAAGGTTCACAGATTCCTCTAGGGCTATCTTTGGGCTAGGACTCTCGAGCTGTCTCCAGAAAAGAATTTATGTCCTGCCTTTAGGATATAAATGCTGTATTCTAAAGAAAAGCAGGATAAGGAGACAGCTATGCTCCACTGGTTGTTAGCACAGAAACAACTTCTTAGGTAAAAGAGGTATATTCTGGGATGACACATTGATTTCCTTCATGGCCAAAGATCCATAGGTTTCTATTGGTAGCAGTCAATGGTCTTTAAAGGCCTGTATACACAAGTGCATACACACACACACACACACAACTGTCAAAAACCACTTCCATTTCCTCATTGTTCTTGTTCTTTCTCAAGGATTTTCCTTAGCAAGTGTCTGAACCTACATCTTAACAGGGGTAAATTTAGAAAGTGAATCTCTTGTTCCCAGTAAATACCATTAGAACATGCCTTACCTGGTGGCACACTTTCAAGTGACTGTAGTTACATGTGCTAGGTCTATAATAGCAAACTGCTTATAACTTTCCATGCAGGAACAGTTTTCTGCATTGGAAATAGGCTCACGGCACATTTCCCTGATTACTCAGTAATGTTTTATGGCCCTGATGAGATGGATAGCCTAGGCAGCAACCAAACTGGTTTATCCATTAATCTGGCTTCACTCATTCGAACTCTCCTGAGTAACCATTATTAATAACCAATTTACAGGTGCGCCATCAGGTGCTCAGAGGTAAACTCACCCACAGGGCTTTTTAATGCAGCAGAGCAGTGGTTTGAACATTTGTGTGGGACTCCAAAGCCCTTTTTCTTTCTACTGCTTGGAAATACAACAGAAAATTCTAGGCTTCCGTGAATTCAAGGGAAAGCTATAATTCATATTAAATGAAGTTTTAACATCTGTATTTTCAACACTATCAGAAGGAGTGACTATTATGAGCATTAAATCTAAGGAGTTATTACTGAAACAAGCTCAGTGAAACTTGACCCATGGGTTCAGTTACATAGCACAGGCTATAATGGTGTGTCTTTCACTGTAACGGTGTTATACTTGTATTATCCTTGTCAACTACATTATGGCAGTGCTCTGACCGGAACGGTAATGGAAAGTAAAAACACAAAAGCCAATGTGCAAAAGAAACAATAGTATTTAATAGATGACACCATTAGCAAAAAACTTTCCTAAAGTGCAATTAGATTTGTTCTTTTTAATTAAATTCTCCATGAATCTAGGGTATGACCTGTGTGTCTGTCTGTCTGTATCTTAACAGAATGATATTCACACTCACTCTACCTATTAAGCAAAATAAAATTTTTAAAGATATTCTGCCCCTGATAGTGTACATTTTAAACAAACAACTATAAGAAGTATCTAATTTTCTATGCATGTTGAGCAAGCTACAGTATGTCACACCTAACCCTTTTAGTGCTATTTTAAACACACATTGTAGAGGAAGCACTAAAAATCAGTCAAGGCAGCAAAAATGTAGTAAGGTAAACGAAGACATTAGCCTTGCTCATTCCTCATTCTCTAAAGGAGTTAGGCTGCAGCACAAAGGAATTTACAGCTGCATTTGAGGTCTCAAATATGGCCTTTAAATAATTGCCCTGGAGACCAAACATTTGCAGGCAACCATGTGCAATAAGTTGCTTTCAAATGAAATTATGATTTTTCCTCCATTATTTTAACATAAAGCTGAATGGAGGACTGAAAGCATCAGCTAAAGAGAAAGAAAATCGAATTTATGACTTTCTCTATACCATGGTAGTGTCATTCTAATTTTATTGGTGCTTTTCGTAAAGTGCAGTCAACAAAATAAATAAGATGAAGAAAGTTTTAAAGATTTATATACAGTTCTGAGATCGAGATAAATTACAGATTATATTCCTTAGTTTTTTAACTCTTGTGAAAGCTGTAACATACATTTAAAGGTCACTGACCCAGGTAACGTAATGACTTTTTTCCCACATGTCGATCAGCCTAGTATTAAGGAGTATATAACTATGCGAGCTGCTTCTATAACACAGGTTAGCCTTAGGAGAGTGAATGTGCTATAGACTAAATCCAGATACAGTCAGGTGCTGAGCATTATTCCTGGCTTCAAAATAAGATGTATCTGTTTCGCCATCTGGTTGGGGGATGAAAGGCATAGTTTGATGCTGAAGATTTTCCCAGTCCACATCGCTGAAGAGAGGATGAAGTCTCAGCTCTTGGGAAAAATTTAAAATAAAACAGAATATTATGACACCATTACCTAGGTAAGTACTGCTTTACAGAGAATGCCTCAAATATTCCAGGGTACCTCAAAAAGGTTGTGGAAAAATAGAATTAAAAGATAAGTTTCTTTAGGTGCAAAAAAATTAAAATCTGTGCATACAAGGGGTCATGGAAAATATGTATTATGAAAAAAACTATGCATGGAATTCAAAATCTTTTGCACCAAAGTAAGTCTGCCTTTTTAAAAGAAAATTTATTTAGTTATTTGAGAGGCAGAGAGCCAGAGTGCACTTCCATCCACTGGTTCACTTCCTAACTGCTCTCAATGGCTTGGGCTGGGATGAACCTGGGAGGCAGCAAACCAACCAAGGTCTCCCATCAGGATGGCAGGAATCCAATTACTTGTGCCATCACCACTCCCATCAGTCTGCATTAGCAGGAAGCTGGGGTCAAGAGCCAGAGCTGGGAAAGAAACCCAGGCACTCCAATGTGGAATTCAGGTGTCTTAACTACTAGGCTAAATGCCCACCCCTTTTAATGCCGTTTTCTACAAACTTTTTGAAGCACCCTTATATCTTGCCCTGCTTTATTATCCCAGTCTCACAGATGTTTGATTAATGTCTACCTGTCTACTAGGCCACATACTTCCACAAAGGTCCACCCTGTGTCCTTTTATACAACACTTGGCATGACTGGTGACTGGTTTGTATTTGTCCCAAGTGAATGGCTGATTTGTCCTAACTGAAACCTACCTTTCACACTGCTGCATCTTCTCACACGATGCATGACTTGAGAGAACTGAAAGGTTAGCCTTCTTCTTGCTCCCTGACAGTCTCCCATACCACTGGATCTTGCATAACTAATGCTATAGTTCTTTCCAATTCTTACTACCTGTGCAATCTTTAGCACTGTTTATTGCCCTGGATAACCTGAGCATGAAGCTTACCCTCCACTTCCTTACTTTCTCCCCTTTGCTCCTCCCTTCACCTTCCTCATAGAGATTTCAATATACACATGGATGACACTTCTAACACATTCTCTTCATGGTTCTTTGATGCCCTTGATTTTGTTGACTTGCAACTTTACAGCATAGTGACTAACTAGAAGTATGGCTATACACATAATCTATATCACAGCACTGCTCTACTTTCAAGATGTCAAGCTTTGCTTACTTGTTTAACTACCTTTTTGTTACCTGTAACCCTTCCTATTTCCTTGTACCTACTAAAATAGAAATATGCTTGTCTGACGACACTGTGACATTTGCTTGCTAGACACATACTACTTCTCAACTCTTCACTTTCTTAACTCCTTTATTTATTTTTTTTCTTTTTTGAGAGGCAAAGAGAGAGAACTCCTATCTGCTGTTCACTCCCCAGATGGTTGCAATGGCCAGGGCTGGGCTGGGCTGGGCTGAAGCTGGGAGCCAGGCACTCAATCCAGGTATCCCATGTGGGTGGCAGGCATTCAATCACTTGAGCCATCACCTCCTGCCTCTCTAGATATGCAGCTGGAGTCAGAGGTCAAAGCCAGGAACTGAACCCAAGATAATCGAATCTGCAACATGAGTATCTTCACAACTAATCTTTACCCTTTAGGCCAAATGCCCACTCCAATCCTTCAGTTCTTGAGGCAGTAATGAAGATGTTGGCAAAAAAGTACAAGGCAGGGAACAGTTCTGGGGGAGAAAAAATACCCAAATTTGAGGAAGATATTCAAGTTGATTATGCAGGAAAGGATTATGTACCTGGACTGGGGGTGATGGGTTGGGGAATCGTATATATTAGTTGGTTTTCCCTAACACTAAAAGAATGGTAATGAAGAGGGATAATATAGCAAAACTAATTCACATTTAGACGATTTGTCTCTTAATGTTCAAAATAAGTAACTGAGCAATGGATACTTCAAAATTTACTCTAGGACAGTGGTTGTCACGGATGTGATTTTGCCCCTAGAGGGCATCTGGCATTATTTGGAGACACATTTGATTGTCACAACTGTGGGGACATCTACTAGGTAGAGGCTAGGGATTCTGTTAAACATCCTACAATGTACAAGAAAGTCCCCACAGTAAGGAACTGTGTCAGTTGTGTCTAAGCTGAAAAACCTTTCTTTAGAAAACCACTACTATTAATGTAATTTGCTGAAAGTAAATGGGGCGTAAGAAAAGCACCACAGATTTTTGTTTCTTTCTTTAATGATCAATTTACACAGTGAAGCAGATTACAGGAGCATTCTTCAGTTAAAAACCAGTTGTTTTAACAAACTCAGAATCCTTTGTGGGTTCAGTTTAAATGGAAATGTTTAAAGTTGAGAGTCATAAAGCTTCCTATCACATCCAGATAACACAGATGAAGAATCACTGCTATGAGCTTTCTGCTTCTTTAAATGCACATAAAACACTTCCAGGGGGCTGGAGTTGTGGTGTAGCAAGTTAGTAAAGCCATCACCTATGATGCCCGTAACGCTTATAGGCCCTGGTTCATGTTCTGGCTGCTCTGCTTCTGATCCAGCGAATGGTCTGGGGAAGCAGCAGCAGAAGGCGCAAGTGCTTGGGCCCAGCCCTGCCGCACATGTGAGAGACTTGGATGAAGCTCTTGGCTTCAACCTGGCCTAGACCTGGCCTAGACCTGGCCATTGTGGCTATCTGGGGTGTGAACATGGATGGAAGATCCCTCTCTAACTGCCTTTTAAATAAATACATAAATCTTTTATTTTAAAATAAAACTTCCAATGTACAATATATTATTAAAATATCGCTGCAGCCTGAAAGTTTCACTTTTAGAAACTATTGCAGCTGTGACCATGGCTGAAGGTGCCTTAGACTATTATTCATTTCCTCTATTTTTCTTTTGTTTAAGCTGATTACTTTTGCCCCAATATTCTTCATTCTGATGTAATTCTTTCTCCAACCAGTGGTATAATAAGGCAGGTTGATATCTAGAGTCCTATTAATAATAAAATATTTACTCAGCTTGAGACTAATTACATAAGTCATTGTCTGCTGTACAGTAATGAGCTGGCATAAAAGCCCCTACGAAAACCCTCAAATGGTTCATAATGTACCATGTTTGTCTCCTTTGTCGGACAACCCATAATCCAATACACTCACCAATAAATAATGGTATCAGAAACAAAGGAATAAGAATTACAGAAGGTCTTCCTAAGACAATTTCCTGTATTAGTCGATGGTTAACTTTAATAGGCTTTTAAAAAAACCTGACACTGCTAAGATAAGATTCTTTCAGACACTTCCTTGAGATGAGTAAAATGCAGTGATAAATATTGCAACTTGATTGTAATGAATTTTAATGTAGAACAAAAAGAAATGTATCAGTGCATACCTAGAGATCAGAAATAAAATGAGGCATGTTTTTACCAATCTAGCAGTCAGATTATCTGTGCCATTATACTGGAACCTGTTATGTTAGGTATTTGCACCACCTGCATCAATCAATGGTAACAGATTTTGTGAACACAAAACCTTACCTTTCATTCCAGCTCTCTTTGTATTGTCAATGGTTAACAGTATATCTACTGCACTTTGAGCCTTCTCAGATAACTTCTCTTCACCTTCTGGCCAAGGGATATCTACAAATACAAAAATGCAGAGAAGTTTGCTAATCACTGTTCAAAATTTACAGAGAGGCCGATCTATCTTAACAGGAGAAAAGAAATCACCTCTTTTCAGAATATTCTGGAACACTTGTTGTGGTGTTTCATCATTGAAAGGGGGAATGCCCGTTAGAAATTCAAACAAGCACACTCCAAGTGCCCACCAGTCTACTGCAGGACCTGGAATTTAAGAGGAAATAGCTGAGCTTGCAAGCATTTTCTACAACTATTTGATCAGCTGAGACATTACTGCATGGATATTGGGGCATAATCAAGGCATTCATTGCCTACTTTCTTCTGTGTTTATAAGCTGAAACCCAAAATGCCTTCACAAAGGTATTGTGACAGTTACTTTCCCCTTTTTCAATTTCAGATTATAAGTGTCATAGCTAGGTGGATAAAAGGTAAGTCATCTTCATTTATTAACTAAAAATTCTTATTTAAAATAGGATACTTCTCAATTTTAAATTAGGAAATAATAACACTTGGATGATTCTTCTATATCATTTATTTCACCTAAAGTACAACACGATAGCCTGGCTCTAGGGAAAGCCTTAATTACAGAGTGCTTTAGTGTGACTTCATTTCTTTTAAGAACATAGAGGACACATTAGTTTAGCAAAGAATATTCACTTAAGCAGTGGCTTAAAAGATATTTAGGAGGTAAGTTTTAGAATAAGTAAAAGTGATTCCTAAACAACATCTTTACTGGAAATAATGTTTCTGTTCAAAGATGTTTTTAATGATTCTTTTAAATACAAACTTAGGCCAATTTAGAGTTTTTGTTCAGTTCTGTCTATAAATAAAGTGTTTTCTAAGCAAAGGTTAAGTTTAGTTTTTGGGCTGGAGTTGAGGCATAGGAGGTTAAGCCACTGCCTGTGAGGCTAGCATCCCTTATGGGCGCTGGTTTGAGTGCCAGCTGCTCCACTTCCCATCCAGCTCCCTGCTAATGGGAAAGCAGTGGAAGACAGTTCAAGTGCTTGGGACCCTGCACCTCTGTGAGACCCAGATGAAGTTTTTGGCTCTTGGATTCAGCCTGACCCAGTCCTGGCTGATGCAGCTATTTGGAGAGTGAACCAGCAGATGGAAGATCTCTCTCTCTCTGCCTCTCCTTCTGTGTAACTCTGACTTTCAAATAAATAAATAAACCTTAAAAAAAAACCAAATAACTCTTTAAAGAAAATTTCAGAGCTGCTTAGTTTAATTCCTGGCTGCTCTGCTTCTGATCCAGCTCCCTAGTAACATGCTTGGAAAAGCAATGGAAAATGGCCCAAGTGCTTACACCCTTGCCGCCCACGAGGGAGACCAGGATGGAATTCATGGCTCCTGGCTTTGGCCTGGTCCAACCCTGGTTGTTGCAGCCATTTGAGGACTGAACCAGTAGATGAAGATCTCTCTTTCTCTGTGTTGTTCTCCTTTCCATCATTCTGCCTTTCAAATAAACAAAATAAATATTTTAAAAAGAAGACAATTTCATGAAATTTATGATTGTGGTTAAGCACAATCAAAGTAGAAGAGGTGGGCATATGGTGTAGCTGTTAAATTGCTGGCTGGGATGCTCACATCCTATATTTGAGTACCTAGGTTTGAGTCCTAGCTCTGCTCTCTATTCTGGCTTTCTGTTCAAGTGCACCCTGGGAGGCAGCAGGTGATGGTTCAAGTAGTTGTAGCTCCATCACCCAAATGGAAGACCTGGAATGAATTCCTGGCTCTCTGGCATTTGAGAAAGTGAACCACCAGATGGGGGCTCTCGCTTTCCTTGTCCAAAAAAAAAAAAAGTCCTCATTCAATGTGTGCTAAAAAAAAAAAAAAAAGCAGTAAAGCATTGTGGAATCTGCTATTAGGGAAAATAATTGCATGCACTTAAAGCACATAAGCCCACATAATCCTGTCTTCCACTGAAGGAAAACAAGATGCAAATAGCCCCTTTTATTTCTATGGCAATGACTATAAAAACATCCAGACCACCTCAGTTAGTAGAACTTCTCAGCACTGCCAGAGAATTATTCCCATGGATTAGATAATAAAACCAAATAAAGAAAAGTAGGCAGAAACCAGAAAAAAATTTATTTATTCTACTTAGGTTAGAAATCAGGACCCTCTTCCCAGCTCAGCCAAAAAGTATTCATGTTAAAATGTGTATGATTTCTCCACAGGTATGTCACATATACCCATATACTTCAGTCAAAGTCTAATGAGATCACATGCCATGATAAGTAAGAGCAATTATGCAGCATTAGCCAGTGAAAATATTTTACTGGCTTTCTAATTCAGCAACATACTCCTGCAATTTGTAGGGATACACTGACATTGTTCTACCTCTCTATGACATTAAAGATTCAGGCAGATCAAGCTCTTTTATAGATGCTCATTTAAACACACATCTTTATCAAGGCTGTGTCCTCTGTTGTAATAAAAAATGCTGTGCCTTCACTCTTTGCATTTTTAAAAAGTTATTTTAAAATGCCACACGCCTGCATTTCTTTTTTACAGAGAAGAATCACTTCTCTAAATGCCTTCCTGTTCGGAATACAGAAGAAGGCTCCTTTTTGTATTTCCTAAGTGAGCCGAGAGAAAATTTTTTCTGCAATGTGATCTAGTTATGCTTTGACTATACAGTTTAATGTGCTTTGCCATATTAACCTTATAGAGAGGTTTACTTACCTGAAGTCAGAAACCCTGCATTGTAAGAAAACAGTAGTTAGGTACATCACGTTAAAAAGGTCAGTTCATCCCCTCATTGTTCACTGAACTAGGCACTAGGTATCATGCCTATATTATATTTATCTATCTATCTATAGAGAGATAAATATCATTAAGAAAACATTTCTGTCCAGGGATAAAACTGCCTCTTCTGGGAGAAACAACATGGATCATCTTAATACAGTGTTAAAAGAACTGAACAAAATACACAAGATGTTCATGGGAAGCTCAGGATGAGGTAGATAAATCAGTGTGGCTGAGGGCAAAACCATGGAGAACATCAGGAGGTCGGAGGTGAGCCTCAGCATCTGTTTTAGCTGAGGTCGTTCTAAAACATTTGGCAAGCGCCTTATAAAAGCTTTAAATCTTTAGCCTATTTTCATACCGTTTTCTAAGTTAGTGATATTGCAAGTTATAATAGGAAACTGGCTTGAAACACTGTGACTTGAGCAAGGGGGGAATATTAAACATTTCCAGGTTATTAGCAACTGTTACTGACAGCTTTCAAGGAATACTACAGTGCAATGTAGAAGACAGAAAATTCACACTCTGCTCTTCGGAAATTTTTTTTAAAGTTTTTTTTTTAATGGAGACAAATCTAACAGCTAATTAAATAGGGGCAGCATAACCTAAGTTTTTGTTTGTTTGTTTGTTTGTTTTTTTTATTTTTTTTTTATTTATTTATTTATTTATTTTTTTTTTGACAGGCAGAGTGGACAGTGAGAGAGAGAGACAGAGAGAGAAAGGTCTTCCTTTGCCGTTGGATCACCCTCCAATGGCCGCCGCTGCAGCCGGCGCACCGCGCTGATCCGATGGCAGGAGCCAGGATCCAGGTGCTTTTCCTGGTCTCCCATGGGGTGCAGGGCCCAAGCACCTGGGCCATCCTCCACTGCACTCCCTGGCCATAGCAGAGAGCTGGCCTGGAAGAGGGGCAACCGGGACAGAATCCGGCGCCCCAACCGGGACTAGAACCCGGTGTGCCGGCGCCGCAAGGTGGAGGATTAGCCTATTGAGCCACGGCGCCGGCTTGTTTGTTTGTTTTTTGACAGGCAGAGTTAGACAGTGAGAGAGAGAGACAGAGAGAAAGGTCTTCCTTTACCATTGGTTCACCCCCCAAATGGCTGCTACGGCCGGTGCGCTGCGCTGATTCAAAGCCAGGAGCCAGGTGCTTCCTCCTGGTCTCCCATGCGGGTGCAGGGCCCAAGCACTTGGGCCATCCTCCACTGCCTTCCTGGGCCACAGCAGAGAGCTGGACTGGAAGAGGAGCAACTGGGACAGAATCCAGCGTCCCAACTGGGACTAGAACCCAGGGTGCTGGTGCTGCAGGCAGAGGATTAGCCTAGTGAGCCATGGCGCCGGCCAGAATAACCTAAGTTTTAAACAGTTTCTCCTCGATATTTGATCAAAGGGTGCTTTGTGGAAGAGGTGATATCTGAACTGCTGATGATACGGGAAGAGACTTGCCTTGAAGATGACTGGAGAGTGGCTTTTCTCAACTGTAGCAAAATCTGAGGGTGTTTCAAAAAGGTTAGGGGGTAGGCATTTGGCACAGCAGTTAAGACTCTGCTTGAGCTACCCACAACCAGAGTGCCTGGGTTGGAGGCTCTGCTCTGCCTGACTCCAGCTTCCTGCATATGCAGACCCTGGAAGGTAACAGATGACAGCTCAAGTACTTGGATCCCTGCCACCCACCAGGGAGACCTGAGTTGAGTCTGGGGCCCTTGGCTTCAGCCTGGCCCAGTACTGGGTGTTGCTGGCATATGGGGAATAAATCAACAGATGGAAGATCTCTCTGCAATTAAAATAGAATGAAAACAAAAATACATTCATGGAAATTTTGTATATCTTAGAGGATTCCATTTTCCAAGAAATTTTTGAAGCCCCTTTATACACATGTAAAATAAAGATCTGAAAATTAAATGTGCTTTATTTAAGAAATGCAATGGGAACACAAGGCCTATAAGGAGAACCAATGACAGCTGACGCTAGTAGGAGAACTTAGGTTGTCCAATGTCTGCATCGGGAGTTTGGATTTTATTTAGTAGCTCAGAGGCAGCCACCAGTGTTTTTGAGGAAGGGAGTAGAATGAACTATATTATGGTTCTGGCCATGATGACAAACATTAAAGCGAAGTTGAGGAGACCAGATGGAAGGCCATTAATATATGAGGGCACCTCAAAAACTCCGCAGAAAAATGGAATTAAAAGATGTTCGTCTTGGTGTGAAAAAATTGACCCTGAATAGTTTTTTTTTTTTCATTATATACATTTCCCATGAACTTATGGAAGACCCTTCACATTATGAAAAAGCTATCATGGTTTTAAAAAGAAATTTTTGCAACAAAATGAACATCTTTTAATTCCACTTTTCCAAGAACTTTTTTTTTTTTTAAGATTTATTTATTTATTTGAAAGTCAGAGTTACACAGAGAGAGGAGAGGCAGAGAGAGGTCTTCCATCTGCTGGTTTACTCCCCAAATGGCCACAACAGCCAGAGCTGTGCCGATCCGAAGCCAGGAGCTTCTTCTGGGTCTTTCATGTGGGTGCATGTTCTACCGCTTTCCCAGGCCATAGCAGAGAGCTGGATTGGAAGTGGAGTAGCTTGGACTTGAACTGGTAACCATATGGGATGCCAGCACTGCAGGCAGTGGCTTTACCCACTACACCACAGCACTGGCCCCTCCAAGAACTTTTTGAAGCTCCCTTGTAATGAAAGAGAAAGATGAACTTTGTATGTAGTTTAGTGGCAGAGATGAAAAGGAAAGGAGAAATGCTGTAAGATCTATTTATTTGTATTTAAATATCTGAGTGTGGGGATAATGACAGTGTCATCACAAAGATGGGGAAATGGATATAGGGAGCAGAGTAGCAGTAGAGGAAGAGCGAGTGGATACCAAGTGCAGTTTTGGCGTGCAACATTTCAAAGACTAGCATGATACTCAGTTGGGCCATATCTGCTGCTTCGAGAAAGGCAGGAGTAGAAACAGTGATCTGGGGATCATCAACGTGGAGGTGACCACTGAAGTCACAGGAATGAGATGACCAGGAATGCATGTAAGAACAAAAGGGCGGAGGACAGAATCTCGAACTGTTAAGTTGGCCCTCTGTATCCGTGGGCTCTACATCCACGGTTGGTCACAGGTGGAAATATTCGAGAACATTTTTCTTCTCTCTTTCATGAGTAGACTTTTGAGGGGAATCACTATTTCCTAAACAAGACAGAATAATTATTTATACAGCAGTGCCAGCATGCCATATGGTTGCTGGTTCAAGTCCTGGCTGCTCCACTTCTGATCCAGCTCTCTGCTATGGCCTGGGAAAGCAGCAGAAGATGGCTCAAGTCCTCCCATATGGGAGACCTGGAAGAAGCTCCTGGCTATTGGCTTCAGACTGGCCCAGCTCTGGCCACTGTGGCCACCTGAGAAGTGAACCAGCAGATGGAAGACCTTTTTCTATCTCTATCTCTGAGTCAGCTTCTCTGTAACTCTGCTTTCAAATAAATAAGTCTTTAAGAAAAAAAAAAAAGTCGTCAACAGTGTGACAAGTCGCAAGGAGAGCCACCACGATATGAAAAGGGAAAACTGGAATGATGCACCTGCAGGTCCAGAACACCAAAGAGTGCTCTGAAACCACAAGCTGGAAGGGGCATGGGGGGACCCCGATCCAGGCTTCAGAGGGAGCTTGGCCCTGTGGGCACTTTGATTCCTGACTTGGAGCATCCAGAAGTGTGAGACATTCGGTTTTGATGTTTTGTGCCACCTAGTTTATGGCTCTTTGTTATGGCATCCTGAGGAAACAAAGTTCACCTCAGAACGTAGGAAGGCAAAATTCCTCAGAGATTGGAAAGAAAAGACAGGTGAGAAACAGCACCTTATATGTAACTATCCTCTATTTTCAAGGATGGTTCCTTTCTGATTTGACCCTTCTGGTGAGGACCTACGTGAGAGTAAGTTCTTTATAGGCATAGCATTGTGGTCCTGAGCCCCAACCAGAATAGACCTGAAGAACTGAGAACACAGACAAGACACGGCATAGAAGTCAGGGCTTCTCGGAATCACTGAGACTGAACCAAAGACGAAACCATCGAAGGCAGAGGGCATGTGGCTATGTAGCCTTCAGTGTTCATTCTTTTACATTCAGATACATGAGCTAGCCATGATCATTTCTTTCTTTTTCTATAATAAAAGCCATATGTTTGACAAATGAGTATGGCATAAGTTCATTTTCCTTTACTTTAGGTAATCTAAGTACCAAAGAAACACAAAACAATTTCACCTTAAAAGATAACATAGTGGTAGGTAACATTTCAAAAACTTAAGACCTGCATGCCTTACCGTGGGCTGTGCCTAATAACAGCTCAGGTGCGAGGTAGTCTGGGGTTCCTAGAATGCGCCCATCATCCATGGGGGCTGCCCCTCTTCTCACACTCTTTGGTGTTCGATATGGAGTTTCTGACTTGATCTGATTTGGGGTCTGCTAATTCAAAAAGAGTTTAAGAGAAAACAAATTATCTTAACCTCCTCTTGTACTAAATGGACAGTTTAAAAAAATAATTTGTAGTTTCACTACCTTGAGAGACCTGCAGGGACAGGCACCATTACCCCTAAACACAGTTGGAAAAACAAAGTCTCTGAGGTTAAGGGACTTCTAAGTCCCTTCATTTAAATTCAGGGTTTATACTTTTTATATTACATCTCTCCATAGGAAGAAATGAAAGAAACTATGGGTTTATAGAAGTCTAAGTATAGAAAATAGAAACAAACAAGATTTGAAATATATGTTTTTCAACTTTTTTTCTATAAAAGGACAACTAAATATCCTTGGCAGGCAGTAAGGTAGAGTGGACTTAAATGTTGTACCTCATACAAAAGTACTTCAAAAAATTCACTGAAAATGTAATTAAAACATATTTATTTTGGTATAAAAAATCTTATAATCTATGCATAATTTTTTTCATAATATGTATTTTCTATGAACTCTCTTTTAAGACTTACTTATTTATTTGAAAGGCCAAGTTACAGAGACAGAGATCTTTTGTCTTCTGATTCACTGGTATGGTCTCAATGGCCAGGACTGGGCAAGGCTGGGGGTGGGCCAGGCCAAAGCCAGGAACCAGGAACTCCATCCAAGTCTCCCATGTGGGTAGCAGGGGCCCAATTACTTGCGCCAGCTTCTGCTGCTTTCCCAGGCACATAAGCAAGGTGCTGAATCAGAAGTGGAGCAGTTAGGACTCAGATCGGTGCAGAAATGGGATGCTGGTGTTACAGGCAGCAGCTTAACCTGCTGTGCCATGACGCTGGCCCCAGTATGAACTTTTTGAAGTACTCTTAGAGCTCTACTGGGATCAAGTGCAAATATGTGATCATATTTTTTAAAGAAAAGTATATAGAGCTATATAGATTATTATGCAGTTAATAACAACATTATTACCACTAGCTTTACTTTTCTACACGAAAAGTTCTAACAATCCATAGATTCTTAACAAGGAGAACTATATAACTAATGTCACATAGTCTAGTTGAGAGGCAAATGTTTATCTTAAAAGTTTAGCTTTCAAAAATACAGAGTACAAAGTTACACCCTACCTGGTACGGTATATAGGATCTTCCTTTTTGTGTAGGGGTTATAGCCATGGGATACGAACCACTATACGCACATGAAATATCCATTGTGTCTAAAGAAGTAATGCTCATTTTGGATGGTTCTGAGTTGTTAGACGTGTTAATATGACTGTTGAAACTTCGGAAAGCTACAGCATTCCTTTTAGACAGGGTTACTGTTTTCAACACCTCGGAAGAAGGAGCTAGCATTTTTTGGTTACCATCCTGGACAGCAGTGTCCTCATCACCTTTTGGCAAAGTATTCTCTTGGCAGTTTGGTGATACAGTAAGTAGATCTTCAATATTTGACTCTTCAAAAGAGGATTCTTTGATGCTTTTATCTGGATCTAAGCACTGCCTTTCCAATGAATTTTCCATTACAGAAATTCCAGGAAAAGATGAATCAGAATCCATACAAATACTTTTGGAAGTTTTATCATCATCTAAGCACAGACAATTAGAGCTTCCATAGTCCTTCTTGTTATTCTTTTCACAATCTTCATCCAGTTCACACATCAGATTTTTTGCTATCATCGGTATGGGTAATCTTTCCGGTGTTTGTTGTTTATCAATGTAAGAATTGGCAATGTTCTCCTTATTGGCACAATCATTTTGCCAATTTCTATATGCCGACAGTTTAAGGTTCTGGACTTCAGCTGTTAAGCCTGTTCTTTGATTTGTACAATAATCTATCATTTCACTACTGTGCTTATACTCTACACAATTTTTTTTATTCTGTATAATTTCCTGACAAGGACTAGAGTCAACCAACTCAAAATTCCTTTTTAAACTTCTTTTCCCAAGGTGCTCTTCAGAGAGACCACCGGAATCCACAGCCCACTGATCTGACTGATGGAAATCAGACTGCCTTGTGTCAGAGGCCATATCTATATTACAGACATCCAGTTCTCTTGTTTCCCAAGAAACATCCTCGGAGATGCCTTTTTTGGCAAGGTTTCCACAAGAACTTTCAGCAGCAGGAATGGTACTGCTGTTATGAATAGGAGAAAGCGCTAACTCAAGATCAATAGCACTTGTAGATTTTGTGCATAACTTTTCAGCAGTGTTCCAATTCATGACTGTAGAGCCCAATACTTCGTCACTTTCCTAAAGAGGGAAAACATACTTTTTTTAGTTATATAAAATTGATATTCTTTGACATTTAAAAAAAACTTTTTAAAAGATTTATTGAAAGGCAGAGTTACAGCGAGGGTGAGAGAAGGAGAAAGAGAGACAGATCTTTCATCTACTGGCTCATTCCCCAAATAGCCACAAAGATAGTGGGTAGGCCAGGTTCAAGCCAGGAGCCTGGAACTCCATCTGGGTCTCCCACATGGGTGTAGGGGCCCAAGTAGTAGGAAGCTGGATTGGAAGCAGAGCAACCAGGACTTAAACCAGTGCTCATATGGGATGCCAGAGCTGCAGGCAGTGGCTTAACACCCTGCTCCACAATGACGGCCACTTTTTTGACATTTTAACTTTTGTCCACTTGGGTGGAATAAATGGCTCCTTAAACTACTATGCTATCTATTCCCACTTTAAAATGGAACAAGAGAACAATGATAACATAATTAGAAAGAAATATAAATACTTGTAATGTAAACTTATACATAATATTTTGAGTAAAATACTGGTCTAAAATTTAAATCTATTACCCTGTAATACTTATTTTGTTAATATATTACATGTTACTTAAATAGGACAAAACAGGCAATATAAGCAAATTTAGAAGTTAGGCTGAGGCACGATATAAATAGGACTCACTAAATCAAGACCCTCTTGACCTGACAAGTGTCCATCTCTGGCACTAAACAAAATCTTGAACAAAGAAGTGGCCAGACCAGAACCACAAAAGATCCCCTACTGCCCTGTTAGACACTTCCCCAACCTGCATGCATGCCCACAGTAGCCCCAATGCAACCAGACAAGTGATCTTTGTGGGGTGGTGGGAGTGAGCAACAGTGCTATTTTGAGTGTGTTGTATGCAGAAAACCCCAGCAGGCAGTACAGAACACCCAGTGCCAACCAAAGTCGCATGTGCCGAGTGGAATGAGCCAGAACTCCCATCTAGGAACAGACTGAAGTGCCATGTGCTGTGGGGAAACTACCACACCTGGGTAAAAACCCCTGCCGGCCGGCGCTGCGGCTCACTAGGCTAATCCTCCGCCTAGCGGTGCCGGCACACCGGGTTCTAGTCCCGGTTGGGGCGCTGGATTCTGTCCCGGTTGCCCCTCTTCCAGGCCAGCTCTCTGCTGTGGCCAGGGAGTGCAGTGGAGGATGGCCCAGGTGCTTGGGCCCTGCACCCCATGGGAGACCAGGAAAAGCACCTGGCTCCTGGCTCCTGCCATCGGATCAGCGCGGTGCGCCGGCTGCAGCGTGCCGGCCGCAGCGGCCATTGGAGGGTGAACCAACGGCAAAGGAAGACCTTTCTCTCTGTCTCTCTCTCTCTCACTGTCCACTCTGCCTGTCAAAAAATAAAAAAAAAACCCTGCCAAGTTCCTCTCATTGAGCTGTTCCACAGTGCTGTCCCCCTTATGCTTAAGCATAGACCCTCCACTCAAACTTATGTGGGCTGCACAGAGGTCTCATTTCTTTTTGCAAATGAGCCAAAGAACTTGGACTCAATAACTAGGCTACATTCTATAAAGCTGCTTTGCAATGGGGGTATGGAAAATTCTATTTTGAAGAGCAAAATGCAGTTTGATGCAAAATGCAAATGCAGAGCTTGAAGTCTGGTCAATACAAAATTACGGGCTAAAAATCCTGTTAATATAAATTGTATCACTTCACATAAGTTCATCTTTCTTGAATTTTCAAAGATTGTCGATCACTTGAAATAGTATGTAATATGTTTTTGAATAAAAATGGAATGAGAATAAGAATTATTCTTATAATGGAATGAATAAGAATTGGATAAGGTAGAATGGTACTAGGAATGGAAATCTGTTGATAAATCCTATACTACAGTCTGTAAGGAGAGTCAAAAAAATACCAAGAAATCCTGTCTTCACCAAAATGAATTTGATCTTGGTCATATCATACCATATAAAACAATAATGATGAAAATCATATTACTGAGAATAAGAAACAAAAATAATCCAAATTATTTTATCAAAAGCAAGCTTAATTCTAAACAAAACTTGTTTTTACCAGCATTCTATGAAGGAGATTTTATTATTATTTTCACTTTCAGTCCCTATCACCTTTAACGCCAAATATAGAATATACAAATAAATTTAAATAATTTAAATCTATTAATTTGGTAAGCAATCTCCTCAGAATAGACAACTTTTTAAGGGCTAAATCACATGACCTTTGTAGTGTTGCTTCTTAAGTGTTATTTTTCTATTAAATGAGAAGCTGGTGGAAAACAGTATAGAGGAAGGTAATACAAGTTTTAAAATGACACATAGGAAAACAAGCTAAGTTCTGTATCACTTTAGGGAGTTTAAAAAGAAAACCCACCTAGATGCCTCGAAGCTGGACAATCACTGTCCATTTAATGCAAGAACCTCATTGTATACTAAGCAAGAACAAGTTCCCAACTGAATAAGAAGTGAACCATTTCAGACAAATTTGACAGCATGTAGAAGCAAATGAAGAACTCTGGATAATACTTTGACAGTCATTCATGGAACAATTTCCTATGGAATATATTTGAAAAATTATAGTGTCTCCAGCATTCACTGGACATACCTAATTGGTTTGGGGTAAGAGACATTTCCCTCTTACCTGACAATCTTTTTCCCATTTGGGACTGCTGTGGCATTCTGATTCCACACTGGACACGAAAGTGTGAGACTGACTACTGGCACTGGATGTAGCCAGCCTTTTCCTAGACTGGAGCAGATTACAAGTTAGACACTTCACAGGCATTCCTGGGTTGGAGGCAAGTGTTTCAAGATCTGCAGAGAAAAAAAATTGTTGAAGATTATGCTACTACTTTCTTAGTTCACTAAACCTGAATCTTTCCAGATAATTAGGCAATGGCATTAGGTATTGCATATCAAAACTACTTCTTTGTAAACACTACCCAGGCCACAAGATGGCTACAGTTGTTTCCAGCAAGTTTCCCATTATGTTTGGATATGTAAACAGTCACCAATGTAAGCACTTCTCTCAAAGTTAGAACAAAACAAAGCCCCCTTAAACACTGCTAAAGTAAAATTCAGGACAAGAGAATTAATTCATAATTAGGAAGATATCAATTTTGAGTATATATGATCCAATTTGAAACTATACTTGATCAATGTTGATTTATTGATAACATTATTGATGTAATATAAGGAAAGAATATGACTGAATTTACTAAATTCCAGTTGTATTTAATTAAAACTAAGGCTTTATTATAATAGTGAAGTTTATATGCTTACAAATGTGAATTATACATATTTGTAAAGGATTTCCTTAATACTACTGTATATAGCAATAAGCAATGGTTAATTGGCAAACAGTGAGCCAATACAATAAGACAGCACCATTTACATGATACCTACTTCTTTATTGTACATAAGTGAATAAAATAGTGCTAAAAATGGTTGCCCCTCAGCTCATGAGACCCAATATGACAACTGTGTCAAGAACATAATATAGGGATAGAAAGATTCCATATATATTCTCCTTCCCAAAAAGAGAAATGCAAGAGAGATGGAATTATTTTACGTGAAGAATAATGCTAGAAAGAACATCTGTATACTTAATATTTTAACAGTCATCTGTTTATCTTGGCTATATATTTTTGGTCAGCCACATATATCTGACAAAAGAAGTAAGACATATCAAATTTAGAAGAAAGGCTCAGTGGAAAGGGAATTATATTTGCACTCAGGACTTAGCCTACCCATCTATCCGTGAGTAATTAAATATTTTTACATACTTTCATTTGTAAAAAGGAGATGATACTTTATATTTCCTAGATCTGTTCAGATTTGTTGAGGATCAAAATGAAAATGAGGTCACATCTATGAAAACAACTAACATTGGTCATCCTTCAAAGCATTATTCACATTCCTAAGATAAAGACCAAGAGAACTAGATTGTCCACTGTCACTAAATTATTAAGGTAAAGTCACATGCTATATTAATTAAGTTGTTCTATTGTCTTCCTCATTATTTGGCAATTGACATTTATTGTATGTAAAAAATATCATGACTTCAAGTTTTTTAATTTAAGCTATGTAAAATATTTTGGAGATAACTTTTAAAGACACATATACTGCAGGTACTACATTTTCTCCAGATGATACGAGATTTCCAGACTTTGTACAATGAAATTTATCCAATGATTATTCCATATTATAAGTAACTGAAGGATATCTAATATGCTAGACATTTTATTCTGTTAGGGATCTGCCACAGTCAGTCAGAAATGGCATTTACATAATGAAATAGAGAAATGCCACAGACTGATAAAATATTTACAGTTTTAAAATTACTGGTTATTAGATTTTTAAAAAAATTCAAAATATTTTGTTCTTCCAAAGACACAATGGATCTTTCCTTTTATAGAAACCATCTTTGCTTTTATACTCCACAAGCTATCTTTCCTTTTATACTCACATGATTTTAGTAGCTTGCTAGGATAAGGAGCTGTATCCTTTTGGTCTGTGGACATAGGACAGACTGATCCCTGAGAAAGCTGTGATGTTTCAGATAGATGGGTTGAAAGGATATCTGCAGAGTCTTGGTTTTTTTCTGCAACTGGTGTGCACTATTGAACGGAGAAAAATAAAAACAAATGCTGAAAGATTTACCTTCACAAAAGACCTAAGAATATAGACTGTTATACCACCTAAGCAGACAGACAATCAAAGTGACTGCTCATACTTGATATTTGGGGGCTGGTGTTGTAGTGGAGCCAGGTTAAACCACCACTTGTGACGCTGGCAGCCCATATCAGAGCATCATCTGCCATGATTTTAATAACTTTGTTTTTTAAAGGGGAAGGCTATATTTTAAATAGTTACCATAAAATGCTAGGTTATGAGAGTTTTTTTTTTTTTTTTCTTAGCAAATACTTACAAATCCCAAAGAGCTGATGAGAGATAACACTTGTCCTGGGGTTCTTGAATAATCTTGTCTAGGTTTCGCCATTGAAGGTGTTGTAAGGATATCCATCATATTGATATCTACGCATTCAAAGAACAACACATATACTTTAAAATCTGTAATTGTCATTGACTCAGACAATAATCATGTACTGTGAACTTTGCCCATCACCTACAAAAACTGGCTTGTATAGGAAAAATATACCACAGAGAAAGCATATGCAATTCATCAATGTATTAAAATAATTTAAACATTTGGTGGAACACCATCTTGCTCTGGAATGAACAGAACATAGAGAAATGATACCAAATCCTACCAGCTTTTCAAGAAGTACTTGGTTACTAAAAAAATGAGTTTTATTTTTTGGTAAAGCAAATATTGCAAAAGAAGACAGTAAGGAATTAACTCAAATTATGGGCTTTTCATGTTAATGATTATGTTTAAGCCTAGGTCAAGACTTATTTTAACAGATTATTAGCATGTTTCAGTGTATATTTTAAAGTAATTCAACAGTGACACATATATTGTACTATTCTTAGATATCAAAAATGATAACAAAAATCTAATATTCTGTATGTGGCATAGGAATTTAAAAAGCATACTGAAAGTTTAAATGTATTGGATTTTATTTCTTGATCACAATGATAAAGCAACAAGAACAGGTCATAATAATCTCAAAAATATTTTACAAATAAAACTTAAAATAAATTTAAATTTACCAACAGTATCCTAATACAAATATTTCTTCATTTGTGATATTACAATAGAGTCAGATTTGTTTCACAATTCAGAAATGTTTAGATTTTAGGAAGCTAATTTAAAAAGAATTTATGACAAATTAATGAACATACTTAGTGGCATCTCATATCATTTGCATTCAACTATTAGTATTTTTGCAGTGAAATACATGAGATTAATTAAGACTCCAAAAGCTCCCACATTAGCTCACTAAACTTAGAGAAAACTTTTAGCTATTTACAAGTGTTTAAACCTTGTACCCCAAATAAAGAATGGCAAACTTACATGTATATTCCAATAATTATAACTTAAAATCTCAATGGTAGGTTACTGTTTATCTCTCTTTTTAAAGACTTCAATAAACTCCTAAACCAACACTTTCATATATCCATGTTTCTATGAACTTTTAAGTTTTATTTTATTTATTTGAAAGAGAGAGAGGTAGAGACAGAGAGGACTTCCAACTGCTGTTTCACTCCCCAGATGGCCACATTGGGCCGGGTCAGGCCGAAGCCAGGAGCTTCTTCCAGGTCACCCACGTGGGTGCAGGGGCCCAAGGACTTGGGCCATCTTCTACTGCTTTCCTAGGCCACAGCAGAGAGCTGGATTGGAAGAGGAGCAACCGGGACTAGAACCAGCGCCCATATGGGATGCCGGCACCACAGGCAGAGGATTAACCTAACGCATCATGGTGCTGGCCCCTATGATGAACTTTTAAAAGTAACTATTAGAGGGTCTGGTGCTGTGGCGCAGCAGGTTAATGCCTTGGCCTTAAGCACCGGCATCCCATATGGGCACGGGTTCTAGTCCCAGGAGACCCAGCTGCTCCTCTTCCAATCCAGCTCTCTGCTATGGCCTAGGAAAGCAGTAAAAGAAGGCCCAAGTCCTTGGGCCCCTGCATCCATGTGGGGGACCTGGAAGAAGCTCCTTGCTCCTGGCTTCAGATCCCACAGCTCTGGCCGTTGTAGCAAGTTGGGGAGTGAACCATTGGATGGAGGACCTGTCTCTCTGCTCCTCCTCTCTGTGTAACTCTTTCAAATAAATAATCTTTTTTTTTTTTTTTAAAGTAACTATTAGTTCCTCCCTATTAGAAATAATGCTGCGGGGCTGGCACTGTGGAGTAGTGGGTTAAGTCTCTGCCTGTGGTGCTGACATCCCATCTGGGCACTGGTTTGTGTCCCTGCTGGTCCTCTTCTGATCTAGCTCTCTGCAATGGCCTGGGAAAGCAGTGGAAGATGGCCCAAATATTTGGGTCCCTGCACCCACATGGAAGACCCAGAAGAAACTCCTGGCTCCTGGCTTTAGTCTGGCCCAACCCTGGCCATTGCAGCCATTTGGGGAGTGAACCAGTGAACGGAAGATCTTGTTCTCCCTGTATCTCTGACTTTCAAATAAAAATAATTAAATCTTTAGAAAAGAATTCACGAATAATCAATCCCATTTTTCATTTTCAATGGAAGAAAAATTATGATACCTTTCTAACATATTTTAGAATAAATAACTAACTATCATATTTTATTTACTAAAAACCAACAAAACAATGTTAGATAATAAAATTCTGTCTCTAAAATGTGCTGGACTTTTGAAAGGCACTTACCTGCAATTTTTCTTACCTCTATTCAAAGTAACTTTGGAAAGGCCAAAATCTGTCAGTTTAATATGACCCTCATTAGAAATAAGCATATTGTCTGGTTTCAGATCCCTGCATGTAAAAGGCAAAGAGTAAGTCATTTACAAAGTGCTAGTTTTGCTAGACTATTGTGGCAAGAGAGATGGAAGAAGAGAGACAGACAGACACACAGACTCAGAAGAGGCAAACTCTTATTTAACTCCTGTAAAATAAAAGAACTCATTAGTGACTTTGAAAACTGCAGAAAATAACCATGAAAATAAAACATCTTTGGAAATATAGGCAAGTGTTTCCAACAGACATTTGAGAGTAAATATGTAATTCAAATGATTATATTTTTAAGCAGCAGTTTGGAGAGCAGTCAGTCTTTACCTGTGGATGATTCCATGTCTATGAAGGTAGTCTAGAGCCAGTGCTACTTCAGAAATGTACTTCACAGCCATTTCTTCATCAAAATAACCATAGATGTGTAGAAGGGACTTAACGTCTCCACCAATAAGATATTCCATTACCTAGTGAACAGAATTTTAGGTTGTGACGATAAGATTACTTTATAATATTTGGATATTGCAGATATATATTTTTAATGGTTCTATAGCAATACATATTTTTGTCACTATTGCTCATTATATATGAATACCAGGCTTATTCATATTGCCATATAATGTTTTAAAAAAGATTTACTTATTTATTTGATAGGCAAAGTGACAAAGAGACAGGAGGAAACACAGAGAGACAGAGAGAGGTCTTCCATCCACTGGTTCACTTCCCAAATGCTCACAACTGCTGCGGCCGGACAAGGCCAAGAGCAAGAGCCCAGAATTCCATCTGGGTCTCCAATGAGGGTGGCAGGGACTCAAATGTTTGAATCATCTGCTGTATTCCCAGATATACTAGCAGGAAGCTGGATGAGAATCAGAGTAATCAGGATGTTGGCTTAACCTGTTGTACCACACTGCCTGCCACCACCGTACAATTTTTAATTAAAAATTAAACTGTTGGGGCTGGCATTGTGGCATAGGGGGTGAAGCCACTGCTTGCAATGCTAGGGTACCAGTTCAAATTTCAACTGCTCCACTTCTATTTCTTTTTTTTTTTATTATTTTAAAATTTATTTGATAGTTTAATTTGATATTTATTTGATTATTTGATATTTTTTAATTTATTTGTTATAGACAGTAAGAGAAAGACAGAGAGAAAGGTCTTCCTTCCAATGGTTCACTCCCCAAATGGCCGGTATGGCCAGCGCTGTGTTGATCCAAAGCCAGAAGCCAGGTGCTTCTTCCTGGTCTCTCATTTGGGCACAGGGGCCCAAGCAGTTGGGCTATTCTCCACTGCCCTCCCGGGCCACAGCACAGAGCTGGACTGCAAGAGGAGCAACCAGGACTAGAACCTGGCGCCCATATGGGATGCCAGCACTATAGGCGAAGGATTAACCAAGTGAGCCATGGCGCCGGTCCCCTGCTCCACTTCTGATCCAGCTCCCTGCTAATGCGCTTGGAAAAGCAACAGAGGATGGCCCAACCCTCGGGCCCCTGCACCCATGCAGGAGACCCGGAAGAAGCTCCTAGCTTCTAGCTTCTGGATTTGGTCTGGCCCAGCCCTGACCTTTTATCTAAATGCACCCATTGTTAGCATCTTGCCACATTTGCTTTCTTCTTTTCCACATATACAAGTATGCAAATAAAATCTTTAATCTTTACATATTAGTATATTTACATTATAAACCAACACAACTATTATTTATTTTATATATATATTTTGTTTAGGTTAAAATATTTAATTTTCAAAAACAAGTAACATTAGCAAACCTAGTAATGACATGTAAATTTAAAATTTTTGTTGAATAATTTGAGAATAAAGTTGAAAAGGTTACCACTTGCCATTACTATATTTTCTTTTTATTTATTTATTTTTAATTTTTTTTTGACAGGCAGAGTGGACAGTGAGAGAGAGAGACAGAGAAAAAGGTTTTCCTTTTGCCGTTGGTTCACCCTCCAATGGCCACCGTGGCCGGTGCGCTGCGGCCGGCGCACTGCTCTGATCCGATGGCAGAAGCCAGGTGCTTCTCCTGGTCTCCCACGGGGTGCAGGGCCCAAGCACTTGGGCCATCCTCCACTGCACTCCCTGGCCACAGCAGAGAGCTGGCCTGGAAGAGGGGCAACCGGGACAGAATCCAGCGCCCCGACTGGGACTAGAACCCGGTGTGCTGGCGCTGCAGGTGGAGGATTAGCCTATTGAGCTGCGGCGCCAGCCGCCATTACTACATTTCCTTTCATGTATCTTCTAACAACATTTTAAAATTTTTAACTGTATTTTTATTTATTTGAAAGGCAGAGAGATAGAGAATGAGATGCTACAGAGAGCTTCCATCTGCTGGTTCATTTCCCAATTACATGCAACAGGCAGGACTAGGCCAGGAAGCTGAAACTCAACTTTGTCTTCCACATGGGTGGCAGGAACCCAAATAACTGAGCCATCACCTGCTGCTTCCCAGGGTGCACATTAGCAAGGGATGCATCAGAAGCAGAGGGGCCAGTACCTGAAGTAGGTACTTCAATATGGGATACAGATGTCCTAAGTGGTGTCTTTGCTGTGCCTAATGACTGCCCTAACTTTTTTTTTTTTTAAAGATTTATTCATTTGAAAGGCAGAGTGACAGAGAACAAGAGAGAAAGAGAGATCTTCCATCTGCCCCAAACACCCACAACAGCCAGGGCTGGGCCAGGCCAAACCTCCAGGTCTCCCACAAGGGTGACTGGGTCACAAGGACTTGGGTCATCTTCCACTGCTTTCCCAGGTACATTAGCAAGTTGCTGGATCAGAAGTGGAGCAGCTGGGACTTGAACTGGTGCCCAGATATGGCATGTGAGCATCAAAAGCAGTGGCTTAAGCTGCTGTGTCACAACGCCAGTCCTAGATTTTTTTTTTCATAGTACAAAAAATTGAGTGAAAACACCGATATGAAACTAACACTCAATATATATCCAGTTTCAAATTTTACTGACCATCTCAGAGTTCTACCTTTTTTCTACCTTTTTGTCCTCCTCATATCCTATTCCCGAGCCAGGATCACACATGGCATTTTGTTGTTAAGTCTCTTTAGTATCCTTTAATCTGGGGAAGTTTTTCAGTGTTTCTTACATTTTTGAAGAGTGTAGGCCTATGTATAGAAATCCTTCAGTTTGGTGTTGTGTTATTACTTCTCCATTTGACTCAAGTTATGCGTCTTGGTAGAAGTGCTACATAAATGATGGTGAGTCCTTCTGTTTTTTTTTTTTTTTTTTTTTTGACAGGCAGAGTGGACAGTGAGAGAGAGAGACAGAGAGAAAGGTCTTCCTTTGCCGTTGGTTCACCCTCCAATGGCCGCCGCGGCCCGCGCGCTGCGGCCGGCGCACCGCGCTGATCCGATGGCAGGAGCCAGGAGCCAGGTGCTTTTCCTGGTCTCCCATGGGGTGCAGGGCCCAAGCACCTGGGCCATCCTCCACTGCACTCCCTGGCCACAGCAGAGGGCTGGCCTGGAAGAGGGGCAACCGGGACAGAATCCGGCGCCCCGACCGGGACTAGAACCCGGTGTGCCGGCGCCGCTAGGTGGAGGATTAGCCTAGTGAGCCGCGGCGCCGGCCTGGTGAGTCCTTCTGGGTGACTCGCACCAGAGAAGGCACCTAATGGCAGTTTGTCCCATTAGTTGATCCTTTGCTTAAGGTGGTGACTCCTGGATTTCTCCACTGAGGCAGTACCTTTCTCCCTTTGTAATTAATGAGTAATCTGTAGGGAGACTCATTAGTACCCTCCTACCCACAGATGTACTTTCCAAGGTTTCACTTAGTGAAGGATGACCATGGTCTGAAAACATAAAATTCCAGAAATACACAATTCATAAGTTGTGAAAGAAGTGCCATTCTGCGTAGCATGAAGAAATCTCATGCCATCTAGGACATGAGTCATCCCTTTATTTGGCAAATACTCCTTGTATATACCACCTGTTTGTTAATCACTCGGTAGCCATTATGGTTGTCAGTTGGACCATAGTGGTATGGTGTGTTCCAGTGAACCTTATTTTACTTAGTAATGACCCTAATGTCAAGAGTAGTATTGCTGGCAATTCAGATACGTCAAAGACAAGCAGTAAATACTTTGTCATCTGACAGCATCACAAGGGTAAGAACAGCACAATGTGATGTTTTGATATAGAGAGCACATTTACATAACTTTTATTATAGTATACTGCTATAACTGTTCTATTTTATTATTACTTATTATTGGTAATCTCATACTGTGCCTAACTTATAAAGTAACCTTTGTTACAGGTATGTATGTACAGGAATAAGCATAGTATATGTGTATAGATATATGTATCTGTCATGGAATCGGGGAAACCATTGCTTGTATTTTGAGGCTATATAAATAAGCTGTTCCTTAACAAACTTTCAAAGAAGATTGGGCATTATATGACCACTATTCCTACCTGAATTCATATCTTATTATTCTTTGTATGCATTACAGTTGTTTATTCTCTAAGGTATTCTATAGTCCCCCCCCCCCAAAGATTTATTTACTTGAGAGAGAGAGAGAGAGAGAGAGAGAGAGATCTTGCATCTGCTGGTTCAATCCCTAAATGGCCATAATAGTCAGGTCTGTCTGAGCCAGATCAAAGCCAGGAGCCAGGAATTCCATCCGGGTCTCCTACATGGGTGGCAGAGGTCCAAATACTTGAACCATTTTCTGCTGCCTTCCCAGGGGCATCAACAGGAAGCTGGATGGGAAGCAAAGTACCCAGGACTCAGACCAGCACTCTGATATGGGATGTGCCACAATGCCAGCCACTAATAGTTTTAAGTTATAAGTACCACCTCTCGGGCAGGGTTTTGGCACAGTGGTTAAGATACCACTTAGGATGTCCACATCCCACGCTGGAGTACCTGGGTTTCAGTCCTAGTTCTTTTGCTTCCAGTTCAGTTTCCTGCTATCGTGCACTCTGGGAGGTAGCAGATTATAGCTCATGAAGTTGGGTCCCTGCACAAACCTGGGAGACTCAGAGTTCTGGGTTCCTGGCCCCTGCCTGGTCCAGCTCTGCCTGTTGTGGGCAATTCAGGAGTGAATCAGCGGATGGAAGATATATCTCTTTCTCTGTCCTTCAAATAAAATGAAAATAAGTAATTCTTGCTTAAAATTTAAAAGGTGAGAAGACATACTGTCTTCTAACAACTTAATAAAACAAGATTATTTCTTTCCTTTTCAGGTCAGTAGTTCCTCTGGTACATACAGGTTAGTCAATATCTGTAGACAGGATTTTATTTATTTGAAAGGCAGAGTTACAGAGAGATGGAGAGACAAAGAGAAGTATTTTTTATTCACTGGTTCACTCCCCAAATGGCTGCAAAGGCCAGGGTTGGGATAGGCCCAAGTCTGAAATTTAGAACTCCATCTGGATCTCCCATATGGGTACAAGGGATCTAAGTACTTGGGCCATCCACTGCTACCTTCTGGGGTACATTAGCAGAGAGTTGGGTTAGAAGCAGATCAGCCAGGAATTGAACTAGTGCTCATATGGGATGCCAGCTGTGCCACAACACTGGCCCCCAAAGATACCAAGTTTAAATTATATAATATTCCATTGAAATGTATGAATTTATTATATTTAAGGGGTCTTCAAAGAAATAGACAGTGAGCTAGATTTGGCCCATGGGCCACAGTTTGCCAAGATGGCAAAAATATTTACATACATATATGTCTTTTGACTCACTCAGACAGCAAATATCCTAGAAATCAGATTGCTATCTTGTGCTTTCTCAGAATCAAGACCTAGGGATCTCCTGGGGTGGCTCTCTTTAACCTTGCTTTGACGGTGAATCCTAATGCAAATTTGTATCCTCACTCCGGATCCTTATTCCTAGGATCTTGCTGCATAGACGAGTTTATTACAACCAGGTATTATAACGAATACTTAGGTATTCACTGCAGCATTGCTTAGAAAAATAAAAACCTAGAAACAATGGAATTAATGATTAATTCCACAGAATTCTATGCAGCCATCAAAAAAGATGAGACAGAAGAGCAGTATTTATAGTAAGTTCACATTTCTTCATATAGTTAACCAACTGTGGTTTGTCAAAAAAAAAGGGGGGGGGGCTGATGGTGTGACATAGTAGACTAAGCCTCTGCCTGATGTGTCAGCATCCCATATGTGTGCTGGTTCCTGTCCCGGCTGTTCCTTTTCCTAACCAGCACTCTGCTTATGGCCTGGGAAAGCAGCAGCAGATGGCCCGAGTGCTCGGGCCCCTGCACCCACATGGGAGACCTGGAGGAAGCTCCTGGCTTCTCACTTTGGTTCAGCTCAGCTCTGGCCATTGTGGCCTTTCAAACAAACAAACAAAAAAAGTAGTAACTGAGTGTGAGCAGCTGCTTTAAATAAAAGGAAAACACCTCTCAAAGTCCATCTATCCCAAACCCATCATTCCTTGTTTATGCCAAATTTTAGTTCTATTGTACATATTTTTTAAAAATACTTATTTATTTTAAAAACAGAGTTACAGAGAGAGGTACAGCCAGAGAGAAAAAGGTCTTTCATTCCGCTGGTTCACTCCACAAATGACCCCAACGGCCAGAGCTGAGCTGATCTGAGCCCAGAAGCCAGGAGCTTCATCTGGGTCTCCCATGCAGGTGCAGGGGCCCAAGCACTTGGGCCATCTTCTACTGCTTTCCCAGGCCATAGCAGAGACCTGGACTGGAAGAGCAGCCAGGATACAGACCAGTGCCCATATGGGATGCTGGTGGCACAGGTGGAGGCTTAGCCCACAGTACCAGCCCCAGGATGCAGACATCTTAACCACTAGGCTATATGCCTCCTCTTGACATGTTTATTTATTTATTTTTTTAAGATTTATTTTACTTACTTGAAAGTCAGAGTTATACAGAGAGGAGAGGCATAGAGAGAGAGAGAGAGAGAAAGAGAGAGAGAGAGAGGTCTTCCATCCGATGGTTCACTCCTTAATTGGCTGCAACAGGTGGAGCTGCGCCAATCCAAAGCCAGGAGCCAGGAGCCTCTTCCAGGTCTCCCATGTGGGTGCAGGGGCCCAAGTACTTGGGCCATCTTCTTCCGCTTTCCTAGGCCATAGCAGAGAGCTGGATTGGAAGTGGAGCAGCCGGGACTTGAACCGGCGCCCATATGGGATGCTGGCACTGCAGGCGGGAGCTTTATGCACTACGCCACAGCGCTGGCCACGACATGGTCTTTTTAAAACAAAACAAAACAAAACAAACAAAAAAACAACTATTTGAGAGGCAGAGTTAGAGAGACAGAGATAAGGAACTTCCATCTGTTGGTTCACTTTCCAAATGCCTGCAAGAGCTGGGGCTGGATCAGATGGAAGCTGGGAGCTGGGAACTTAATCCAGGTCACCCACATGGGTGGCAGGGACTCAACTACTTGAATATCCTCTTTGGCTTTCTAGGGCCTGCATGAGCAGAATGCTGGAATCAGGAGCAACGGCCAGGACCTGAACCCAGGCACTCTGATATGGGATGTGGGAGTCTTAACTGCTAGGCCAAGTACTTTCCTCAACAGTGTGCTTTTAAAACATTACACTGGGGCCGGTGCCGTGGCACACTAGATTAATCCTCCGCCTGCGGTGCCAGCGTACCATGTAGGCGCCAGTTCTAGTCCCGGATGCTCCTCTTCCAGTCCAGCTCTCTGCTGTGGCCTGGGATAGCAGTGGAGGATGGCCCGAGTGCTTGGGCCCTGTATCCATATGGGAGACCAGGAAGAGACTTCTGGTTCCTGGCTTCTGATTGGCACAGTGTAGCGGCCATCTGGGGAGTGAACCAACGGAAGGAAGACCTTTCTCTCTGTCTCTACCTCTCACTTTCTATAACTCTAGCTGTCAAATAAAAACAAAACAAAACAAACAAAAAACATTGCACTTGTTATTACTGAATAAACAAAGAAAAAATGTGAAAGTATTTACTTACCAAGTAGACATTGCTTGCCGACTGCAGTGAATAATACAAATGGACAATGAAAGGGCTTTTGCTCAGTGCTAGTGCATCTCTCTCAGCTTGGACCTGATGAGTCATATTTTTGTTGATCATGTCTGCTTTCTTGACAACCTGTGATCACACATGATAAAAAACCTTACATTTTATTTTTTATTACAAAGCATTCTCAGGTTTCAAATTTACCATCATAAAGACTCCAAGAAGAGAAAATATGTAGATGGCATTTGGACCTCATATTGCCATTAGGAAACTGTCAGAAAAACAGTTAATATGGTAAAACAAACAAAAACACTATTTCAAGGTAAAGCTACTTACTTTTGTATATGGCAAAAGAATCAATTCTTTTTTTTTAAAGCTTTATTTTTTTTTTTTATTTGACAGCTAGAGTTATAGATAGTGAGAGAGAGATAGAGAGAGAGAGAGAGATAAAGGTCTTCCTTCTGTTGGTTCACTCCCCAAATGGCCGCTATGGTCAGCGCTGCGCTGATCCGAAGCCAGGAGCCAGGTGCTTCCTCCTGGTCTCCCATGCGGGTGCAGAGCCCAAGCACTTGGGCCATCCTCCACTGCCTTCCTGAGTTACAGCAGAGAGCTGGACTGCAAGAGGAACAACCAGGACTAGAACCTGGCGCTCATATGGGATGTCGGTGCCACAGGCACCGTGAGCCACGGCACCGCCCTCCCTCCTTTTTAAAAATATTTGTTTATTTAGGGGCTGGCACTGTGGCGCAGTGGGTTAATGCCCTGGCCTGAAGCACCGGTATCCCATATGGGTGCTAGTTTGAGACCCGGCTGCTCCACTTCCAATCCAGCTTTCTGGATCTGTGCCGATCCGAAGCCAGGAGCCAGGAGCTTCTTCTGGCTCTCCCACGCAGGTGCAGGGGCCCAAGGATTTTGGACCGTCCTCTACTGCCTTCCTGGGCCATAGCAGAGAGTGGCAGGAGCTTAATTACTTGAGCCATCAATTGCTGCCTTCCCAGGTACGTTAGTAGGAAGCTGGATCAGTGCCAAGACTAGAACTGGCACTCCACTGGGATGCCAGTGACTTAAGGGACAATTTTTTTTAATTTTATTTTTTAACTTTTATTTAATAAATATAAATTTCCAAAGTACAACTTTTGGATTATAGTGGCTTTTTCCCCCCATAACCTCCCTCCCACCCGCAATCATCCCATCTCCTACTCCCTCTCCCATCCCATTCACATCAAGATTCATTTTCAATTCTCTTTATATACAGAAGATCAATTTAGTATATATTAAGTAAAGATTTCAACAGTTTGCACCCACACAGACACATAAAGTATAAAGTTCTGTTTGAGTACTAGTTATAGCATTAATTCACATAGTACAACACATTAAGGACAGAGATTCTACATGGGAAGTAAGTGCACAGTGACTCCTGTTGTTGATTTAACAATTGACACTCTTATTTATGACGTCAGTAATCAACCGAGGCTCTTGTCATGAGCTGCCAAGGCTATGGAAGTCTCTTGAGTTCACCAACTCTGATCTTATTTAGACAGTCAAAGTGGAAGTTCTCTCCTCCCTTCAGAGAAAGGTACCTCCTTCTTTGATGGCCCATTCTTTCTACTGGGATCTCACTCACAGAGATCTTTCATTTAGTTGTTGTTGTTGTGTTTTTTTTTTTTTTTTTTTTTTTTTTTTGCCAGAGTGTCTTGGCTTTCCATGCCTGAAATACTTTCATGGGCTTTTAGCCAGATGCGCATGCCTTAAGGGCTGATTCTGAGGCCAGAGTGCTGTTTAGGACACCTGCCATTCTATGAATCTGCTGTGTATCCCAATTGTTCTTTCCTTTTTAATTCTATCAATAAGTATTAGCAGACACTAGTCTGGTTTATGTGATTTAAGGGACGATTTAATTTGCTGTGCCACAATGCCAGCTCTTACATCATTTTTGAGAAGAATAAAGTTCTACTTTGCAGTTCTTATAACAAAGTCACAAGATATTAATGTTCCTAAGAAGTCTTCAGAATCTGGGTGTGAAATAATGGCACTTAATATTTAAATATAAATATACTTTTTTTCTTCTGATTCTTTCTTGTATAGGAATAGAATCAGAAAGAACAATGTTGGAAGTTTGCCTCACTTAAAAATACTGAGGAAGACTAACAAAAAAGAACCCTGAAACATGATTTCACCCATCATTCTCCTGGATTTTGGAATCACTGTGAGGGACTGTTGTTCTGTTCACTGCTACAAAGACTACTCAACAAATGAATTGGTATTTTCATTTCAACAACTGATAATGACTGTAAGCACTGTAGAAGGAGAAACACAAATCTTGGAAACATGAAACAAGTAAGGATTCCAATGGGACTGGTCTGAAAGGTGGGGATGGTTTGAAGGGGAGCTGAGAGGGGCCTTAATAGATGATTATGATAGGTGGAGGAAAACAGAGAAAGGTGAAAGAAAAGTACTTAAGGAGGAACCAGCAGAAACAGAAGCTCAGAGGCAGGGAAACACACACAGCACTGAGAGATTATTCACTTGCTGATGTGGCTACAGTGTAAGGTATATGGAAGATACAGTGGAAACCCTGAGTCAGAACTTGGAGTGTGGCAACAGAAATATTCCAACTGAACTGGAGTAAAGGTTATACGGTATTTAATTTACTAAACAGTACTGAGTTGTATCACTCTAAATCAAAAAGTTTGAAAACAAGGCCTGTCATTGGACAGACTTGGGAATGAAAAGGAAGGGGTTAAAAAGGACAGAAGAGATGGAATTGATAGGAATAGTTGAGAGATACACAGATCAAGTAGAGAAAAGTTAAAATGACACGGTTCTCGCGTAAAGACCAAGGATGATGGTGGTGATATTATATGGTCAGAGGACGTACAGGTGGCTCAGAATTTATGCAGTCAGGTGGAGGGGATGGCGTAAGCTTAGGCCAATGCAGTTCAGAGGTCTGGCCTAGATATACACTTGTCAATGTCCAACAGGAAGTTGGAATTGCAAGGACAGATGGCAGGCTTCTGGTTGCCTTTATGTCTTCCCTCAGTGCTGAAATCTGAGTCACCTGAGACTATGGGATCGATGAATATCAAAAGTGGACAGAACAGCTTCAGATACAGGTTTAAATGTTTTAAGAAGAATGACACATACTGCTGCAATTGACTTAGGCCATATTTCAGATTGCTTTTTAAATATTAGTATGCTACAGATTCCACAATGGAAAGATTGAAGAGAAAAAAAAGAGGCTTGCTAAATGAAATTCTTGTTTTTATAGGTCAGGTTTTAATCTATATCAAATGGATAAATTAAAATATAATCTGGAAGTGATTTAAAAATTTAATGAAAGTTCCAAACTTAATCCTGGTAAAGACCAAATTAGTAAAAAATGATCCAGAAGACACACAAAAATATGCATAGGTAACACATTTTAAAATTTCATAACATACTTATCAGAAAAGCTTCCTCCTGTTACAGCCAAAGTGTCAATCACTGCACAAATTAATCATTTTTCTGTGCTAGAAAATTCTCAACAATTCTGTATGTCAGCGCACACAGGGAAAACAAAATCACCAACTACTTAAAACTGTAGGATGCAGAAACAGGACTCAAGTCACGTCTAGGCTGTGACTCACAGCTTTGTTTTGAAGGCCCTGTTGGACTAAGGACGACGTAACCACCTGACCCAAATCTCTTTGCTTTCGGTCTGGGTCTCCTCATTGGCTACCACTAGCCAGGGAGTGGCCAGTTTTGCTGTTCGAACTCAGGAATGACTTCAGAGATCCGGAAGGCAGAGGAACGAGTGTTGATTGGATCACCGGATGTCAGCCCCAGTGGCTGACATTTTAATTTTAGCTCTCGGCAGGCTTCGGCAAGCCCGGCCACCCCGACAAGGCATTCCACAGGTGCGATGGGACAGGAATGAGGGCTGAAGGGTTGAAGCCGCCCTTTCTGCACCCGAGGCAGTCCAGTGGGGCTGAGGGAGTCAGCAGACCTAGGTAGAATGTCCTCCCCAAGCAGGCTGCCCGACGGCCGGCGTCTCCCCCACCACAGCTTCGTGTGCTGCAAGTGGGACCATGCAGTTTTAAATCAGTCCCTTGCAATCTCCCACCCAGAGCTAGCAGAGGAGGGGGCTGAGCCCTAGGGAGAATCCGGCTGTCTCAAGAGACCCAACCGCTACCTCGGTTGAGCTCCAAGCCAATCAACACACAGCAGCTGAACCCGCCCTCCCCGTCCAATGCGCACCCCCAAAGAATGACTCCATGAACAGATCGGAATGCCTTAAAAACCCTGGGCACCTCCTCCAAGCCAGCGTCCCAGTCGGTCACTCCGCCTGGTCTCCTCTCGGACCTGACGCTTCACTGTCGCTTGTCAATGAAATAAAAGCTTTTTTTTACAAATTGCTTCCAGGCTTTTTCTTTCTCTACTGAGCCGAGGAAAAGAACATAGGAAACTCGCTCCGGCCAGCGCCCTCCCCTCCGCGACCCCTTCCAGGCGTCCTACCTTCACAGCATACAACTTGCCGCCTTTCTGCCCCAGGTACACTTTCCCGAAGGCGCCTCGGCTAATGGGCTTCACGATGGTGAATTCCTCAATGGACGGCGGCCGTGGCACCGGGATCTTATCCACGCACTCCCCTGCCGCCGCGCTCCCTCCACGCTCATCCTCTCTGGCCGCGGTGGGCTCCATGGCTGGACAGCGGTGACGGAAGACTGCCGCGGGCCAGCCGCCGAGGGACCAGCCTCAGCCGCCACTCCCGCCAACTGGGTTCAAAGTCAGGCTCCGCCCGCGCCGCGCGTGACGTCACCACGCCGCGCTGCCCCGCCCCTCCGCGGGCGCCGCAGGGGTCCAGGCGCCGGCGCGCGGCCGGGAGCTGCCGCCGCAGACTCCACGAGGGCGGCGCCGGCGGCCCCTGACGTCATTTGTGCGGGAGCCCGGCGAACGCGGACAGTGACAGAACGAGCCGCCACTTTCCAAATAAAGCCGCTGGACCCCCGTCTTCTTCCCTGTCAGGGCCGGCAGTTATTTCACGCCCACGCGAACCCCAGAAAGCAGTTGAGTGGAAGCAATGGCCGGGAATGGCGCTAGGGTGTTTGAGGGAAGCCCGAAGCTGTGGAGAAACGGGAGGCCGGCCTGGCGATCTGCCGCTCTCATACACTGTCACCTGAGGGAGATTAAGATCGAAGGGAGACCGGGGACACCATACATCGCCGCCAAAGACCCGCGCCAGAGCGGCGGTCGGGGACTCCAGTCAAAACGCCCGCCCCGGAAAAGGCGGGGTGCTGACGCGCGGCTCCCGGGATGGCGCTCGCTCGGCCCGGAAGTGCTGTGGCGCTAGCGCTTCGCCTTCCGGGCCGGCTCGGCTGGCGTTGCTGCGGCTGTAGGGAGGGGAGGCCATTTTCCGCCTCTCGGAGGAGGGGAGCCGGGAGAGAGAGCCAGAAGGGAAGAGGAAGAGCGGCCAGCGCCTCCCCGCCGGGCCGTGGACCGGGGGACCGTTGCGGCGCGCGGGGGAGGTCGCTGAGGGCCCGGCGGAGATGTTTTCCCTGTCGAGCACGGTGCAGCCCCAGGTGAGCCCGGCGCTCGGCCCCCTTTTTTTGTTTGTTTGTGTGTGTGGCTTTGCCCGCAGCTGTTGGCCTCTTGCGTTCTCGGGAGGGACCCTGGGAGGGAATCGACTAAGCGACGCGAGTCCCGAGGTGGATGGGAGGCGACGCTGAGAGGAGGACCCGAGGCTTTTGGAGGCGGAGGCATGATCGGAGGTTGATGGAGACCTTGGCTGATCGAATTGATAGTGTCCGGTTTTTGCTGGAGTCCGCCTGGCATTGTTCAGTGTCAGGCATTGTTCAGCGTCCGGCAGTCGGGGTTGGGGGGATGTCTCCACCGCAGATGGGATGGGAACAGAGTGAAGTTCCTTCTCCGCCGTTCTCTTTCCGACCCCACTACCCTCCCTTTTACGTGGGAATTAAACGTGCTGGAATAACTGAATAGCCACCATGAGTGTCATTTTCTTTTTGATCAGGAATGATCTGTATTTTTTTCTCCTCGAATCGTTCGCTTGTTGCAGTTCAAATTTTGTTTGGACCTAAGCCCATCTTCATGTAAAACAGGAGTGTAGAGGACGACTGGGAGGGTTTCTGATTTACTTTTTTTTAGGGTAATCGTTTGTATATTTTGTGTCAGTATTATGTTCTTGGTTCATTACAAGAATTGTTTTTTAAGCATTTGATAGGGTTTTTTTGGAAAGTTCTCATAGTTCTGCAAATAAACAGCTTTGAGAACATTCAGACTTTAAAAATGTTTTAAAAATCGACCCTTAGCTTCTTGGTTTAAGCATATGATTGTGTCCCTTTGTGTAATCTCTGTTCCTCCTCCTTTGTGTGTGTGTGTGTGTGCTAGTACAGTACTAGCTGACTTATGAAAATGAACTGGTTGTTATGTATTGAGCATCGGGTATATACAAAGCAAACATATAATTTTGTCTTAAAGATAACATGGACTGAAGCGCAATAGGTGTTATCCAGGTGAAGAGTAAGCAGGTTTCCCAGGAAGACACAAGAGTATTTGGAGGTCCTGAGATAGGAAAGAATTCAATAGATTGGCTAGTGTGGCTACAGCTTAGTGATTAAAGGGACCAGTGCCAGAGATGGGGTCGTAGAAAAGCCTTCAGGCAGATCATAGAGTTAAGGTTGTCTGAAGGAGTGTGGATTTCATTTTAAGGGTGTTAGGAATTGTTGAAGGTTTAAAGACAGGATCAGGTGTTTTTTTGTTTTTGTTTTTGTTTTTAAGACAGAGTGCTCCCATCTATTGACTCACTCTGTAGCTGCCTACAGGGGCAGGGGCTGAGCCAGGCCAAAGCAAGGGCTCAATCTAGATCTCTTCTGTGTGTAGCAGGAACCCAATTACTTAAGCCATCTCTTGCTGCCTCCCAAACTGCTCATTGGCAGGAAGCTAGAATTGGGAGTGGAGCAGAGACTTGAACCCAGGCACCTTGATAGAGGGTACAGTCATCGTAACCACTACAGCAAATGCCTGCACCCTGATTTTTTTTTTTAATTTATTTTTTAAAGATTTGTTTATTTGAAAGTGTGACAGAGAGAAAGGGAGAGACAGAGTCCTTCTTCCTTCCACTGTTTCGCTCCCCAAATGCCTGCAGCAGCCTAAAACTGGGAGCTAGGAACTCCATCCTGGTCTAACATATGAGTGCCAGGGACTCAAGTACTTGGACCATTTTCCAATGCCTTGGCAGGGGCATTAGCAGGAAGCTGGATCTGAAGCGGGGTATCAACTCAGACTGGCTCTCCCATGTAGGATGCCAGTGTTGGGATGGCTTAACCTGCTGTGACACAATTCTGGCCCCTCATATTTTTATTTTCAATAGACCATTCTGGTTTCTTTCATTTTGAAGTATATGAGAGGGGAGAGGTGGAAGTGTTATCAGCTGAAGATGCTATTTTTTGCACGAATTCAGGAGATACTGCTCCTCTAAAGTGATGGCAATGATTATAGAAAGAAGGGGATTTATTTTGAAGAAAAGTAGATTTCATGACAAGTTAGATCCGAGGGCTGGAGAGAGGAGTTTCCAGTCTGATAGCTGGATGCATGAAGTTGCTGTTTAGCCAGATGGCAATGCCTAGTGGAGATCTAGTAATTGCTTGAGAAAGAAATATGACATGATTATTGAGTATAGTTTTAATCTTTTTGAAACGGAACTCCTTAGAAGGCCTTGTTTTAAGAGAATTCACCATCAGCTGGATGGAGAGTTAATGGTATGTGATGTTGGTAGTTGCTAGTGATGAAGAAAGGTTTTTGTTATGACGTTAATCTTAACTGGCTCAAATATAATGCCCTTAAACATTTTTTTTTCTATGAAAGATGTAAACACACTTGGAATTCATGGTTGATTAATTGTTTGAATCGAAGTTGTAAAAATAGGGACGATACCAGAGCAGCACTGTGGCATAGTAGGTTAAGCTGCCCCAGCTACTCCACTTCTGATACAGCTCCCTGCTAATGCGCCTGGGAAAGCAGAAAAAGATGTCCCAAGTGCTTGGACCCTGTACCCATGTCGGGGACCTGGGTGAAGTTCTTGGCTCCTGGATTTGGCCTGGCCCAGCCAGCCCTGGCTGTTGCAGCCACTGGGGAGTGAACCAGTGGATGGAAGACTTTTCTCTCTCTGCATTTGCCTCTCTCTTTCTGGACCTGAATCTGGGTCTTCCACATGGGTGGCAGGAACCCAAGAATTTGGACTGTCACTTGCTGTCTCCCAGGGTATACAGTAGCAGGAAGCTAGAAACAGAAGTGGAGCTAGGACTTGAACCCAGGCACTCCCATATGGGATGTGGATGTTCCAACTGGAGTCTTAACTATAATGCCAAATGCCACCCCCATGTCTTTTTTACCCTGGCAATCTACCTTTTATGAATTTATTCTAAGAAAATAGTCCGGGAGCTGGCATCATGGCAAGTGGGTTAAGCTTCAGACTGCAGTACTGGCATCCAATAGGGGTGTGGGTTCGTGTCCTGGCTGTTCCACTTCCGATCCAGATTCCTACTAATGGCTGGAGAAAAAGCAAAAGATGGCCTAAGTGCTTGGGCTCCTGCTATCCACATGGGAGACCTAGAAGAAGTTCCTGGCTCCTGGCTTCAGCCTGGCCCCACCCTGGCTGTTGTGGTCATGTGGGGAGTGAACCAGCAGATGGAAGATCTCATGCTCTGTTTCTCCCACTCTGTGTAACTCTTTCAAATTAAAAAAAATAATAACCAAAAACTTTTTTTAAAAAATTTTTTTAAAAAGAAAGAATGTCGGATCAGATAAAATTTTAAAAAAATAGTCTGACAAATGCTTAGAAGCCAATTTGCATGACGACATTTTTTAAATAGTTGAAAGCTGAAATGTCCACCATTAGGGAAATGGCAATGATACTACCACAGAGTGAAATACTTCACAGACACTTTAAAAAAGAATAACTATATATCTGGAATTCTGTACTTCTCAATTTCACCAATGCCACCATCATGGGTTGGTTTGTTTTTGTTTTAAGATTTGCTTATTTGAGAGGCACAAAGAGAGATAGGGAAAGATAGAAAGAGAGATCTTCTGTCCACTGGTTTACTCTGCAAATGGCTCCTACACCCAGTTCTGGGCTGGCTGAAGCCAGGAGCCAGGAACTCTATCCTGTTTTTTTTTTTTTTTTTTTTTTTTTTTTTTTTTTTTTTTGACAGGCAGAGTGGACAGTGAGAGAGAGAGACAGAGAAAGGTCTTCCTTTTTGCCGTTGGTTCACCCTCCAATGGCTGCCGTGGCCAGCGCACCGCACTGATCTGAAGGCAGGAGCCAGGTGCTTCTCCTGGTCTCCCATGGGGTGCAGGGCCCAAGCACTTGGGCCATCCTCCACTGTACTCCCTGGCCACAGCAGACAGCTGGACTGGAAGAAGGGCAACTGGGACAGAATCCGGTGCCCCAACTGGGACTAGAACCTGGTGTGCCAGCGCCACAAGGCGGAGGATAAGCCTATTGAGCCGCGGCGCCGGCTATCCTGTTCTTTACATGGGTGGCAGGGGCCCAAGTATCTTGGCCATCTTGCTCTGCCTTCCCAGGGACACTGGCAGGAAGTTGGACTGGAAGCAGAGTAGCCATGATGCAAACCAGCACCACAATGCCAGCCCTCATCATCCTGTTCTGAATCACCACCATCCATAAGCAGATTTTTATAATACCAAACTACTCTGTTTCTGCCCTGATCTGGCTGCATAGGATTAGCATAGGATAGCATAGGATCAGCATAAGATAGCAGTGATCACATTAAAACTAAAGTCAGTTTACATCACCCCTCTGCTCAGAACCCTCCAATGGGTTCCCTTCTCACTTACATGAAAGCCCAAGTCCTAACATTTATGTGACCTGCAAAGACCCTCCCCTAGGAAAAAACTTCTGTATAAACTCCTTCTACTATGCTCCCCTTCATTCTCTGTTTCAGCCCCACTGCTTTCTTGCTGTTCTTGGAATACAAATGGTAGGCTCTTACCTCAAGGCCTTTCTATCATTTCTTCCCACTTGCCCAGTTACCAACATAACTTGTTTTTACACTCCCTTCAGTTCTTTGTTCAAGTCATAAGAGTCCTTTCCCTAGCTACCCTAACATTTCAAAAACTCTCCTCTTGGGGAGAGCATTTGGCATAGTAGTTAAGATGTCACTTGGGACACCCACATCCCCTATTGGAGTGCCTGGATTGGGGTCATGACACTGCTTCCAAACCAGTTTTCCTGCTAATGCTTACCCTGTGAGACAACAATTGATGGCTTAAGTACTTTGGTTCCAGCTACCACATGGGAGACATAGATTGATTTCAGTCCACTGGCTTTGGATTGGCCCAGCCATGGCTGTTTGTGGGCATTTGGGAATTAACAGATAGAAGATCTCTCTCTCTCTCCCCCTTTCATATAGATACTTTTTAAAAAATCTTACCCTAAAAATATTTCTGTTATTATTTTCTTCTTGACATTTTTCACTAACACTTTATATACCTAGTTAAAATTATTCATTTATGGGGCCTGTGCTGTGGCTTGAAAGGCTAAGCCTCTGCCTGCAGTGCTGCCATCCCATATGGGTGCTGGTTTGTATCCCAGCTGCTCCTCTTCTGATCCAGCTCTCTGCTATGGCCTAGGAAAGCAGTAGGAGATGGCCCAAGTCCTCGGGCTCGTGCAGCCATGCGGGAGACCTGGAAGAAGCTGCTGGCTCCCAATCTGCTCAGCCCCTGCTGTTGCAGCCACCTGGGGAGAGAACCAGTGGATGGAAGACCTTGTCTCCCCTCTTTCTGTCTGTAACTCTACCTCTCAAATGAATAAATAAAATATTTTAAAAAACCATTTATTTATTATCTGCCTCTTTTTAGGGTGTTTTCTGATACCAAGTAGTTGGGTGGTTAACAGCAGTTCTGACACTACCCCACAAGGGCTTAGTCTTGGAAGACTGTCCCTACTTTAGATGCAGGTTACAAGTTCTAGGCCACCCACACTTCTGACCAGCTAGTTATAAATCCTAGAACCCCCTCTTCAGGAAAACACTTCACCTGTCCGTACTAAAAAATAGAATAAACAACTAGATGAAGAGGCTACAGATGGTAAGGTCTGATAGGGTCTCTAGGGCAGGAATTTCCACCTCCCAGTTGTAGGATGTGATAGACTCCTGCATGTGAAAGCATGTAGTCACCAACGGAGAAGCTTACTATGTCATCTTGTTCGGGAGTTTATAATGGGGGCAGGTGCTGTGGTGTAGCAGGTTAAGCCACTGCCTGCAGGACTAGCATCAAGTCCTGGCTGCTTCACTTCCAATCCAGCTCCCTGCTGATGCATCTGGCAAAGCTACCGAAGATGGCCTAAGTCCCTAGGCCCCTGCTCTGACATAGGAGACCCAGAAGAAGATCCTAGCTCCTGGCTTTGGCCTGGCCCAGCCCCGACTGTTGCAGCTATTTGGGGAGTAAAGCAGCAGATGGATGACCTCTCTCTGTCTACTTGATTTTCTGTCTCTCTCTCCCCGCCCCCTTCTCTGTGTAACTCTGCCTTTCAAATAAATAAATCTGAAAAAAAAGTTTATAATGGAGCTTGATCTTCTGTTACCCACCCCCCCAGGCATATGGGAAAGTAGGTTCTCTATAATCAGTTGGTCTCTCAGGTGACCTGTCCCATCTTGGGGATATTCATGGACCCTATGCTAAGTCACCTCTTGTATAACTGAGATATGATCAAATAACTGAGCATATAATTGAGATATGACCAAAAGGTGCCTATGAATTGTGAATGATTCAAAAAGTGCCAAGGCTGTGAGCTCTTTGCCATGCCAGGAACTGAAGACAAAGACCAAGAAATAAATAATTTTTATTAGACTATACTCTCCACTGGAAAGTAAGCTCCCTGTGGCAAGTGATTTTTCTGTAATTTTGTTCAATATTGTATCACCGTATAACAGGGCACATAATGGGCACTACATAAATATTTGAACAAATAAGCGAACTAAATGGATTATTAGTAAATACCAGGTTTTTTATTTTGTTTTGCTTAGATTATCTCATTTAATTCTCCAAACAGCAATAAAATTTAGTTAATAGTATACTTGCTATTATTGGAATGTCTGCCCCCTCCAAACTCATGTTAAAATTCAGTTGCCATTGTAACTATTAAAAGGCAGGACCTTTAAGAAGTGTCCTTTAAGATTCTGAGGGTTTTGCCTTCATCAATAGGCCTCGTGCCCTGTCTCAGGCATGGGTTCTCTCTTAGCCCTTCTACTGTGTGATACACAGCAAGAAGGCCCTTGACAGATGCCGGCACCTTGATTCTGGACTTCTCAGTTTCCAGAACGAAGAGCAGATAAATTTCTGTTCATCATTACCCCATCTCAAGTATTTTACTGTGGCAGCATAAAATTAGGACTAAGAAGTTCCCATGTTATAACAAAGACAGCAAGGGTTAAAATATATTCGGGGCAGCGGGGCGGTGGCAACTGTTTGGCACAAGGTTTAAGACACCACTTGGGATGCCTGCATCCATATTGGAATGTCTGGGCTTGAGTCTCAGCTCTGCTTCTAATTCCATCTTCTTGCTAATGTGCACTGTGGGAGGCAGTGGTGATGGCTCATGCACTTGGGTCCTTTGCTTCTCACATGGGAGACCTAGATGGAGTTCCTGGATTCAGTGTGGGTCAGCCTTGACTGTTTGCAGGCATCTGGGGGGTGAACCAGTAGATGGAAGATTGCTTGCTCTCTCTCTCTCTCTCTCTCTGCCTTTCAAGTAAATAAAAATAAATAAAAACGATTTTTAAAAAAAATAGGAGCTCAGTGGCCTGTCCATGGTCAAAAAGATAGTAAGTATAGGAACAAAGATTCTGACCCAGACAATCTGACTCGGAATTTTACACTGTTAAAGATTTCTCATCCATGTATACTTAGAGAAAATAAATTCATGATAATGTTGTTACATGAATAAAGTAGACTATCAAACCACCTTTTTAAAAGTAGTTATACCAGGGCTAGTGCTGTGGTATAATGGGTAAAGTTGCCACTTGCAGTGCTGGCATCCCATATGGGTGCCAGTTGGAGTCCCAGCTGCTCATCTTCCAAACCAGCTCCTGCTAATGCATCTGGGAAACCAGCAGAAGAAGGGACAATTCTTTGGGCCCCTGTACCCATGTGGAAGACCTGGAAGAAGCTCTTGGTTCCTGGCTTCAGACCAGCCCAGCTCTTGCTGTCGCGGCCATTTGGGGAATGAACCAGTGAATGGAAGATCGATCTCTCTTCTGCCTCTCTGTAACTCTGCCTTTCAAATAAATAAATAAATAAATAAAATAGGTGTACCATGTTTGTGTAGAAGAGAAAATAGTATGACAGAATTTATTCTAAAATGTGTGTTTTTCTCTGAGTAATGAGATCATAGATGACCTTTGTTTTCCTACTTATATATATATTTTTTAAAGATTTATTTATTTTTATTTGAAAATCAGAGTTACACAGAGAGAGGAAAGGCAGAGAGAGAGAGAGCGCGGGAGAGAGAGAGAGAGAGACAGGTCTTCCATCCAATGGTTCACTCCCCAATTGGCCACAACAGCCGGAGCTGTGCCAATCCGAAGCCAGGAGCCAGGAGTTTCTTCCGGGTCTCCCAGGTGGGTGCAGGGGCCCAAGACATGGGCCATCTTCTACTGCTTTCCTAGGCCATAGCAGAAAGCTGGATGGGAAGTGGAGCAGCCAGGTCTCGAACCGGCGTGCATATGGGATGCTGGCGCTTCAGGCCAGGGCATTAACCCGCTGTGCCACAGCGCCGGCCCCCCTACTTATATTTTATTTTCGGCAGTTTGGGTTAACAATGTGCAGTACTTTTTGAGTCAGAAAGGAGTAAGTGCTCTTAAAACTCTAGGAGTCAAATTTTATGAAGATATATGTAAGCATTATCTACCTATTTCTTTGAAAAAATTTATTTTCAAAATATGCTTTGAGATTGGCACTTTTTCAGTTTAAAAGTTCACTTTTTATATTGGCACAGTTTTTTTTCTAAGATTTATTTATTTATTTGCAAGGTAGACTTACAGAGAAGCAGAGAAAAAAAGAGGGAAGAAGGGGGATAGAGAGAGAGAAAGAGGTTTTCCATCTGCTGGTTCACTCTCCAAATGGCCACAATGGCCGGAGCTGGGCTGATCTGAAGCCAGGAGCCTTGAGCTTCTTCAGGGTTTCCCACGTGGGTGAAGGGGCCCAAAGACTTGGGCCATCCTCCACTGCTTTCCTAGGCCATAGCATAGAGCAAGATCAGAAGTGGAGCAGCCAGGACTCGAACCAGTGCCCATTTGGGATGCTAGCACTGCAGACAGTGGCTTTACCTGCTATATCACAGTGCTGGCCCCTGTTTTTAATATTTTTGATTTATAGGATCATGATAGTATCATGGAAAAAATCTATCAGCAATAAATCTGAATACGTAATATTTTAATATAGTTTTGATATGCAGTATATATTTAACTTTCAATGAATTCGAAATCCTGACAAGGTAAAGATTGTTCCTGTTTTGTTTTTTAAAAGCATACTACTTAGGGTGGGTGTTTTGCCTAGTAGTTAAGCCACTGGATGGGACACCTTCATGGCAGGTACAGAGTGCCTGGATTCTAGAGCTGACCCCATTCCCAATTCTAGATTCCTACTAATATGGACCCTGGAATGAAGTAGGTAATGGTTCAAGCGTTTGGGTCCCTCCCAATCACATGGGAGAACAGGACTGAGTTCCTGGCTCCTTGCTTTGGTCTAAACCACTCTCCGCTATTAAGGCATCTGGGGAGTAAACGCAGCAGGTTGCAGCTCTTTCTCTCTGTTTCTGTGTTTGTGTGTGTCTGCTCATTTAAAAAAATGATTTAATTTTAACTTTGATCTCTTTCTAGGTTACAGTTCCTCTGAGTCATCTCATCAATGCCTTCCATTCACCAAAAAGCACATCTGTCTCTGTCAGTGCATCGTTTTCCCAAAGCCACCATCGAGATGCAGTTCCTGAGCATGAGGCTCCCAGCAGTGAGGTAATAGTGGTCACCCTGTTTGTTTGAGAAAGCCTTGTTGATATAGTATGTTTTCATCATGTTTGATCAAATAGCTTTCTTTAGGCATTTGTTCTGAGATGATTTCTGCCTTTAGCTTAATTGCCTTTATAATTAAAGATAATTCTCGCTTTCATTGTACGTATTATACATATTGAAAAATCTCTGTTTTATTTAGTCATTTTTAAAAAAAATTTCAGGTGGTGTTGTATTTTATATTCACCTCCTGGATTACTATTTGTTTGATACCAGTCAGATATTCTTTTGTGTACCCCGACAATAGCAGTGAACCTACAGGTAACTGACCATAAATTACCTCTCAGGTCTCAAGGAAGACAGAATGGTAAGAAATAATATAAGAAGTATAAGCCACTGCCTTATAGGGGCTTTCAGTATAATTGAACAATTAAGTGAAATGTATAAGCGAGGAAACTATATTTTCTGTATTCATGTGATTATAAAGCCATTAATGCCTAGGATATAAGGAATTATGAACTTAAACCTTCAAATTTACAAGGCCATTAATAACATAGTTGCTTACAACCTCAGAATACATTTTTTTTTTTTTTTTGACAGGCAGAGTGGACAGTGAGAGAGAGAGACAGAGAGAAAGGTCTTCCTTTGCCGTTGGTTCACCCTCCAATGGCCTCTGCGGCCAGTGTGCTGAGGCCAGCGCACCGCGCTGACCGATGGCAAGAGCCAGGTACTTATCCTGGTCTCCCATGAGGTGCAGGGCCCAAGTACTTGGGCCATCCTCCACTGCCTTCCCGGGCCACAGCAGAGAGCTGGCCTGGAAGAGGGGCAACCGGGACAGAATCCGGCGCCCCAACCGGGACTGGAACCCGGTGTGCCGGCGCCGCAAGGTGGAGGATTAGCCTAGTGAGCTGCAGCGCCGGCCCTCAGAATACATTTTATGTAGAACAGATGTTATAATCTATGATTAGGTTTTCCAGAAGACTCTGTAATCCATGAATGGCTTTTATTGTCGATCCTGATGTCAAGAACAATGGCAAAGGATTAGAATTCATTTTTGTGAGGCTATAGGATCAGTTTTAGGATAAAATTTTAATTAAATGAAAAGCTTGTCTTTTACACTTTCCTTTTAAACTCTTTGTCTAGTTCCTATTGCCTTTTTCTATAGATAATCCATTATTTTTCTACTCCCTGACACTCTTCTCAAATTATAGTCAGAGAGAGCCTGACTACTAACAATATGCCATTTAGTAGTTCCCCTTTATCTGGTGTGGGATAAATTCCAGCACTTCAGTGGATGCCTACAATGCTGGATAGTAGCAAACCATATGAGTTTATTATTTTTTTTTTCTATTCTTACATACCTATGATAAAGCTTAACTCATCAGTTAAGAACAGCAAGACATTAACAACAAATCATAATAAAATAGAGCAATGATAATAATAAACTGTAATGAGAATTATGTGGATGTGGTTTCTCTTTCTCAAAATACTGTGCTGTAACCACCTAACTTTGTATTGATGGTGGGTAACAGGCCAGAGACAGAAAAAACTGAAAATCAGGGGGACCAGCATTCTATAACAAAATTGCTATGTGTAGCAAACTTACGTCCATTTTGGAAATGTTACAAAATACTAATGTAAGTTTCTGAAATAAAATTCATCTGTGATCCTGTTCTCCAGAAATAATGCTGTTAACATTTTTTATGTATATTTCATATCTTTTCTCCTTTGCTTCTTTGTGATAATTGGATTATACTGTGCATGCTGATTTAGATTGTTTTGCTCATCTAATAGTTTTATGCCATACCATATATATATTTAAAGATTTCTTTATTTGAAAGGCAGAGTGATGGAGACAGAGAAAGTGAGATCTTCCAGCCACTGGTTGACTCCCCAACTGCCCACAAAAACCAGGGCTGGGCCAGACTGAAGTCAGGAGCTAAGAACTCCATCTGAGTCTCTCATGTGGGTTGGCAGGAACCTGAGTATTTGAACCATCAGTACCTGCTGCCTTCCAGTGTGTTAGCAGAAAGCTGGATTGGAAACAGAGGAGCTGACACCACCTAGCACTCTGAAAGATAGGGGATGCTGGCATCCCCAACAACACAGTTGTTACTGTCCTTGTACCTAAATCTTTGATTATTTCATCAAGTGAAATTGCTGATTCAGTGATGAAGAATATTTTAGGGGCTGGGAAAGTAAACCCTAGAGAATAAGAGAGGGAGGAGATATATAGCTCGGCACCGGCTTACTCGGATTTACCTCCAATGGTGGAACTAGAAATGTGCCAGGGGATTTCAACTCAATCTTATCAAGGAGGCATGTACCAATGCCAGCGACTTGGTAAAGTGATAAGTATAAGTACATGGCTGGCGCCACGGCTCACTAGGCTAATCCTCCGCCTGTGGCACCGGCACTCCGGGTTCTAGTCCCGGTCGGGGCGCCGGATTCTGTCCCGGTTGCCCCTCTTCCAGGCCAGCTCTCTGCTGTGGCCAGGGAGTGCAGTGGAGGATGGCCCAGGTGCTTGGGCCCTGCACCCCATGGGAGACCAGGAGAAGCACCTGGCTCCTGCCATTGGATCAGCGCGGTGCGCCGGGCATGGCGGCCATTGGAGGGTGAACCAACTGCAAAAAGGAAGACCTTTCTCTATGTCTCTCTCTCTCACTGTCCACTCTGCCTGTCCAAAAAAAAAGTATAAGTACACAACCGATCAAAAAAGATAGGGTAAGTGTCGAAGAGATTTTACAAACAAGACCAGGGTAAGCAAATAATGAAGGATAGATTTAAAAGGGAGAGAATGATCCTGCGGGGGAAGCAGGACACACAACAGACTCATAGAATGGCAAACGCCCAAAACAGCACTCCGGCCTCAGAATCAACCCTTTGGGGCATTCGGATCTGGCTAAAAGGCCCATGAGAGTCTCACAGGCATGGAAAGCCACGACACGGTCGCAAAAACTACCTGAATGAAAGATCCTGGTGAACAAGACCCCAGAAGAAGGAACAGGCCATTAAGGATGGAGGTGCCTTTCTCCAAAGTGAGGGAGGAACCTCCACTGCCATATGGCCTTGACTAAACAAGTTCAGAGTCGGTGAACTCAAGGGGCTTCCGTAGCCTAGACAGCTCATAGCAAGAGTCTCGGGTGATTGCTGACGCCATAAATAAGAGTGCCAATTGTTAAGTCAACAACGGGAGTCACTGGGTACATGCTTCCCACATAGGATCTCTGTCCTTAATGTGTTTTATTATGAAACTTAAAGACAACACTACTAGTCAAACAATACCCTATACCTTGTGTGGTTGTGTGAGTGCAGCCTGTTGAAATCCTTGCTTAGTATATACTAAGTTGATCTTCTGTATATGAAGGTAATTGAAAATGAAACTCGATGAAGGGCAGGATGGGAGAGGGAGTGAGAGAGGGGAGGGCCACGGGAGGGAGGGAGGTTGGCGGGGGGGAAGCCACAACAATACAAAAGTTGCACTTTGTAAATTCACATATATTAAATTAAAAAAAAGAAAGTAAACCCTAGAAGTTCAGTGTTCAGTTTAGGCCTAATAGTGTCAAGTGCAGAATTTATATATATATATATATTTTTAAATATTCATTTATTTATTTGAAAGAGTTACACAGATTACCCAATTGGCTGCAGTAGCCAGAGCTACGCTAATCTGAAGCCAGGAGCTTCTTCCAGGTCCCCCACGCAGGTGCAGTGGCACAAGGACTTGGGCCATCTTCTACTGCTTTCCCAGGCCACAGCAGGGAGCTGGATCGGAAGTGGAGCAGCCAGGACTTGAACCAGCGTCCATATGGAATGCTGGCACTCAGGTGGTGGCTTTACCTGCTACACCACAGTGCCAACCCCCAGAATTTATATATATATATATATATATATATTTTTTTTTTTTTTTGACAGGCAGAGTGGACAGTGAGAGAGAGAGATGGAGAGAAAGGTCTTCCTTTGCCGTTGGTTCACCCTCCAATGGCCGCCGCGGCCGGCGCACCGCGCTGATACGATGGCAGGAGCCAGGTGCTTCTCCTGGTCTCCCATGCGGGTGCAGGGCCCAAGCACTTGGGCCATCCTCCACTGCACTCCCGGGCCACAGCAGAGAGCTGGACTGGAAGAGGGGCAACCAGGACAGAATCTGGCGCCCTGACCGGGACTAGAACCCGGTGTGCCAGCGCCGCAAGGCGGAGGATTAGCCTAGTGAGCCAGGGTGCCGGCCTCAGAATTTATATTCTTAACCTCTGATACATCCTCAGTAGTTCTTCTATTTGTGTTTAACAAGTATCTCTATTGTATCACAAAACTTAGTCATTTTCCTTAAGCATCTTTACCTCATCTTTGCTCTGACTACCTCTACGTCTTCTTGCTTTCATCGTCTTGTTCATCCAAACATCCACTCCAAACACTTCTATCAAGCTACTGATTTATGTTCCTTTTGCTTTCAGACTTCTTGAAAAGAATAGTCTGTACTTCTTTGATTCACACCATATCCCATTGTAGTTTTGCCATTTTACAGACTTTTTTTTGCTAAAGTTGATGATTTCCTTGGTGCTAAATACAGACCTTTTTTTTTTTTTTTGAAAAACTCTACATCTTTAACTTACCATTTCCAGTTTTCCTGGCAGAATGTCAGCTACTTTCAAAGTACTCCCTTGCGTTGAGTGATATGATTCTGATCATGGTCTTCTCTGTTTTGCCGGTTTTAAAAATTGCCAGCCTCGTACATAGTTAATCGATCCTCAGTCTAATTTTCATTCTTTACATTCTTCCATGTTTTGTTACCCATTTTCGTATCTTCAGTTAACATCTGTATATGTGTACATGCTGATGACTTCTGCAACGGCCGGAGCTGCGCCAATCCGAAGCCAGGAGCCAGAGCTGCTTCTGGGTCTCCCACGTGGGTGCAGGGGCCCAAGGATTTGGGCCATCTTCTACTGCTTTCCCAGGCCATAGCAGAGAGCTGGATTGGAAGAGAAGCAGCCGGGACTAGAACTGATGTCCATAGGGGATGCTGGCCCTTCAGGGCAGGGTGTTAACCTACTGTTCCACAGTGCCGGTCCCAGCAACTAATATTTCTAGGACTGAGATAGAAGAATTATCTAGGAAGAATTCTCCACCCCCAACCTGAGAGCCTGACCTCGTTAGCTTGTTGGAGAGGCGGGCATGGCCCTGGCTCACTAAATGAGAAAGGAATCATTGCTTTATCATACCTGCTTGTGGGAAACCTGTCCTCTAGTGTACTGGAGAAAGCTGTATCTTGGACTGTGTCCTGCTAGAGAAATTGTTACAAGAGTGGAGCCAGGGGAAGCTCTGGGTACTGCTGGCTGCTGTGACTCCAGATGCCAGGGTTTGGACAAGTTGCATACGTGGCAGGAGCCAGTTGTTGCAGAAACCAGAGGTGTTGCAGACTAGGGCCTGCAAACCAGACCAGGAACTGAAAACCTTTCCTTCTACGTGTGTTTCCAGTGGCCTCTACTGACAAAACTTAATGTTACACCAGCTGGCGAAGGAGAAATTTTCAAATGATATAGATCCGTGTTCATGCAGCCAGCAAAAAGGTTGAAAGGGAGCTAAGAAACAAGTTGAAACTGTCACATCTATCCAGAATTCCTCTCTCTACTCCCTGTCTCCTACTGGTTTTCTGTATCGTCAAAAATTTGCTGTGTCTGTCCTTTTTAGGGCTTACTTCTGGCTCTTACCATCCATCAGTCTTCTCCTGTTCCAGTCTGTTTTCTTTAATCCTCTATTTTCTACCAGTAAAAAAAACCAATTGTATTACTTTTAAAATTAAATACAAGCAAAGCTCTCCATGGGTTGACCATAGCCCATCTTACTAGTCCCTTCTTCCTTCACTAAATTTTTCGAGACATTCCAGACCCTTGGATGACTTTTTCTTCACCCCTCTCCCTAGGCCTTCCTCCTTCATCATTTTTAATAGTTTAAGAAAGAATTTTAAGTGGTTTGTTTGATCGTGTCTTTAACTATCTTTTACTGTGTACCAGCATGATCTATGCCAGGATATGTAGTTGAGTAAGGTGTGATCTCTGCCTTTGATCCTTACTGTTTTGAAATGGGCTACATTTTATAGTCATTTTAATAATGGGGAACTGGATTATAGGAGTATGAATGATGTATCACATAGCTAGTTAACCCCTGGACGTTAATCAAGAGCTATATCATCCATGGATCTTTCTTGACATCAGTCATAAAAATTGGTACTTCACCTGCTGTGTTTGTTTTTCCTTCCCTTCCTTTTAAGATTTAGCTGTTTTGGGCTTTAAGAACATGTAGTTTTACTTCAGTGTCTACCTGTCAGCCCATGTGGATAAGAAAACTAACCTCTAAACTGTTTATGGTTTAAAGGTGAGCATATTTTGACAAGTTTTTGTGATTTTCACACATTTTTTACCTGTTCAGTTTTCCTCCTTATTACAAGTTAGATACAGGTAACTTAGAACTTAATCAGTTCAAGAAGGATCTCAGTGTGAAGCTGTAGGAATGGGATGTCCTGTGGTTACAGAGCATACCATTTCTTTATCAAGTGGACTTTGGTTTATGAACATAGAAGAAGCTTTAAAGATATACGGACTGGTGGCCGGCGCCGCGGCTCACTAGGCTAATCCTCCACCTGTGGCGCAGGCACCCCGGGTTCTAGTCCCGGTCGGGGCGCCGGATTCTTGCCTGGTTGCCCCTCTTCCAGGCCAGCTCTCTGCTGTGGCCCGGGAAGGCAGTGGAGGATGGCCCAAGTACTTGGGCCCTGCACCCCATGGGAGACCAGGATAAGTACCTGGTTCCTGCCATCGTATCAGCGCGGTGCGCCGGCCGCGGCGGCCATTGGAGGGTGAACCAGCAGCAAAGGAAGACCTTTCTCTCCATCTCTCTCTCTCACTGTCCACTCTGCCTGTCAAAAATAATAAATAAATAAATAAATAAAATTTATATGGACTGGTGAAGTAGAAAATGATTCTCCCTGTTCAAGAGCCTTACCATTGACCTCAAATCAGTTCTGCACGGTTGAGGAAAGTTCCCTTCAACTTACATAATAACCTTTTTTTTTTTTTTTTTTGGTTTATTTATTTATTTGAAAGAGTGTCACAGAGAGAGGAAGAGACAGAGATTTTCCATCTGCTGGTTTGCTCCCCAAATGGCTGCAACAGCTGGGGCTGAAACAGGCTGAAGCCAAGAGTCAGGAACTTCTTCTGGATCTCCCATGTGGATGCAAGGGCCCAGTGACTTGGGCCATCTTCCCCTGCTTTCCCAGGCACATTAGCAGGGAGTTGATTGGAAGTGGAGCAGCTGCATTTTGAACTGGTGCCCAAATGGGATGCCAGTGTCACAGGTGGAGGCTTAACCCTCTAGGCCAGAACACCAGCCCCATAATAATATTTTTAATCCAGCAAGTAGTTTTTCTTACAGTCTTACCACTATAAATGTTTGACTGATTGTTGACAGCTTAGCTGTAAATGAGAGAACCTTCTCTGAAGAAAGTGAGAAATCTGTCAAGATTTTGACTCGATTTTATGAATCATAATGCTTCATTTGGTTATGAATGAAAAACTAATTTTTTTCTTCACTAATGCCAAAATATATCAAGAATAAAATTGGCTATAATTAAAAAAGTTCTTTGTTTAAATTTATTTGGGGATGGAGGAAGATTGCTGCCATATGCTGGTTCACTACCCAAAAGCCTGTAAGGTCTGGGCCCAGGGAAAAGCTAGGAACCAGGAGCCAGGAATGTAACCCAGGTCTCCCAAGAGGTTGGCAAGAGCCCAATTACTCGAGTAATCACTGCTGCCTCCCAGGATCTGCTTTAGCAGGAAACTAGAATTGGGGGCCAGAGCCAGGTATTAAACCTAGGTACTCCGGTGTAGGATGTGGGCATCTTAACTGATAAGCTGAATGCTTACTCTGGGAATATAATTTTTAAAATGTTTTCAGGGGCCGGCGCCACGGCTCACTAGGCTAATCCTCCGCCTTGCGGCGCTGGCACACCGGGTTCTAGTCCCGGTCGGGGCGCCAGATTCTGTCCCGGTTGCTCCTCTTCCAGTCCAGCTCTCTGCTGTGGCCTGGGAGTGCAGTGGAGGATGGCCCAAGTGCTTGGGCCCTGCACCCGCATGGGAGACCAGGAAAAGCACCTGGCTCCTGGCTTCGGATCAGCGCGGTGCGCTGGCCACGGTGGGCGGCCATTGGAGGGTGAACCAACGGCAAAGGAAGACCTTTCTCTGTGTCTCTCTCTCTCACTGTCCACTCTGCCTGTCAAAAAAAAAAAAATGTTTTCAGGATCACATGTATGACCTCAGTAAAACTAGTACTGTAACAATGTTTGTATCAACTTACTTTTCAAATATTAAAAAAGAGAAATAAAATATGTTTCTGATATTTTAAAAATCCATGGGGTGGTCATTTGGCCTGGTAGTTAAGATAACTGAGTCTTCCATCAGAATGCTTAGCTCTGGGTCCTAGGTGCAGCTCCTGGTTCTAGCTTCCTGCTAATGTGGACCTTGGGAGGCAGTGGTGCTGGCCCGGTAGTTCATGTAGGAGACCTGGATGGAACTGCTAGTTCTTAGCTTTGGCCCCTGGCTGTTGCAAGCGTTCAGGGAATGAACCACTGGATTGGGGGTGGGAGGCATGGGAACTCATGCTCGCTCGCTCTCTGTCTCTCTCTCTGTCTCAAACAAATTTTTTTAAATCCATATTGTTTCAACTGATAATAAATTATCTTTAACTTGAATGTTTTGATAATCTTAATTGATTGCCTTCTCATCTTTTACAGCCCGCACTTAACTTAAGGGACCTTGGATTATCTGAATTAAAAATTGGGCAGATTGATCAACTAGTCGGAAATCTACTTCCTGGATTTTGCAAAGGCAAAAACATTTCTTCCCATTGGCGTACATCCCATGTCTCTGCACAGTCCTTCTTTGAAAATAAATATGGTATGTTATATATTTTTAGTTCCACTTAAAATAAGTCATTTTAATACCATCAGTAATTATTACAATAGATATCATTTACTGTGGACAAATTCATTCCTGACTTATTTTCTTTATTTCTTTCTTATTTTTATAATTTTTCATACTGGAGTAGTCATAGAAATAGATTTACAGAAAAAGTTGCAGATGATGCAGAATTTCCATGTGACCTTCATTTTGCTTCCCTTCCCTTAGTGTTGCTGTTTTATGACAACATGGTGCATTCAGCCAATATTTATAACTAAATACAGACTACCTGGACTTCAGCAATTTGGTTTTACCAAATCACTAGTTTTCTCCTAATGTTCTTTTTGGTTGTTCTAGGATCTAATTCAGCATACCACATTCATTTATAAATTTTTTTGTTGTTTTAATTTTAGGTGACACATATTTATTGGATTCTGGGTGATATACTAAGCTCTGAGAATACCTTGATGAAGAAATAGTCATAGTCGTTGTATTGAACGTTGACATATTGTCTTTTTTTCTTTTTTTAAAGTTCTATTTATTTGAAAGGCAGAGTGACAGAAAGAGAGAGAGAGAGAGATCTTCTGTCTGTTGGTTCACTCCCCAGATGCCCACAAATACCAGGGCCGGGCCAGATCAAAGCCACGAGCCCAGAACACCACCTGAGTGTTTTATGTGGTGGCAGGAATCTGAGTTCTTGCGCCATCATGTTCTACCTTCCAGTGCATTAGTAGGAAGGTCTCAGAAGCTGAAGGTAGGCACTATGATATGGGATGCAAGAATCCCAATCAGCATCTTAACCTGCCCTGCCACAATACCCAACTCCTTGACTTTTTTTTTTAAAAAGGTTTATCAATTTGTTTGAGAGGTAGAGTTACAGGGAGGGAGAGACAGAGAAAAAGGTCCTCCATCCTCTGCTTCATTCCCCAGATGGCCACAATGGCCAGAGCTGGGTGATCCAAAGCCAGGAGCCAGGTGCTTCTTCCAGATCTCCCATAATGATGTAGGGCTCCAACGACTTGGGCCATCTTCTACTGCTATCCGAAGCTATAGCAGAGAGCTGGATCGGAAGAGGAGCAGCTGGACTAAAACCGGCGCCCATATAGGATGCTGGCGCTTCAGGCCAGGGCTTTAACCTGCTGCACCACAGCGCTAGCCCCTAAAAGAATTTTTTCTAAAAAAAGATTTTATTTATTTATTTGACAGAGTTACAGACAGTGAGAGAGAGAGAGACAGAAAGGTCTTCCTTCCGTTGGTTCACTCCCCAAATGGCCACAACAGTCAGAGCTGTGCTGATCTGAAGCCAGGAGCCAGATGCTTCTTCCAGGCTCCCATGTGGGTGCAGGGGCCCAAGCACTTGGGCCATCTTCTGCTGCTTTCCTAGGCCACAGTAGAGGGCTGGATTGGAAGAGGAGCAGCTGGGATTAGAACCGGCATCCATGTGGGATGCTGGCGCTGCAGGCGGAGGATTAACCTACCGTGCCACCGCGCCAGCTCCCTTAAAAGAATTAAAAAAAAAAATTATTTAAAAGGTAAAGAGACAGAAAGCTTCCATTTGTTTTTTTAATTACGTGAGCCATTGTTACCTCCCAGGGTCTACATTAGCAGGAAGGTGGAGTCAGAAACTGAAGCCATTGGATTCCCGCTTTGATGAGCTCAGGCTCCCTGATAGGGATAAGGGCAAATTAGGCCAGGTTAAACGCTCATCGCCAGGAACAAATCTTTTTTTTTAAAGATTGATTTATTTTACTTGAAAGTCACAGTCACATAGAGAGAGGAGAGGTGGGTGGGGGGGAGGGAGAGAGGTCTTCCATCTGATGATTCACTCCCCGGATGGCCACAACAACCGTAGCTGCGCTGATCTGAAACCAGGAGCCAGGAGCTTCTTCCGGGTCTCCCACGCCGGTGCAGTGGCACAAGGACTTGGGCCATCTTCTACTGCTTTCCCAGGCCACAGCAGAGATCTGGATCGGAAGTGGAGCAGCCGGATCTCAACTGGCACCCATATGGGATGCTGGCACTGCAGGCTGCGGCCCCACCTGCTACACCAGGGCCCCCAGGAACAAATTTTTTTTTTTTTTTTTTTTTTTTTTTTTTTTTTTTTTTTTTTTTTTTTTTTTTTTTTGACGGGCAGAGTGGACAGTGAGAGAGAGAGAGACAGAGAGAAAGGTCTTCCTTTTGCCGTTGGTTCACCCTCCAATGGCCGCCGCGGCCGGCGTGCTGCGGCCGGCGCACCGCGCTGATCCGATGGCAGGAGCCAGGAGCCATGTGCTTTTCCTGGTCTCCCATGGGGTGCAGGACCCAAGCACCTGGGCCATCCTCCACTGCACTCCCTGGCCACAGCAGAGAGCTGGCCTGGAAGAGGGGCAACCAGGACAGAATCCGACACCCCGACCGGGACTAGAACCCGGTGTGCCGGCGCCGCAAGGTGGAGGATTAGCCTAGTGAGTGAGCCGCGGCGCCGGCCAGGAACAAATTTTTAAAATCAGTACAAGTGATAACATTCCAGGAACAAAAGAGCAATTTTGAATAATTTATGGGGAAGTTTGATTTAAAATTGTACTTTGACAAACAATTCATTTTCTAGTTCTTTTTGTTCTTCCTTTGTCTTTATTTCATATAAAGACATAATGAGAGGCTGGAACTATGGCGTAGCTGGTGAAGCTGCTGACTGCAACTCCAGCATCCCATATGGGTGCTAGTTTGTGTCCTAGCTGGTGCACTTCCAGTCCAGCTGCCTGCTAATGCCCTGGGAAAGTAGTGGAAGATGGCCCTAGTGCTTGGGCCCCTGTTCCCATGTGGGAGATCTGAATGAAGCTCCTGGCTTCACTAGCCACTGCAGCCATCTGGGGAACAAACCAGCATATGGAACGTTCTCTCTCTCTCTCTCTGTAACTCTTGACTTTCAGATATATAAATTAAAAAAAAAAAAAAAAAAGATGTGAAAGAAGCAAGATAGAGAAAAAATATTCCTGAACTTGGCTTAGACTAACAGTTCGCTTCTGTTGTCTCTATACCTCCTTCTAAAGTACTTCACCCATAGAAGGATTCAATTAAGTAAAACTTTTATTGTTATTATTCCTACTACTGTTATAATTTACATATTTAAATTTACTTTTAAGATCGTTTCTCATGTGGCCGGCGCCACGGCTCACTAAGTTAATCCTCCACCTGCAGCGCCAGCATACCGGGTTCTAGTCCTGGTTGGGGCGCTGGATTCTATCCTGGTTGCCCCTCTTCCAGGCCAGCTCTCTGCTGTGGCCCGGGAAGGCAGTGGAGGATGGCCCAAGTACTTGGGCCCTGCACCTGCATGGGAGACCAGGAGGAAGCACCTGGCTCCTGGCTTCGGATTGGCGCAGCGCACTGGTCGTAGTGGCAGGGGGTGAACCAACAGAAAAAGGAAGACCTTTCTCTCTCTCTCTCTCACTGTCTAACTCTGCCTGTCCAAAAAAAAATAAAAAGATTGCTCCTCATATGCCAGCTGCTTACTAGGTTTGGTATTAGGAAGGAGTTTCTTGACTCCAAGGACTCTTTGAAGAATCTCTATATTCTAGGTGAGACACACAGATAGGTAATAGCCTTTGTTTCTTTTGTTGCCGTTACCAGTCCTGTCCCTGGGATCCTGGATGTAAAGTAGCATGGGTGTGTAGTCAAGAGTAGGAGTTAAGAAGTGTCACTTGAGTAGTATTTTTTTTTTTTTTTGAGTATTGATGACTCAACAGCTATGCAAGAAACTTTCCTCATTCTCATTGGCTATGGAAACTTTAAGAGGAAAAGCTAACAGAGCTGGGATTTGCAGTATTTTATCACATCCTCAGAGCTTTTGAAAATGTCAGTAAGAAATATCAACTTTTATCTCTTTTTTACTCGTAATTAAAAGTAATTTTAGCCTAAACAGTCCTATCTTTTACCTTTTTTGATTTGAATTTGTTTTGTTGGCCGCTATATTTATGTACTAAATAAAAAAGATATTCTAGCCAATAAGTGTTAGACAGTAAACTGAAGAACCGTGAGATTTAAAGTAATTAACAATGCTTTAGATGTTTATAAAAGCCAAGTTGTATTATGGACAAATAAAAGGTAAGATTCATTATTTTCTTAATATTTGATAAAATTATTTGTATTTCACATGATTTTTAGTTTTAGTTTTTAATTAGAAAATTTACGTTTTTGCAATTTCCTTCCAGGTTCCTTAGACATGTTTAGTGCTTTACGTTCCTCATGCTTGTATAGACATCATCCAAGAACTTTTCAAAGCCTTTGTTCAGATCTTCAGTACTGGCCAGGTATGAAGCAGTAATTGCATTTTGAGTGAAAAAAAAAAAGATTTATTTCGTATGTTAAGACTTGTCTTCCTTAATGGTATTAATGATTACAAACATTCCTTTGCAATTCACTGTAAGACTTTAAGGGTATTTGGAATTCATTTGTTTGGGTACTTCTGTATAATTTTTAATGTAGAAATTTATAATAGGAGCCACAGTAATCAAACTCTAGGCAGCTTGCTTATACCTGTTACAAAATGATTGACTAAGCACATTTGCTTATTTCTCACTTTTTTTTTTTTTTTTTTAACAGATAGAGTTAGACAGTGAGAGAGAGAGAGAGAGAAAGGTCTTCCTTCCGTTGGTTCACTCCCCAAATAGCCACCGTGGCTGGTGCTGCACTGATCTGAAGCCAGGAGCCAGGAGCTTCTTCCCGGTCTCCCATGCGGGTGCAGGGCCCAAGCACTTGGGCCATCCTCCACTGCCCTCCTGGGCCACAGCAGAGAGCTAGACCAGAAGAGGAGCAGCCGGGTTCTGTCATACATCAAGAAAATAAAGAATTTGAAATTAGTATGCAGTGAATTATCAATAAATGTTATTAGGGTAATTAGCCATTCATTTTGGAAAAAGGGAATCAAATTCTTTACATCAAACATAAGCTCCAAATACTTTATTTTTTAAAATAAAGGTTTACTTATTTGAAAGGCAGAAGTACAGAGAGAAAGAGAAAGATCTTGCATTTGCTTGTTCATACCCCAAATGGCCCCAACAGGTAGGGGTGGGCCAGTCCAAAAGCAGGATTCTGGAACTCCTTCCAGGTCCGCTGCGTGGGTGGTAGAGAGGGACCAAAGCACTTTGGCCATTTTCTGTTGCTTTCCCAGTTGCATTAGCAGGGAGCTGGGTCAGAATTGAAGCAGCCAGGACTTGAACTGGTGCTCATAGAGGATGCTAGTGTCACAGACAGTGGCTTAAGCTGCTGCACCACAATGTTAGCCATCCCCCCCAAATACTTTAAAAATCTGAAAACAAAAAATTAAAAATTTGCAAGTTTTAGAAGAAAGTAGTCTACCTTTACAATCTTAGTTTGGGAATGGAATCTCATCAAAACAAAATGTAGGAAACACTACAGGTTGAAGTCAGCGTTGTGGAGTAGTAGGCTAAGCCTCTGACTGTGGTGCCAGCATCCTATACAGGCACCAGTTTGTATCCCAGCTGCTCTTCTTCCAATCCAGCTCTTTGCTAATGGCCTAGGAAAGCAGTGGAAGGTGGCCCAAGTGCTTGGGACCCTGCACCCATGTGGGAGACTTGGAAGAAGCTCCTGGTTCCTGGTTTCAGATTGGCCCAGCCCTGGCCATTGCAGCCATTTGGGAAATGAACTAGCAGATAGAAGACCTTTTTCTCTGTCTCTCCCTCTCTCTCTGGCTCTGCCTCTCAAATAATTAAAAAATCTTTAAAATTAAAAAAAAAACTACAGGTTAAGGGTATAGCTATACTAGCCTTATAAGTTATTGTATCACATAATTTAAAGACAAAAACACTAAAATGTTTACATATATGTGTGTATATTTTTATGTATTTATATTCTATACTCTGCATAATGTCCATGTTGTACAAATTACAATACTAGGAAAACTTGCGAAGGATGTGAATGGTGTCAACCTACTTAAGAAATTAAATAGTGAATAAAATAAAAATGATTCTTTTCAGAAATTTCCCTCATTTGTAGTCTGGGGAATGTAAAATGAAGCAGTACTTTTTCTATGAGATTTGCACAAGTAAAATTATATTCTCCTGTGTTTGTAAAAGTATAGAGAAAAAAGACTTACTTTCATTGGGTGCTACATTATTATTAACAGCTTTCTTAGAAGGCATTTTCTTACTGTTGCAGTTTTATCCTCATAGCTTTTGTTTTAGGAATTTTCTCTGCTGAAGGATAAATGTACAAGAATGTTCACTGCAGTATATGTCCATAATAGGGAGAAAGTTAAATAAATTATACTCTGATAAATTTGGAAACTATAATAGCCATTAAACTGTGTGCCCTGTCAGTCCTGTTGTGAAAAATGTCCCTGGAATATTGTTAAATGAAAGAAGGCAATTGGAAAAAAATTGTGCTAATCTAGGATAATTTTTATAAAAAGTGCATGAGTGTGCATGCTTATTGGCCAGATAGTCTTGGAATTGTTGACTGATTACCTTCTGGGAAGTGGGATTAGGGAATTGGGGAATTATTTGCTATTCTTTTTTTTTTTAAAAATTGTTATTATCAAGAAAATAAAAAATTAATTCTATAAATTCAGTCCATTTTGAATAACAGGGTTTTTTTGGAAATTGTGATTTATTAGGGATGCTATATTGTTGTCAGACTTAACATTGTAAATTTTTCTGACTTATATTACCATTTTTCTCTTGTCAACATGAAATAGAATGTTTAAATTATCTTTTCAAAAGGATGATGGAAAAACTTGTAAATCATGTTTAAATGTCAGGCAAAAGAACTGGGTCAAAAACTCAAAAACAGTAGATATAGTTTATATAGGTAAGAGTTTCAGACTTTCAAAGTCATAGGCATTTTTCTATAGTAAATGGTACTGTTTTATTTAGTTTTCATACAGTCTCGGGGTTTTAAAACTTTGAAATCAAGGACACGACGTCTACAGTCCACCTCTGAAAGATTAGCAGAAACACAGAATATAGCACCTTCATTTGTAAAGGTAATTAGACCTTTTTCTATGTTCCAAAAAACAATCATTTTCAAGTTATTAAAACAAGAACCTTCCATTCTGTTGGCCAACTGATTTTCTTCCTTCTTTCCACTTTTGAGAAGAGAGTAGTGAAACCTGTTGCTCTCTGGCTACTGGACTTGTCTTTCCACTTGCTAATTAGACATTTCTCCCCAGTTTTCTACCAGTCTTTACCTGTTTATATATACCCTATTCTAAGTAGCAGCATCCACTCATGCTACAAAACTGAGGATGAACCTAAATTTGTCAGTCTTTCTTCCCCTTCATGTCTGTTAATCATTAAAGTCCTATTGAGCCAGCCTCCCAAATATTACTTAAATCTCTTTTTCTCTTAATCCCTAGTTCCACTGCCATGGTTAACCATTCTTGCCTAGCTTTTTCTAATGAATACTCATTTAGTCTCCTTGCCTCTCAGCTTGCTGTCTTCAGTCTGCCACCCACCAGTCTTTTGCTCCAAGTGTATTCTATTTTCTTAAGAAATAAAGTGATACTCAGAGTTTTTCATCATTTGGACTCTACCAACTGTTTTTTTCCACCCACTCTGTTCCTCTGTTTTCTTGGGCATTGATGTCTTGTCATAAAAGGTTGCTTGTAGTTTTCGAGTGCTGAAGGTTGTTGTTTCGTGCCTCTGTCAAATTGTTCATGGCAGTTGTTCCCTGTGTGTGATTTAGATGCCCCCCCCCCCCCTTTTTTTTTTTGAAAGAGTTACATAAAGGCAGAGGGAGAGAGAGTGGTCTTCTATCTGCTAGTTCACTCCCTAGATGGCCGTAATGGCCAGAACTGTGCCAATCCGAAGCCAGGAGCCGGGAGCTTCCTCCAGGTCTCCCAAGCACTTGGCTCGTCCTCTATTGCTTTCCCAGGCCAGAGCAGAGAGCTGGATCGGAAGTGGAACAGCCAGGACTCGAACTGGTGCCTATATGGGATGCCGGCACTGCAGGCGGCGGCTTTACCTGCTATGCCACAGTGCCAGCCCCTAGATGTCCCATTTTCTATAAGACCTTTCTTGTGTTTGTTAGATAGCACTTATTACTATACTTAATACTTCTAGTATAATGTCACAGTGATTTCAAAACCTTAATTATTTATCTATCTTTCCCCAGTAGGCTGAAAACTTTTAGGCAGGTCACTTATTTATCTTTACATCTTCTGCATGTACACAAGGCCAGGTGTATGAAAGGTATTTAGGAAGCATTTAACAAAATAAGGTTATTCCTGTACCAGAGATAAAGGTTATGTGAACATTGAACCATTAGAACCCTTAGATAACATGTGGTCTATAACTGTTTTCATTATACTGTAGTTTTCTTACAGAGTGATGCCATTTTCTTTATATTATTACTGATTGTTGCAGGTATAAGATCCAGTGTTAATTTCCTTCTATTAAGTAATTCATTGAATGTTAATCTGCTTCTTCATTTGGACAATAAAAATTAAATTTGAGGTTTTCCATGGATTTTTTTGTGTATGAGTGGTCACAATATTGTTGTAGAGTGTTGCTATCTAAGAAGTCAACCAATAATGATGTGTTGTTTGTGTACTTAGGGGTTTCTTTTGCGGGACAGGGGATCAGATGTTGAAAGTTTGGACAAACTCATGAAAACCAAAAACATACCTGAAGCTCACCAGGATGCATTTAAAACAGGTTTTGCGGAGGGTTTTCTGAAAGCTCAAGCGCTGACTCAGAAAACCAATGGTAAGTTGATTGGACACTGTCCCTCTCTGGGGAGAATGACTGAATGGAAGTCATAGTCCTTTAGTTAGCTTAGTGTAGGTACTTTTTTGAAAGTCTGTTTTTTTTCCATTGGTTGTATTCTGCTATATTTGTAACTTAAGCTGTGTGGAAATGGAAACATTTTTGGCAGTTTCATTTTCTCAAGAAAGAAACTGAAGTCAAGGACAGACTACTTGGCTTATGGAGCAGGGTGCTGAAAGAATATTATAGTTATTGTGCAAAAGAATGCTAGATTCCAAAATTGCGTGTGATATAATATAATCATCAACAGTAATTAATATTTGCATTTTATTGAGCTGTCACATCTCAGTGTCATTTGATTGAAGGCTTTTTCTTTCTCTTGCAGATTCCCTCAGGCGAACTCGCCTGATTCTCTTTGTTCTGCTGCTATTTGGCATTTATGGACTGTTAAAGAATCCATTTTTATCTGGTAAAGGCTGTTTTTTTATTTATCAGACTTAACATTTCTAAAACTTTTTCTCACTTATTAATTTGTTTGATTTATGAGAGAGCGAGCGAGGACAAAGTGAGCTCACATTCACTGGCTTACTCTCCAAGTCCCTGCAGAAGCTGGGGTTGCTGAAGCCAAGAGCCAAGAACTCAACTACTTAGGTCAACTGCTGCCTTCAAGTTTGCATTACCAAGAAACCGAAATCATGAGCCATGCCTGGGGGTTAAATCCAGGCACGCAACATGGGCATCCTAATTGACATCTTCAGTGCTAGGGCAAATGTCAGCCCTAACATTTGTTGATAAATTTCTTTAAATATTCATTTCCTATTCATGTTTAGTGTAAGATTTAGAGAAAGAGAACATTAATGTTTATGGTTTTACAATCTAGGCCTTTGATTCCTAGTAGTAATTTATTTATCAGATTTTTAGGAAATGACACTTTTCCAGTTATAAAATTCAAAAATTATAGTCTTAAAATAGAAATACAAAGTGAAAAAATCCTGTTTCAAAGATAGCTTAATAATTTGAATTTTTCTCTTAAAATTACTTTAAATGAGTCCCATTTTTTTCATGTTGCTGCTCTAAAATGAAATGATATCAGGTATAAGTGGTCTGAATTACTTTTTCAGCTATAATTTTGCTTTACCCTGTGTTCTGCATTCTTATGATTAAAAAATCTATATTTATTCTTTAAAATTGAGTTAGTAGGCTAAAACTATTGTCCATTCATTCCCCAACTAATGTTTTAAATTTTGTTCTCTTGACTTGAGTATGTTTTTGATGTGTTAAGCATTTCTTTTTATCCCTGTATATTTTCTACTTACTTATGCATTTGGAATAGCACTAATATACCACTTGGGAAGCCTGCGTAACATGTCAGAGGGCCTGGGTTCTAGTCCCAGCTCTGCTCCTGATTCCAGCTTCCTACTCACGTACAACATGGGAGGCAGCAGGTAAAGGTGCAAGTCGTTACGTCCCTGCCACACACATGGGAGACCTGTACTGAGTTCTCAGCTCCTGGCTTTGGCTTGGCCCAGCTCTGACTGTTGCAGATATTTGAGGAGTGAACAGGCAGATGGCAGATTTCTTTCTGTCTCTGCATTCCAAATAAATAAATTTCACTCTATCTTAATGACAGTGTTTTTGGCCTCCTCTGAGGAAATTAGAAATTGCTTTGTTTACTTACGTATAACGGCTCTAGTTTGTAAGCTTTTACACAAGCAGAAACAATTTAAGAACCTTACAATTGTTCCCCAAAGTTGATCTCAAATATTTTACTATTCTATCACACTTTTTATGTCTTTCTTATGTGTAATGATCTCATTATTGATGTATCATTTGAGGGCAAGTAGTAACATATCACAGGAAGAAGATTATCTTAAAGTAGAATAATCTGTTAAGTAACACTTTATTTATTTGAGAAGTCGAGTTACAGACAGAGGGAGAGACAGAGAGAGAGGTCTTCCATCCATCTGCTGGTTCACTCCCCAAATGGTCATGACGGACAGAGCTGAGTCAATCCGAAGCCAGAAGCCTGGAGCGTCTTCTGGGCCTCTCATGCAGGTGCAGGGGCCCAAGCACCTGGGCCTTCTGCTGCTGCTTTCCCAGGCCATAGCAGAGAGCTGGATTGGAAGAGGAGCAGCTGGGACATGAACTGGTGCCCATATGGGATGCCAGTGCCACAGATGGGAGCTTAGCCTACTGTGCCACGGCACTGGCCCTATAAGCATCATTTTTTTTTTTTAAAGATTTATTTTACTTAATATTTGAACAGCAGAGTTACAGAGAGGCAGAGGCAGAGAGAGAGCTCTTCCATCTGCTGGTTCATCCCCTAAATGGCCTCAATGGCCGGAGCTGGGCCAATCCGAAGCCAGAAGCTTCTTCCTAGTCTCCCACATGGGTGCAGGGGCCCAAGGAGTTGGGCCATCTTCTACTGCTTTTCCAGGCCATAGCAGAGAGTTGGATCAGAAGTGGAGGAGCCGGGACTCAAACTGGCACCCATATGGGATGCGGGCACTGCAAGTGGCGTCTTTATTCACTATGCTACAGGGATGGCCCCAATAAATAACTCTGGGAAAAAAAAACAAAAAAAGAATGCAAATTATCTGTGTTCCTGTGCCATTGGATTGAGGACTTACATTTTTTAACACTACCCAGTGCTTTTTATCCACACTGAAGTTTGAGAAACATTGATTTAAGATTTCTATCATTAGATCTTACAAGAAGAGAAAAACAATTCCTAATTTTAACTAGAAAGTTTAGGTGTATCTTTTTTTTTTTTTTTTTTTTTTTTTTTTTTTTTTGATAGGCAGAGTGGACAGTGAGAGAGACAAGAGAAAGATCTTCCTTTGCCGTTGGTTCACCCTCCAATGGCTGCCGCCGCCAGCATGCTGTGGCCAGTGCACCACGCTGATCCGATTGCAGGAGCCAGGTACTTCTCCTGGTCTCCCATGGGGTGCAGGGCCCAAGCACCTGGGCCATCCTCCACTGCACTCCCTGGCCACAGCAGAGAGCTGGCTTGGGAGAGGGGCAACTGGGACAGAATCTGGCGCCCCGACCGGGTCTAGAACCCGGTGTGCCGGCGCTGCAAGGCGGAGGATTAGCCAGCCTAGTGAGCCACAGCTCCGGCCCCAGGTGTATCTTTTTAATGTGAGCTAAAACTTTGATAATTCTGTGACCATAGTCTAGAAATCCAGAGGATGTAGTTTCTACTTCTCACTCTGATTTGATGTGTATGAACTTATTAAATCTCTTGGATATTTAATTTTCCTAGGTTGTAATTTCTTACATCTAAAAAGTAGAGTGGTTAGGATTTTATTAATCTATGAAACACAACATTTCTTTTCTTCTCTTTAGTCCGCTTCCGGACAACAACTGGGCTTGATTCTGCAGTAGATCCCGTTCAGATGAAAAATGTCACCTTTGAACATGTTAAAGGAGTAAGTGACCATTTCTTTTCCCACCTCACACATTATATAACTGAAATTCTACAGAAGGTCAACATTTCGGTTTAATGGTTATTCTGGAATTTCATCATCACATCCAAAAGTATTAGAGACTTTATATTTTGGGGTAAATGATAGTTGTAGAAGATCAAACCTTGTTTCATAATGGGAGTTTGTATTGGTTTGAGGAACATTGTGCTGTAGTGGAATGAATACAAACTTCAGAATCAACCAGACTAAGGTTTCAAATTCATCTTTGTACTTACTGGCTCTGTGACTTTGAGCAAATTACTTTAGACTCTGACAGGTGATCAATATGCTTGGCATATAGTAGATAGTTTAATAATTGGTACTACTGAAACTGTCCCTCTTAGGGATCTTCATAACTCTAGCATCTGAAACATATCAGACAATGTCTATTTCTTTAATGAGTAGAATGTGCTAGTTTATCCTTAATTAATTCGTTTTACAATACTAAATGTCTAAGTTCCCTATTTTAGGTGCTGAGGTAGAATAAGTTCCTGTCTTTGTGGAGTTTAAATTCTAAAAGCAGTAACTGGATGATGATATATTAAAAAATAAGAGTATGTTAAAAGGTAATAAAAAATGTGGTAGGGTAAAAGAGTGCAAGATAAAGAGGACTGGGCATTCACTTTTCAGTGGTGTTTAGGGTGTGATTGTAGTAAAAATACTGGGAGATGAGGTCAGGGAGTGCATAATGTTAGACCCCATAATAAAGGCTGGCTTTACTCTGAGAAAGGATTTTGAACAGAAGAACAGGATGATTTAACTTAGAATTTAATGAGAACAGTTTGGTTGAGAGATAACAAGCTGTTACAGTAGTCCAAGCAAAAGAGGAGGCTTAGCTCGACATTGTTGCAGTGGAGTCAGTATGTTGTAGGTAGGTTTTGGATACCTATTTTGAAGTTAGAACCAACAGGATTTTCTGAGTAGAATGTGGGGTGTGGGAGAAAGAAGAGTCAGGAATAACCACAAGATTTTGAGTCTGAACAAATAGAAGAATGAACTTGCCCTTTTCTGAGATAAAAAAGGCCAAGAGTACAGCAGATGTGGTGGACAAAGTTTAGAAATTTAGTTTAGGGTATATAAATTGTGAGATATCCAAATGAAAATGTTGAGTAAGCTTGGGTATATCATTTTGGAGTTAATGGAGAGGTGAGAACTAGAATTAGAAATTTAACAGTTTACATTTTACGTATGTTAAGTTCATGTGTTTGGATGAAATCACCAAAGGAGTTTGTGTAACCAGAAACGAGAAGAGGTCTAGGTGCTGAGCTTAGGGCACTCTAAGGATAACAGGATAGAGAAGAGGAGCCAGGTAGGAAGACTGAGGAGGAGCAGCAAGAGAGATAGGTGAGGACAATGTAATGGAAGAAAATATTTGGATGTTGACACAGTGAAATGCTTATGTGATGGGTCAAGTGAAAATTGACCATTATTAGATTAGATATATTACTGGGGAGGCCACTGGTGTACTTGATAAAGAAAATTCCAGAGTATCCTGAATGCAGTGGAATATAGTGGAAGGAGATGAAATGGAATAGGTGATTACAAACAATTCTTGAATTTCATTTGAAAGGGGGAGCACAGATAATTTGTATCATAACAGGAAATAAAATGTTAGGAAACTGGTAGGTAGAGGATTATGGAAGTTACTTGATTTTGAAATTCAGAATCAAAATCATCCGCTGATTTTATGAATCAGCTTTGTGCTTTGTGGAGAAGTTATGATGAAATTGTATAGGAATGGGTGATTAGGAAAATGTGACCCATGGGCCCACTTGAAGTTTGGAATTAGTCGACACACGTATTTTGTCCTAATCGTTTTATCTCTTTCAAGTAAGAACACACTGTGTTCTTATCTGTTCTCTATGCTTTGATATTATTGCGACTATATCTGCTGCATTATATTTGATTCTGAGAACTATACAGGCTAGGTAAATTGTTCAGGGATGTTTTGGAAGAAATTGCTCCTGCAGGAAAGACTTGAAGTACAAGTCTTTTTTGGATTTTTGCAAAGGATTTTTGCAAACACTGAAGAGGCTGATTGTATGTTTCATCTGCTCTAATTCTTTACATATACTTTTTTCTTTTGATATAAGGGCATTTCAAAATGGAATTAAAAGATAAATTTGGTGCAAAAAAATTGAAATTCAGGCATATGAGAGATCTTTAAAAATTCATGGGAAAATGCACATATAGTGGGAAAACTGCATGGACTTTAAAAATGTTTTGTGCTGGTGCCCATATGGCATGCAGGCATCACAGGCAGTGTCTTTATCTGCTATACCACAATGTCAGCTAAATATCTTTTTTTTTAAGGAGTTCTCTCTCTTCCACTGCCTCATATCTACTGGTTAACTCCCCAGATACCTGCAGTGCCTGGGGCTGGATCGGGCCAAAGCCAGAATCTGGGAAATTGAATCCAGGTCTCCCACATAGGTGGCAGGAACCCAACTACTTGGGCCATCACTTGCTGGCTCCCAGGGTGCACGTTAGCAGGCAGCTGGAATTGGGAACAGAGCCAGGATTTGAACCAAGGCACTCCCAGGTGGGAGATGAGCAGCCCAGCCAGCTTGTTAGGCTAAATGCCCACCCCTCTCAGTAGATCCTATACTCCTCAAGAGAGGATTTCTCTTGTCAGGCTGGGTTGGAAGTAGAGTAGCTGGGATGCAAAATGTCACTCTGATAGGGATGCAATAGCTTGATCTGCTTCCTACAACGCCCACCTCTGCTTCATGTTTTACCATGTTGCTCTCCAGTAGCTCATATTTAATTCTGCCCAAAGTACTTCTCTTCTCACTGAGAAGTTGCTTTACAGTGATTTTTGTTGGCACATATGGTGACTCTGCAGAACTGGAAACAAGGATTATGAGAAAACTTTATAATGGGTCATTTTTGTGCACTTTTATCACTGGAACAAAAAGAAGGCCAAGTTAATATGCAAATTAAATTTATGATTTTCAAAGAGGAATCCTGGGTAATCTAACCAATTCAAGTCATTATTTAAAATTATTTGCTTAACTGTGTCACTATAGGTGGAAGAAGCCAAACAAGAATTACAGGAAGTTGTTGAGTTCTTGAAGAATCCACAAAAATTTACTGTGCTTGGGGGTAAACTTCCAAAAGGTAAGATATCTTTCTTTTATCAGGAATTAATGTAAAAAAATTATTAATATATTACTCATTCAATTTTCATCAGATCTGAGCTGATCCAAATTTGTTTTTTAATTGCTAATTTTCAAAATATGTACTCATTCTCAACATACAGTTCTGTAACATTTTTATAACTTAACATTTGTATATAATTTGAAACTTTAAATTGTAAGAATAGTACAAAGACTGTTCTCGTACCATGTTAACCTACACTTGGTAGTTTCTAGCATTTTGTTCCATTTTTTATTTACTTTATCTCTTTACGTACATGTCTTTTTCTAACCATCAAGAAATTTAATGTGAATACAAAATTATTATCTAATTATCTATTATTATCTAATTTATATATCATCTCCAAATTTCAGCATTTTTTCCAATAGATTCTTGGTAGTGTTTGTCCAGTGTTGCTTCCTCTGTAGGCTCCAATCCAGGATCACACAAAGCATTTTGTTTTTTTCATTTATTTTATTTTTATTTTTTTTTTTTTTATTTGACAGATAGAGTTAGACAGTGAGAGAGAGAGATACAGAGAAAGGTCTTCCTTCCGTTGCTTCACCCCACAAATGGCTGCCATGGCCGGAGCTATGCCTATCTGAAGCCAGGAGCCAGGTGCCTCCTCCTGGTCTCCCATGTGGGTGCAGGGGCCCAAGGACTTGGGCCATCCTCCACTGCCTTCCCGGGCCATAGCAGAGAGCTGGACTGGAAGAGGAGCAACCGGGACTAGAATCTCACGCCCATATGGGATGCTAGTGCCACAGGCGGAGGATTAACCTAGTGAGCCACGGTGCCGGCCCCTGTTTTTTCATTTATTAAAGGGCAGAGTGACAGAGATAGAGGGAGAAAGAGAAAGAAATTCCTTTTTGTGGGGAGAGTGAAAAGAGAGAATCTTTTGTAATCTTTACAGTTGTGAAGAGTAATAGCTAATTATTTATGATCTGTTCCTCAGTTTGACTTTGATTTTTTTCTCAAGGTATTACACATGATTTTAAATGACTTCTTGCTGTCCTGTTTTCTGAAAGTATCATAATTTGTCTAACCATTTATTGAACTTTATTGTGATTTGCAGTGTTTTGCTATTAAAAATAGCACTGTGATCATCTTAACTCAAGGCTTCATTTTGTTTCTTTAAAATATATTTCTGGAAAGGGAATTGCTGAGTTACAGAGAAGCACACCTTTTTAAGACTTTTTTTATACTGCCAAGTATCTCTACTGAGAGTTCAGCAGAATGTCAGCATGAACCTTTGCTCATTTAGGGTGCATTTATTAAATCCATATATAACGTCATAGAGTGAGTATTTATAAACCACAGAAGTAGTGATACTCTTCCTTTTTCTAATCACAAGTAGTAACTTGAAGTTTGTAGAAAAATCCAGGATATAATCAATCTACAGAAGTTAATACTATGATTTGTATTGACTAAAGCCAGTTAAATGTAACTAGAACATGGCAATCCTAGGATAGTCTTAAAGCTTTTTGTGAACTTTTTAAAAAAATGTTGTAATGGGGCCGGCGCCGCGGCTCACTAAGCTAATCCTCCGCCTTGCCGTGCCAGCACACCGGGTTCTAGTCCCGATCAAGGCGCTGGATTCTGTCCTGGTTGCCCCTCTTCCAGGCCAGCTCTCTGCTGTGGCCAGGGAGTGCAGTGGAGGATGGCCCAGGTGCTTGGGCCCTGCACCCCATGGGAGACCAGGATAAGTACCTGGCTCCTGCCATCCGATCAGCACGGTGCGCTGGCTGCAGCGCGCCGGCCGCGGCAGCCATTGGAGGGTGAACCAATGGCAAAGGAAGACCTTTCTCTCTCTCTCACTGTCTACCCTGCCTGTAAAAAAAAAAAAGTTGTAATTCAAAAAGCTTTATTGCCTTTTTAAATGTAGTCTACATTTACAAAAAAGTTACATAAATCAGGGAATTCCTTTGTCCTACTTATTGTGAAAAATTTAGGGGCATCATGAGAATTCCAAACATTTGGAAAAGCTTGAAAGAGTAGTATGTAAATGTCCATATACTTACATGCATGGATTTCAAAATGTTTTTGCAACAAATTAAAATCTTTCAATTCCAGTTTTAATTATCTTTTTAAGTGCCATTTTACTGTCCACTAAAGCACAATAGTTGTTAATATATTCTCATGTTTGCTTTTCTCTGTATGTGTGTGTGTGCATGTATTTTCATGCCCTAACATTTAAAAGGACACTATACAGCAACTACTTTTTGCCTAAATACTTTGCAATCCATCTTTTAAGAATAAGAACATTGTCTTAAAAAAACAACGTAAGCAATAATTTATCTCACCAAAGAAAAGTTTCTTTAATATCACGTACTATCCAGACTTTTTTTGTTTTTAACCAAAAGTGTCTAGAATTTTCTTATTAATGTTTTTCTGTGGGGAAGCAACAAGTCAGACATGCATGGCATTTGCTTGTCTTTTAATCTTTTTTATGTGAATTTTGTCTAAGTTATTTAATGGTAAGTGGGATTATATTGCTTGGCCCCAAGATTCTTTCTTCCTGTATGTGTTGATGTGTAGACAACACATAAATGATATTGGAAAATTAGCAGAGACAAATATATTTTGCTATATTTCTTTTTTTATTTTTTTTTTAAAGATTTTATTTATTTATTTGAGAGGTAGAGTTACAGACAGAGAGAGGGAGAGACAAAGGTTTTCCATCCACTCCATTCCATCACTTCCATTCACTCCCCAAATGGCTGCAGTGGCCAGTTGCTGGGCCAATCTGAAACTAGGAACTAGGAGCTTCTTCCAAGTTGCTCATGTGCGTGCAGGGTCCCAAGCACTTGGGCCATCTTCCAGTGCTTTCCCAGACCATAGCAGAGAGCTGGATTGGAAGAGGAGCTGCCGGGACCTGAATCGGCACCCATATGGGTTTACAGCACTGCAGGTGGAGGCTTAGCCCACTACGCCAAGCACCGGCCCTTGCTGTATTTCAGAATATACTGATCTTTGGTGTTCCTTCAGCCTCAAAATTATATAAATAACTATTTTATTAGATTCAAAGCAAGTGATATTTTTTAACCAAAACTTGAATTTTTCTTGTTTACTTCTTCTTTTAGGAATTCTTTTAGTTGGACCACCGGGGACAGGAAAGACACTTCTTGCCCGAGCTGTGGCAGGAGAAGCTGATGTTCCTTTTTATTATGCTTCTGGATCAGAATTTGATGAAATGTTTGTGGGTGTTGGAGCTAGCCGTATCAGAAACCTTTTTAGTAAGTTTTGATGTATCTTTCGTACAATACTAAATTTCATCAATTTTAGGCGAAGACTGTTTTCTACTCCAGCTTTGCCAATTGCTTGTGATAGTCAGCTGGAAGGGCCATTGTGGTGTTGTGATTTCAGGTGATTTAATGTATGACTTAAAATATTCTTTTTCCAAATGCAGTCAGGAGAAGAGCTAGTGGAAGTGCAAGAGGAATTGAAGGCTGCCGAAAAGTTCTTCATTTTTGTCATTGTATTCATCAAGTCTATGTTATATAATTAAAGAGTAATTATGTTCAAATTTGATTATTTATATTTATTTGTTATAGCTAGGGAGAATAAATGCCAAATTATTTATATCTTATATCATTTTCTTTGATATTATTTCTCCTGCATCCAGGCTGATCTTTAAATCAGGACCTATTTTTTTATTTTTTGCTTTTGACAGTCTTACACATTTTCAGTATTTCTATGATTTTGTTTAAAAAATGTTGATTTCTTGCCATCTTTCCCATTTTCTTAGGGGAAGCAAAAGCAAATGCTCCTTGTGTTATATTTATCGATGAATTAGATTCTGTTGGTGGGAAGAGAATTGAATCTCCAATGCATCCATACTCAAGGCAGACTATAAATCAGCTTCTTGCTGAAATGGATGGGTAAATGTATATTTCTATATCTGTGGAATATGATGATACATTTTAAAAATAAGGATTTTTAAAAATTTTAAAAATTGTTTGTAATAACAGATGCCTCCCAGCATTTGTTACATGTACACTTGATCTTGTACAAATCGCTCCTATAAAGCGTTTGGTAACATCTCGAAGTAGGAGAACTTGATGTGTACGAGCAACAGAGTAGTCTCTTATGCAAACAGTCAAGGCAACCTTTTCTCTCAGTGTTGTATTGCTACCATTTACTAACTGGATATTTGATGTATCACTCAGCTTTTTAATTTGTGATATTTATACCTTCTTTAGTTATTATACTTACAAGAGTAAAGCAATGGTTTAAGCTGAAATTAGTAATTTACTTAAAGAAATAGGAATATGCTGGTCCCTACATGGTATATGAATAGTCAGGTTTTGAGTATTGTGATAGATTTAAAGCTGACATCAACTTTGTGTGTGTGTGTGTGTGTTTTTGTTGTTGTTGTTTTGTTTTGTTTTTTTTCAGGCAGAGTTAGACGGTGAGAGAGAGAGACAGAGAGAAAGGTCTTCTTTTGCCGTTGGTTCACCCCACAAATGACCACCGCGGCCGGCACTCTGCACCGATCCGAAGCCAGGAGCCAGGTGCTTCCTCCTGGTCTCCCATGCGGGTGCAGGGCCCAAGCACTTGGGCCATCCTCCACTGCCCTCACGGGCCACAGCAGAGAGCTGGACTGGCAGAGGAGCAACCGGGACTAGAACCCGGTGTGCTAGTGCCGCAGGTGGAGGATTAGCGAAGTGAGCCGCGGCGCCAGCCAACTGACATCAGCTTGTAACAAAAATAAGAGATCACTTTGAGTGAAGTATTATTGTAAAGTCAATATAAGATATTTTGGAACCAAATAGGATTCTAGGAGCAAATAATTTCACTTTGTAAAATTGAAAATACTTTTTAAAAACTTAATCTAACATCCAAGCTTTTTATCAAGTTGGTTTTTCCTAAACAGATCAAGAGATTGTGAAGGTGATTATCACAGATAATCAGTGATTTATCTGTTTCCTTGGCTATTATTCAGATTAATTATAAACAGATTTCTATAGATTATTGTTATGTGACTATGTGTGCTACACTTCAATTTTCAGTGAAGAGCTTCTCTTTTTCCCTAAATAGTTTTAAACCCAATGAAGGGGTTATCATCATAGGAGCTACAAACTTCCCAGAGGCATTAGATAAGTAAGTATTAAGAGAAAATTTTTGCCAAGTACTGTTTTTTTGCTATATCATGTAAAGTAAAGAAGTCCATCAGAAAAAATCACATTGTATGATTTCACATAAATCTACTTATGGGCAATGTCTAAGGCAATCAAATCCACAAAGACAAATTACTGATTGCCAGAGGCTAGGGAGAATGTGAAGTGACTAACAAAAAGTATTGAATTTCTTTTTGTGAGGATAAGAATATTCTAAAATTATATTAAGGTGATGTTTGCACATCTCTGAATGTATTTTTTTTTAAGATTGATTTTCTTATTTGAAAGGCAGAGATACGGAGAAGGAAAGAGAGATCTTCTGCTCCCTGGTTTGCTCCCCAAATGGCCACAACAGCTGGGGTTGGGCCAGGCTGGAGCCAGGAGCTTCTTCTGGGCCTCTCACATGGTACAGGGGCCCAGGTACTTGGGCCATCCTCTGCTGCTTTCCCAGGTACATTAGCAGAGAGTTGGATCAGAACTGGAGCAACTGGGACTTGAGCTGGTACCCACATGGGATGCCAGCACTGCCGGCAGAGGCTTAGCCTTGTATGCCAAAGTGCCAGCCCCATCTCGGAATATATTAGAAAATGCTCCAGTTAAAAATCTGCATCATGTGAACTAAATCTCTATAGAGCTGTTAAAATATTATATATATATTATATATATTTTTGGTGATATATATATATCACCAAAATTTTTAGGTGGAGAACATTTTAAAAGTAAAATTTAAGTGATCCCTGTTAAATATGAGAGTGGGAAAAAGGGAACAGATGTACAATTTGGGACATGCTCAAGCTGACTTGCCCCAAACGACAGAGTTAGAAACATACCAGGGGATTCCAATTCAGTCCCATCAAGGTGGCATGTACCAATGCCATCTCACTAGTCCCAGTGATCAATTTCTGTTCACAATTGATTATAATGATAGGACTAAGAGCCAAAGGGAGCACATAAACAAGACTAGTGTCTGAAAATACTAACCGATAGAATAAAAAAGGGAGAGAACAATCCAACATGGGAAGTGGGATACACAGCAGACTCATAGAATGGCAGATGTCCTAAACAGCACTCTGGCCTCAGAATCAGCCCTTAAGGCATGCGGATCCGGCTGAAAAGCCCATGAGAGTATTTCAGGCATGGAAAGCCAAGACACTCTGGAAAAAAAAAAAAAAGACCTAAATGAAAGATCTCTGTGAGTGAGATCCCAGTGGAAAGAACAGGTCTTCAAAGGAGGAGGTACCTTTCTCTGAAGGGAGGAGAGAACTTCCACTCTGACTACGACCTTGTCTAAGTATGATAAGAGTCGGTGAACTCAAAAGGTCTATAGCCTTGGCAGCTCTGACAAGTGCCTCGGGTGATTACTGATGCCATAAACAAGAGTGTCAATTTGTAAAGTCAACAACAGGAGTCACTGTGCACTTACTCCTCATGTAGGATCTCTGTCCTTAACGTGCTGTACATTGTGATTTAATGCTATAACTAGTACTCACACAGTATTTTTTCACTTTGTGTTTCTATGTGGGTGCAAACTGTTGAAATCTTTACTTAATATATGCTAAACTGGTCTTCTGTATATAAAGAGAATTGAAAATGAATCTTGATGTGAATGGAAGGGGAGAGGGAGCGGGAAAGGGGAGGGTTGTGGGTGGGAGGGAAGGTATATGGGGGGGAAAGCCATTGTAATCCATAAGCTGTACTTTGGAAATTTATATTCATTAAATAAAAGTTAAAAAAAAAGTAAAATTTAGTGCATTGTTAAAATTAGTTTTAGCTTATAATTAAATATTGAGATGGGTATGTTGTTCTTCTGACAGTCTGATGTTGCTTGTTCCTTGGTTGACTTTACTTGCTTGCATGCTTTGTTTTCTGTGAGTGTATGCTACCTAAGTGCACACTCATATATCTAAATGGATCTTTCTTATACCCTCTGGTTTTGGAGACTGTTATTGAAGCCATGTTTTAAAATAAACCATCTCAACATTTATGTTTAAAACAACAATCTAATCTATGACTGCCATTTTCTTCCCATCAAATGTTTTCTGTGTCAGTCCTGGTTAATTTCAACTTTTGCATAGTCAGCTTATTAACACATATTTTCCTTCTGCATTCTTCTTCCAGTGCCTTAATACGTCCTGGTCGTTTTGACATGCAAGTTACAGTTCCAAGGCCAGATGTGAAAGGTCGAACAGAAATTTTGAAATGGTATCTCAATAAGATCAAGTATGATCAGTGTAAGTGTAATTCTGTAATACAAATATTGTATCTCTATAAATTGGTAATAGATCCATCTACTATAGTATTCATTTAGTGAATGTCTTGAAAGACCAATTCATTTATGTGTCTTTTTCTTTATATAACTATTGCATATCCAGGAGAATCTATCATTTTGAATTCTGAGCCCAAGAAGGTTTTCTTTATTCATGTGTAATATTTGAAGATGAATGTATTTATAGATTTTATATAGATGAATGGAAAATGCAAAGTAACAGAAAAAGCTCCAGAAACAATAATTTAATGTCAGTTTGAAATCAAAAGGGAGGAAAACAAACTCTAAAGCAAAATACATGGAACTCTTATGTCCCAACTTGAGTAGTTAATAAAGCTACTGAAGCTGAGTATTTTCAAAGATAACTGAATCAGTTCACAAAGCTACATTTGTTTCTTATAGGAGCTCTTGTGTCCAAAGTATTGGAAGATGAATTTCAGGGAACTGAATGTTGTCTTGAGTATTACTTTTCTGTTAATGGTTACGCTAGTAAGAATATAGGTCATATTTGAAATTTCTAATTCATATCAAATAACTACTTTCTTTGTTTTTCACAGTTTTTTCAAATTTAAAAATTTTTGTGATTTGTCCCAATGCCAGGTCCAGTGGCATGTTTTAGCACTTTCTCTAAGAATTCTGGTAAATTTAAATTTATTTTGAGTTTTTAGATAAATATATTAAATTATAGTCTAGAATAATCAATGCTTTTTTTTTCCCTCTTCATTTGGAATGTGAGTCTTTGTGAAGACCTTCCTTATAGCTGTTTTGGACTTTAGTACTGTGTTCTGTTTTTACATAGCTGTTGATCCAGAAATCATAGCTCGAGGTACTGTTGGTTTTTCTGGAGCAGAGCTGGAGAATCTTGTGAACCAAGCTGCTTTAAAGGCAGCTGTTGATGGAAAAGAAATGGTTACCATGAAGGAACTAGAATTTTCCAAAGATAAAATTCTGATGGGTAGGTTCTCTTTATGTTCTATCTATTTTATACTTTTCATGTGTTAGAGAATAAATTTTCTTTTTGGAAATAATGTATTCAGACAACTAAAGCCTGTGGCTGTGATTAATATAACCTTACTTTAAAACTTGAATATCTAGGTATTGAAGATTTGCAGTTAATTAAGTGTACAAGTTCCTAATTTAAGAGCCAAATGCCAATGCAACATATTCTTGACAATATCCATATTTTCAGTGATATAGAACTCAAGTTTATATGTAATACATTCATTAGTATTTTTTCTTTTTCTTAGAAGATGTTTTTGTTACTGTAAAGATAAGTTTAGAGGAGCATGAAAAATATATATATGTGAAATAGCAACAAAATTTGGCATACTACTAAACTTGTCCTAAAGTTTGATTACTCTGGTGGTGGCGGTAGAACATTCATGCGATTCCTCTTTTACGGAGTTGATGAAAAGCACGTTTTATTTATTTTGTGTTCAATTTTAATTCTAGGTTTGGCTTATAAATATTAGTGACGACATTATTATTAAATTGGAAATTATTTTCTAGAAATAGAATTAAGCTTTCCCTTTTTGATAAAAGGATTAATTTGGCAGTTTTGGTTTGGCAACTTAGAGATTATTACAGTTTTTATGTGTTATAGAGTGAATTCTCATTTCTTGCAAACATTATGTTACTTTAAGAATGACTTTTAAGGAGATTAGTTTTTTGTTCCTTCTTTTTTTATGTTAATCCCATACCAGATATTTGGCAAAAGAGAATGGTATTTATTGACACCTTCCTAATGGCATATTTTACTTAAACTTTCATCTTAGGGCCTGAACGAAGAAGTGTGGAAATTGACAACAAAAACAAAACGATCACAGCATATCACGAATCAGGTCATGCTATCATTGCATATTACACAAAAGACGCGATGCCTATCAACAAGGCTACAATCATGCCACGAGGGCCAACACTGGGACATGTAAATTTCTCTAAGTTTTTTCTCTGCTTTTATAAATTTTTATTTGTTAATATTTATTTGAGAGAGAGTTCTATTTGCTGTTCATTCCTGAAATGCTTGCAACAGCCAGGGCTAGACCAGGCCAAAGCCAGGAACCCAGATCTCAGTTTGAGTCTCCCATGTGTGTGGCAGAGACCCAAACACTTGAGCCATTAGCGGTAAGCTGGATTGGAAGCCGAGTAGCCTGGACTTGAACCAAGCATTCCAGTGTGGGATATGGGCATCCCAAGTGGCTTTTTTTTAAAGTTTTATTTCTTTGAGAAGTAGTTACAAACAAAGAAAGGAAGAGACAGAAAGTTCTTCCATCCACTGGTTTGCTCCCCAAATGGCTGCAGTAGCCAGAGCTAAGCTGATCGGAAGCCAGGAGGCAGGAGCTTCCTCCTGGTCTCCCATGTGGATGCAGCCATTTTCTACTGCTTTCCCAGGCCACAGCAGAGAGTTGGATCAGAAGAAGAGCAGCCAAGACTCAAACTGGCACCCACGTGGAAAGCTGGCATGCAGGCAGAGTCTTAGCCCTCAATGCCACAGTGCTGGCTCCCCTTTCCTAAGCTTTAGGATACTTTTCTTTTTTTCGCTTCTGAGCCATTTTTAAATCAGACACTTGTGAAATTTTTCTGATAAAGAATATTTAGGTATTTCAGATATTATATGTATTATGAAATTTAAATGCCTAATTATATTACTACCCATAAAGAGAAATTCTATGGTGTAGTGACTGATTCCATAGTTTTCCAGTTTTAGTATATGTGCTGCCAAAATGAGTACTGGTTCCATAGTTTTCTAAGATTCTCTCATTTAGTACAAGTTTCATCTTGTCTTTCCAATATATGGTATTTTAAGCATTTTTATGCAGCTGGGGAAAAAACAGTCCTATTCCAGCATTACCCACCTATTCTTCATGAAATGTGCACTTGCTTTTTTTAAAATTATTTTTATTTATTTTATTTGAAAGGCAGAGTTAAAGAGAGGCAGAGAGAGAGAGAGGTCTTCTGCTGGTTGACTCTGCAGGTGGCCTCAACGGCTGGTGCTGCACTGATCCGAAGCCAGGAGCCAGGAGCTTCTTCTAGGTTTACCTCAAGGAGTTGGGCCATCCTCTGCTGCTTTCCCCAGCCATAGCAGAGAGCTAGATTGGAAGCGGAGCAGCCGAAACTCAAACCTGCACCCATATGGGAGGCCGGCACTACAGGCAACAGCTTTAACCACTATACCACTGCGCTTCCAACCCCACCTTTTGTTGTTCATTTGTTTTTTAAAGAAGCTTTCCTTTCTAAGTTGCTGGATTTGTCATCAATCACCTGATTACCATCACTATTAAATGTCTTTCAGCCTTCAGTATGATAGCGTTAAAGCACTATAGTGAGAGCTAGATGATAATTCTGGTTTTTAGTAGAACTGTTTCAGAACTTTATCAGATGTCTTTAGTTACAGAACTGTATGAGAATGTTTTTAGTTACAACTGAAGTATTTTTCAATTGTTCAGGTGTCACTGTTGCCTGAGAATGACAGGTGGAATGAAACAAGAGCCCAGTTGCTTGCACAAATGGATGTCAGTATGGGAGGGAGAGTGGCAGAGGAGCTTATATTTGGAACTGACCATATAACAACAGGTTTGTATTAAAAAATGTCTTTAGTTCAAATTGTGTTTGTTGGTTTGGAAATATTTTTAAGATTTGAGTTCTGTGCTTTTTATATTTTAGGTGCTTCCAGTGATTTTGATAATGCAACTAAGATAGCTAAACGGATGGTCACCAAATTTGGGATGAGCGAAAAGGTATTCATTATTTTAATCCTTTTCGTATATCAAATGATGTGTCATGTGTGACTTTAACGTTCTGATTATAAATTGATAGCATTTCCTTTCCCCATTTCATTCTAAATACTTAATTCTGAATGTTGTTCTCTTAGCTACTCAGAAACTATTACTTCATGAGTTAATGAAGTGATTACACAACATAAATTCTTGAGCCTTTTGATATGATATAAATAAGCCTGCTTTCTGAGCTTCCTTCTTTACCTTTTCCATGTTTTTATATTTCCACATTATCCTGTGACTCCTTGAAGCACTTTTGTACTCTGAATTGTGCATGTCTGGCTTTGGAATAGCTGGCAAGGTTTTTTAAGAAAATACTCAGAACCAGAATTAAAATGATTTAAAATTTTCTCTTTTGTTCTAATCTTCATAATTTCATAAGAATGATGAGATTTCTGTTCTTTCAAGAGCATTTGTATATTTTTCTTGCCCCCATATTTTTGTCCTGATCTATAGGAAAGTAGTTTCTGTTAAATTTCTTGATGTTTATGGATTTTTCTGTTCAACTACTTTCTTCTCTTTGCTTTTAGCTTGGAGTTATGACTTACAGTGATACAGGGAAACTGAGTCCTGAAACTCAATCTGCCATCGAACAAGAAATAAGAATCCTTCTAAGGGTAATGATCATATTTTTCTGTGCTCATTGATTGACATAATGTGCCTAGAGGAGCAGGTGTTTAGCCCAGTGTTTTAAGATTCCAGGCCCTACACTGCAGTGCATGGGTTCAATTCCCTGGTCTGACTCCTGATTCCAGCTTCCCACTAATGCAGACCCTGGAAAGCACCAGTGATGGCTCAGGTAGTTGGTTTCTGCCATCCACTAGATGAGGATTGTGTTTGCAGTCCTGGTTGCTGTTATTGACTTTATCCCATCAGAGTCCCAGCCCTAATCACAGTGCCAGCCATTGTAGGCACTGGGAGAGTGAGCTAGAGGATAGCAGCCTGCTCACCCATGTGTGTACTCTCTCCCTGTTCCTCTTCCTTGCAAGAAAAACAACAACAAAAGTGACAACTAAAGCATCTTTGTTCACTAGAAATCTCATTCTATAAGATAATAGATATATCATTGCAATCATGTTCGACATATGTTATACCTCTCTGGTCAGGAACTGGATCTTGGTGGTTTTAAAAATGTAATTCTACTTGATGTGTTTGACTAACATATAAGGATATTTTGGTTTTTAATGTTTATCTTTTTTTTTTCAAGATTTATTTTATTTGAAAGAGTTACAAAGAGGCAGAGAGAGAGAGAGAGAGAGAGATTGAGATCTTCCATCTGCTGGTTCATTCCTCAATTGGCCGCAATAGCCGGAGTGGTACCAGTCTGAAGTCAGGAGACAGGTCTCCCACACGGGTACAGGGGCCAAAGGACTTGGGCCATCTTCTACTGCTTTCCTAGGCCTTAGCAGAGAGCTGGATTGGAACTTTACCCACTACACCACAGTGCTGGCCCCTTTAATGTTTATCTTAAATTTGTTTATTCATCTAAATGAAAGGCAGGTGGAAACTATCTTCCATGTGCTGGTTCATTCCCTAAATGCCCTGGGCTGGGCCAGGCTAAACTCCATTGGTGGCAGGGGCCCAAGCACTTAAGCCCTCTCCTGCTGTCTTCCAGGATGCATTAGTAGGAAGCTAGATCAGAAGCGAAGTAGCTGGGACTCAAATCAGCAGTATGATAGGGGATGTGGACATCCCAAGCAGTAGCTTAACCTGTGATGCCACAGCACCTGCCTTGTCATTTCTCCTTTAGCTATACAACCATAGAAAATGAACAGCAGATATTGTTTATTGAGTCTTGTGACTCATATTTTTTCCCTACTCTTATACAGATCTTTTCTTTTCAAGATTTTATTTGACAAGTACAGTTACAGACAAGGAGAGGGAGAGACAGAAAGGTCTTCCATCTGCTGGTTCACTCTCCAAATGGCAGCAATGGCTGGAGCTGAGCTGATCTGAAACCAAGAGTCAGGAGCTTCTTCCAGGCCTCCCATGTGGATGCAGGGTCCCAAGCACCTGGGCCATTTTTTAATGTTTTCTCAGGCCCTTAGTAGAGAGCTGGATCAGAAGGTGGAGCTCCTGGGAGGCAGCAGATGATGGATGGCTCAAGTAGTTGGGTCCCTGCCACCCATGTAGAAGACTCGGATTGAATTTCTAGCTCTCAAGCAGTTGTAGATCTCTGTATCTTTCTCTTTGCCTCTCAATTGCAGTAAATTTATTTTTTTTAATTAAAAAATTTGATAGTATGTCTCTGTGATGTTTTGGATGTGAAGGTTGAGAGAGTAGTCAAAGTTGTTTTCTAGATTTCTGTCTCTTGCAGTCATCTAGTTATGACATTCACTGAAGAAACTCGGGACTAAACCTGGGCTGGGTTAGGACTGGGAATTGGGTAGATCATTCAGTTTTGTACATATTGAATGTAAGGCTTTTTTTTTTTTTTTTTTTTTTTTGACAGGCAGAGTGGACAGTGAGAGAGAGAGACAGAGAGAAAGGTCTTCCTTTCCGTTGGTTCACCCTCCAATGGCCGCCACGGCCGGCGCGCTGCGGCCGGCGCACCGCGCTGATCCGATGGCAGGAGCCAGGAGCTTTTTCTGGTCTCCCATGGGGTGCAGGGCCCAAGCACCTGGGCCATCCTCCACTGCACTCCCTGGCCACAGCAGAGAGCTGGCCTGGAAGGAGGGGCAACCGGGACAGAATCCGGCGCCCCGACCGGGACTAGAACCCGGTGTGCCGGCGCCGCTAGGCGGAGGATTAGCCTAGTGAGCCGCGGTGCCGGCCAAATGTAAGGCATCTTAATGTAGTTTTCAAGTTGGATGTATATATGGGTCTGTAACTTAGTAGAAACATTGGTTATATGTTCTATTTGGATGTTGAAGTTGCCTATTAAGGCAAGTCTTTGAATGGAGAGGAAGAATAAGCTGAGTGCCAAAGTTGAGTGAATGCAGAATCTAATTCAGTATTTGTCCTAAGGCACAATAATGGTATTGGAAAGGCAGTCCTTCAAATTATTTTTTACTTCAAAGGAATGGTGCTTTACTCAAGAGGGTAGGTTAGTGATGTTCTAGAAGTGGTGATGTGAACAAAGACCTCATCTCTTTACCCAGAAGTATCTGGGCTAAGAGGAATAAACAATACTTGAGAGGCCTTGGGAAAGCAGTCTTTACAGTAAAGAGGCAGGTTTTGATTGATTCAAGGAGTTTGAAAGAATGTTTTGGGAAGTCTGTTTAATATAAAAGTTTAGAAAGTGTTCCAGAAGAAGTCTCTGCCTTCACAGAATATTTATTCTCTTTTCCTTACTATTTATGTTGTTGATACAAAATTACCAAGCTTTTAAATATTTAAAAATAGTACTTATAAATCAAAAAAATGCACATCTCTTAACATACATAAAGTTCTTATTTCTTGTCCTATTGCCTATGGATTTTGCCTCCCCTACACCTTCCACTTCTTATATATCTGTTTTTCTATTTTAGGAGTCGTATGAACGAGCAAAGCATATCTTGAAAACTCATGCAAAAGAGCATAAGAATCTAGCAGAAGCTTTATTGACCTATGAGACTTTGGATGCCAAAGAGATTCAAATTGTTCTGGAGGGGAAGAAGCTGGAAGTGAGATAATAACTGCTGCTGGTTTTATCACAAGAACACAAGTAGCACTGCAGTAGTTTCCTTTTGCAATGCTTCCTCCCTTTTTTGACTTGGTACAATTCAAGGGTGTGAAAAACTTTGTCAATCTTTTGTCTCATTTATCTAATTTTGGTTCTTCTCATGACACCTATTGCAAGTTAGGCACCCATAGCAAATATATTTTAAAAAATAAATCAGGATTGAAACAACTTGAGAAATGTTGATCAGTTATTAAGTTGAGTAAATAATCGTTTTATGGCTGGTTACTAGTTGTGAGTAAAAATTGTGCCTTTTGCTCCTGGGAAGCATTTTTAATTTGCAGGCTGCAACTGTTGAAAAATTACCATTATCTCTTGTTAGTATCTTTTCTCTTTGATAAAGAAATAATACTGTTTGATATCTGGCAAATCCTATTATTTCTTCATGTACCATTGGGTATTTCATTATTAGGTACTTAATTATGCTCCAAATTGACCATATATAACACATTTTTTTTTAAGAAAAATCTAAGTAGGGAATTGGAAATACAGAGATACAATCAGAATTTAAGCAATTGTACTCCTTTAAAAATGCAGCATGCATTTTCATGTTAACAATACTGTCACTCTAATGGAGTTTATTTCAGAGCAACAGTATTTTGTTAAGTAAGTAACAGATTTCATTCTGAGTACCTGTGTAATTATGCTTATTTTCAAAAGGAAAAGCCAAAACTCAGTCCCCTTCAAAGTGTGCTTCTGAATTATCCTAGAAAAGAAATGCAACATTGTATTTACTTTTCATCCCAATTTTGTGGATATGAACGTGTTGTTAAATAATTTTTATTTGACTCTATAAAAATTATTTTAGAGTGCACTGTATTGGTTTTACAACAATATTATATTCTTGAAGTGACTTTATTAAAACTACCTACAATTTTCTAGTAAATTAAGCTGCATATGGTCTTCATTGAAGAAGATGGTTATAGTTAGAGAGGAAGCTTGTTACAGGATCAGGATATCTTTACCTTTTTTGGTTAATCTTAAATTTTGATTTAATTTTAAACTGATAGAAATGTTGCTGGAATAATAGAAGAAACTCCCAAAATAACACTGGTCAAAACTGACCAGTTTTCATTTTCTTCATTTTTTATCACTGCCTGTGTTCCCTCCCTGTCTCTTTCTCTAATTATATGCAGATACACACGTATATATATAAAACACTGATAATCCTAAACCTGTCTCCCCTATTCTGTCTTAAATTTTTATGGACTTATTGATATATAATTTACACGCTATAAAATTCATCCATTGTATGTATGTAGTTTGAAGATTTTTTGTGTGTGTCGTCACCACATTTAGGTTTAGAACATTTCTATCACTCAAAATTCTACCTTGCAGATTTGTGGTGAACATTTTAAGAACTTAATGAACTGTACTAAAAGTGAATGTACAAATTTTCTAATGAGGAATGTAGGGGAATTACAGCTTCTCCCTTTTACAGTATTTCCTACCTTTTTAAATGACCTTTTGATGGTCATTCTACTCAATAAGAAGTGGTCTCACACCACTCATCCAAATTAATCTCACCTTAATGCAATCATCTTGGATTTAATTTATGTTTCTGTAGTGAATAATAATATTGACCATCTTCTGTGCTTATTTGCCATTTGTATATCTTATATTTTAAGGAAAGCCCTTTATCAGATGGATATTTTGTTTTATTCCATCTGGTAATTGTTGCCTTTTAAGTTGTGTGTCCATTCATATTTAATATTATTGATGTAGTTGAATTTATACCTTTTACTATTTATTTTTATTCTCATATCTAAAGAGATTCTTCTGTTTTTACTACCTTTTGCTTTAAATAAATACTTTTTTCAGTACCATTTTAATTACTCTGAATTTTCTGCTATTAGTTACATCTGAACAGGTGACAATATATATCTTAGCTCAATCTACTTCAAACTAATACAAATTTACTTCTGATAGAATAAAGGAACTTCCAGAAATTTCTCTGTATATAGGAGTAACTTGTCTCCATTAAGCCTGTGAAATCTATCTTCACTTGCTGTGCCCAGCCACTGATGTCTCTGCTCAGGTTTCTGTTTTTTCTTATTTTTAAGTCTGGGTTTCTAGGGGTGGCTGCTGTGTCTGCATAGGCTAGCAGTTCGTCAAAGACTGGTCAACAGTTGTCTGAAGTTCTTCCATTCAGGCCTCCACCCTCTGCTGTTGGATCTGTATGCGGGCCTGCCAGTACATTCAGATCTGCCCTGGCTTTTGCTTTTTGCTGTGCTTTATTGCTTTTCCTTTTTGCATAAGCAAAGGCTTTGGCAAACAGGGGTATGTGGGTGGCTTGATTGTTTTCTGCTCTTAATATTTGCAGTAAACTTCTCTGGAAATTAACACAACAGACATCACAAAGTCGGTATGTGAGTAGATTAGCAGGGGGGAAGGATTTAGGTGGGTGAAGCAAAGGAACAGATAGATAAATTATGAAGAGGAAACAAAAAAAATCCTATTTATTAATTACTGACAAACCCAGCTAAAGGGATTTGAGGAAAACATAGCTATAATATATATTTACACATTTTTGTAATTCTCTTACCCTTCAATAAAAACAGCCCATTTGTCTGGCTTTTGATTTTCTTTCATGTGCATCTTCAGCATCACAACTTTCTGGTGAAGTTGCTACTGTCCAGTTCATCTTCCAATAAGTGCTTGCTAGAAATTGTCAACTCTTCTCTGGTTACAAAATAGTAGCTTAAAATTCTTCATTCTGGTTGCAAAACAAACTCACAGGTATCAAAAGAATAACCTTTAAAAATTAAAATGGGAAAGTGTGCCATCACAAGAAAAATGAAAACAGCCAGAAAATATATATAAAGATACATATATAAAGAACAGTGTAACGATTTACACAAGAACAAAAACCTACCAAATGTTAAAGACACAAAACATGCCTTAAACTGGGTAGGTTTGGCCCAGTGGTTAGGATGTGGGTTAGGATGCCTGCACGCTCTGGGTTTGAGTTCTGGCTCAACTTCTGCTGGTCTCCGTTCTGGGAGGCGGTGATCATGGGTCCAGTGGTTGTGTCCCTGGCACTCACGTGGGAGACTGGAGTTCCTGGTTCCAGGACATTTGGGGAGGCCACAGAGAGATGCAAGCTCTCTTCTCTCTCTGACCCTCAAATAAAATACATTCTTAAAAATTGTTAACTAGTACACTATTTCTCCAAAATGCAGCATGGATTAAGGATTCAAATAGAGTCTATGGAAGTAAAATAAACCAAAGAGGAGGCCTGCATAAATGCTTTTTCACTTCGAATGGAAAATACACAGTAGTTTCCCCTTTTTAATAAAATTTGCACTGGATGACACACTGCCACAGTCTGAAACCATGAAAAGCCCTGTGTTACCGCTGCTACATTTCCAGGGAGATCTGCTGGGGAGCGGGGAGGAAACAGAATGAGGGTGGAGGAAATCTGGAGACGGAGTTTTTGGGGGAGTTTCTTCTGGGACGAGGCCTACATCCTGGTGTTCCTGCTGCTCTGGGACACATCTGAGAGCAGAGGCCTGCCTTCCAAGTGTCCCCGCCCACGTTTCTTTAACTGGTGCTGTTTACTGTAAGAGGTAGAATTCCCGCCCACCATTCCTTCCCCTAATGCTCCCAGCAGCCCAGGCAGAGAGCAGAGAAGGGTCTCGAAGCCACCGCTCTCATTGGGCAAGGGTGGCCTCAACGGCTTCGCAAACACCCAACACCTCAGCCGTTTGACGCCAACGGCCGTTGGGTTTGGCCGTTGGCTTGCACATGCGTGTTGCGCATTTTGGGACCCTGGTTTTCATGCGCATGCACCAGTGCCTGTCTTCCGGGGTCGCTAGGCTACGGCCTGTGGGAGCCGAAGTGAGGTATCCCTGGAGCTTCGTGAGGAGAGCGGTTGGCCCCACGGCAGCGCCGGTAATGGAACTGTGGAGATAAGTCTGTGAGAGGTAAGCTGAGGGGTGAGGCGTTGGTGAGGTGAGGTGTCTGTGAGGCCGGTTGCCTCAGCAGTGAGGACGAGTTTGTTTCTCCAGCCACGAAGGGTCTGTCCCTCATTCGGGCTCCTCCGTCAGCCAGGAGAAGAAGCGCCATAGATGAAGTCAGGGTGCGGGGACCACATCCAAGGTCAGGGTCTAGGGAGTGTCTCGAGTCCCGCGTGGGGGAGGTGACTCGAGGGCAGTTTGTGTTGGTCTGGGAAAGTGGTGTGAATGGTGGCGACCAGGCGGACAGGGAACAGCCGCTGCGAGCCTGGTAGAGTGGCTGCCCGGTGAGGCCCCCAGCTGAGGTGGGAGGAGCGCGGGCTTGCCCACTGTACTGGGACCCAGCATGCTCCGTCTACACCAGGACGGGACCAGCGGGAGAGCTCTGGGGCACGGAGGGTCTTTCAGAGGAGCAAACTCAGAACCCATCGACTGACTCATAATTCCCCCCAGAACTTCACTGACTACTGAAAAGGGATTAGATAACAGAATTGTGTGTTTATAGCATTTTATTTTTAATGTATACATCTTTAATTTTCTTTAAAGAAAAGATTTGTTTATTTGAAAGGCAGAGCAGTAGAGAGGGAGAGAGAGAGATTAGAGAGGGAGAGAGAGCGAGCTCTTCCATCCACTAGTTCACTCTACAAATGGCCACAGTAGGCCGGGTTGGGCTAGGCGGAAGCCTAGAGCCAGGAACTCCATCTGGGTCCTCCACGTGAGTGGCGGTGTGGCTTTCCCATGCATAATATATGCATTTTAAAGACTGTCTTGCTGTGTACATTATAGAAAAGTGCATAATGAGAAAAATAATTTGCATATGTCAACATCTGGGCTAATAATTCTTTGGCTTCACTGCTGAATTCTACCAGATTTTTAAAGAACTAATTTCAAATCTTCTCAAACTATTCAAAACAATTGGAAGGGAGGGAATCCTCCCAAACTGCTTCTACAAAGCCAGTATTACCTTAATTCCAAAACCAGAAGATACAACAAAGAACTATAGACCAATATCACTGATGATCATAGATGCAAAAATCCTCATCAAAATACTAGCTAATTGAATCTAAGAACATAACAGAAGATCATTCACCTGGACCAAGTGAAATTTATCCCTGGTATTCAAAGATTGTTCAGCATATGCCAATAAATAAACGTGATACATCACATTAACAAATTGAAGAATGAAAACCGTATGATTATCATAATGCAGAGAAAACATTTGATAAAATACCACATCCTTTTATGATAAAAACTTAAAGCAAATCGGGTATAGAAGGAATATGCCTCAACAGAATCAAGGCAATATACGACAACATCCTAGAATGGGGAAAAGTTGGAAGCGTTCCCACTAAGATCTGGAACCAGACAAGGATACCCACTTTTACCTTGCTATACAATATAGTTCTGGAAGTTTTAGCCAGAGCCATTAAGCAAGAAAAAGAAATCAACAGGTTACAAATTGGAAGGGTGGGAGTCAAATTACCCTTGTTTGCAGATGACATGATTATCTATATAAGGAGAACCAAAAGACTCCAGTAAGAGAGAATTGGAACTCATAAGAAAGTTTAGTAAAGTTGCAGGATATAAAATTGACACAAAAATCAATAGCCTTTGTATACACAAACAATGCCATGGCTTAGAAAGAACTTTAAGATCAGTCCCACTCACAATAGCTACAAAAAAATACATTGGAATAAATTTAACAAGGTAAAAAAAATTTTTTAAATGAAAATTGCAGAACGTTAAATAAATAGAAGACAAAAAATGGAAAAATCAGTTTATAAAAGAAACTGAAAGTACATTATTATAAAAATTGAAAGAATAAGAAAGGAAGGAGGGATGCAGGATGGGAAGTATTTCTATGCTTCTAAATTTGTATATATAAAATACATGAAATTTGTTCACCTTATATAAGTTTTTAAAAACTGAAGAAAAAATATTTGAGTAGCCACCATATCTGCTTTATATCAGTGCACATATAAGTGTGGATGATCTTTACTGAACAGCCTGGAAGGAAAGCAGAATGGGAAGATAACTTTGTGTTCTTCAATAGGAAGATTCATTTTTCTCAAAATATGAGCTCTGTGTTTATCACTTTATTTTAAAGATTTATTTATTTATTTGAAAGTGAGAGTTAACAGAGAAGGCGAGGCAGTGAGAGAGAGGTCTTCCATCAGCTGGTTCACTCCCCAGATGGCCACAACGGCCAGAGCTGCGCCGATCCGAAGCTAGGAGCCAGAAGCTTCTGGGTCTCCCACATGGGTACAGGGGCCCAAGCACTTGGGCCATCTTCTACTGCTTTCCCAGGCCACAGCAGAGCGCTGGATCAGAAGTGGAGCAGCCAGGACTCAAACGGCGGTGACTTTACCCTCTATGCTACAGCCTCTTCCCTGTGTTTATCAATTTTAGATAAACCAAGGACAAACAAAGTAGTGGTGTTTCTTTTTTTTTTTTTTAAAGATTTATTTTGTTTGTCTAAAAGTCAGAATTACAGAGAGGGAAGAGACAGAGAAAGAAATCTTCCATCCAACTGGTTCACTCCCCAAATGGCCTCAACAACTTAGGCTGAGCCAAGCTGGAGCCTCATAAACCAAGCAAAAGGGTGGACTATTTAGAGGTAGCAGTGAGTGCAGGATTCTTTATCTCAGAAATTAGTTATCTGAATATTATCCTTTTCATTAGACATGGGGCACAAATAGTGCCACATATTTGATTTTTCTAATTAGTTAATTGGGCCTTGAAATGTCTAGTTTAGCAAGGAATTCTGTACACCCCTCCCCCACTTGGAGCTATCTTCTATACTCTTCTTGAATTGACCTAAGGGGTGCCTTAAGTTCAAGGAAGGCCATCCTGTTTCACAAGTCAGATTTGGTGGCGGGCTGTGGGTTTAGGTGTTGGGGTGGGGAGATATTTGAATCCTTCTGTCATTTCTGTTTCTGCAGAGTTGCTATTGAAACTGCTCCTGCACTCAGGTAAGCATTGACCTTTGCTACCAGGATGCCCTTACTAATCCAGGGCCCTCAGTCTTCATGACTACCCCTACTCAGACTTCACAGTTAGAACATTAGTTCACACACATGCACTTAGCTGCTCAGCCCTTGCTTCCAGTGCAGCAGAACCTGCTCTGGCAGCTGGGCCTCCTAGCTTTAACCACACACATATTGGGCAGCTGACCCTGGTATGCTCAAAACCTTGTGTGGAGTCCATATCTCAGCTTAGATCTCCATGGTAAATTTTCCCTTGACATTGATTATTTTCTGCTAGCACATATATGGTTGAGATTATTCTAAACTGTCAGAGCATTTCAAATGATGTTATTTCTTTGCTACCAGATCTGTACCCCAAAGGTCACTTTTATCTTGTGCAGGTCCTTAGATTATAGAATGTCCCATGTCATCTTTCCTGTGCAAGGGTGGGGAACCTTTCTTCTGCCAAGAGCCATTTGGATCTTTATGTCATCATGGGCCATACAAAATTATCAATGTAAAAATTAGCCTGCAATATTTATTGAATTTTGTTTCCCACTGCTAGATGAAATGATTTCACCAGGCTTATATAGCCTATTGGACCAGATGTTACCCACCCCTGGTAGAGGCACCAAATTTTAGTTGGCCCCTCAAGTCATCTGTTTCCTGTAATAATTAAAATATTGGGCTGGTGCCGTGGCTCACTAGGCTAATCCTCCGCCTTGTGGCCCCAGCACACCGGGTTCTGGTCCCGGTCGGGGCGCCGGATTCTGTCCCGGTTGCCCCTTTTCCAGGCCAGCTCTCTGCTGTGGCCAGGGAGTGCAGTGGAGGATTGCCCAAGTATTTGGGCCCTGCACCCCATGGGAGACCAGGGTAAGTACCTGGCTCCTGCCATCAGACCAGCACGGTGCGCCGTCTGCAGCGTGCCGGCCATTGGAGGGTGAACCAACAGCAAAAGGAAGACCTTTGTTTCTCTCTCTCTCTCTCTCACTGTCCACTCTGCCTGTCAACAAAAAATTAAAATACTGCAAATTATGAGTACTTGATCTCAAGTTTTCAAAATACTTTTAATTTCTGCCTCACAAGGAAGCCATTCAGAATTCTCTGAATCTAAAAGATTAGTTGGATTTAAGTTAGTTAAGCCTCAATCCATAACTCATCAGTGTCCATGTAGAAATGGATTTGATCTTCCATATCAGAGTTGAAAATGGAGATTAAGCATCGTTCTAACAAAGAGCTGCAGCTCAGAGTTTGAGGAAGTAGAGAAGGAATAGTAGTTCAGGTCAGGTCTTGGCATCTAGTAATTTTCTGCCCTTATCCTTATGATTCACTCAATAATGTGCAATTATGTAATCTAATTGAATGATATATTTAGAAACGAATTTAGTTAACAATTACTAAATAGCTGAGATACCCTGAATTACAATCCACAAAGAACAGTTAATAACCAGAGTTAGAAGCTTGGTTACTCCAAAAGCTTATCTCTATATGACAATTGGCAGTGGTAACCAGTACCTTGTTTTCACCACCAAAGGTTTTATGGCAAATCTCATGTATCCGTGGCCATAGAACCACAATAGGACACAACTAGGGATATAAGGAAGATTAGGCCAGTCCTGGAGAGGAATTAATTAATTGTGAGTGAAGAATGTCTACGTACAGACCACGTTATGTTGATTCTACTTTGCATCTATTTTTTTGTTGATAAGTAATTTATTCATAGTGAAAGTGTACTCTTCCCTATTCACATTTATCACAGTTTCAAATATTATGAAGTGGAAAATAAATTACCCCAACAGCAAATAATCTTGTTATTTCTAACAAGGCTCTATAAATTTTACTTTATGTATTATTAGTGTTTTGAAACCTAAGCTTTATTATGTGTGTGTGTGTATATATATATGTATATATATATTTATACTACAGAAGTAATACTGGTTTGCTGGAAGAGCAGTAGAAGTAGAGTCAGAAGACCTAGGGGAGATCCT